TTCGCCCAGGGCAGGACACTGCACATGCGCTCGCATGTTTGTGTATTTGTTTTCAATGGAGGAAGAAGAAAGTACTAAGATGAGCTGCTTGGGTGATTTATTCACCTAGGAAATAAAAGGAAGTTTTTTTTAAAAAAAAACCTCGGTGCAATATGATTCCATGAACTTTCTGAAGGAAAAGGTTACGGAAACTTTAAGGCAGTGTTCAGCGACTTGAAATTTTTCTTCAGATGGATTGTAGTCATTATATCTGCAACCCATCCGTTCTCGCTTACAAAATTACATCTTATTCAATGAGTCACTGGTGCAGAGCAATATACATGTGGCAGGTCCACTGTGATTCTATCTCTCCGCCTATCATATAAGGCTTAAAACCACTAGTGGGTTGTGTCTCCTCGCTTACAATGCAGCCTCTGTTTATAAAATTACTAGATTTGAACTGCTAACTTCAAACTGCATGTTGCTTTCTGTGCTGCACTTTTGTGTCATTTATAACCCTCGCCCCCCCCCCCCCCCCGCCCAGCAAAACTGTAGGTCAGGGGGTTTAAATTACACCCACAAAATATACCGTCAATTCACAATACGGTATATTCTGTGAAGCGCTTTGAGACGTCTCAGCGACGCGATTAGGCTGTAAATCAACTGCAAGGATTATTATTATTAATATTCGAAAACGGGAATGTAAACTGTATGAATAATGTCAAGATGTCAACAGTTGAAAACCACAACAGATCCCAACCCTGTCACTGTGTAGCTAACCTGCGTGAAGGTGCTTATGTAAGTGCAAGTTATTGTTCTCATGTCTCTTCTGTGGTGGGCTACAGAAATGAACTGGAGTTAGTCTGGAGTTAGAAGCACGAGATGGCAATTGGACAAGAATGAAAAGGACTCTTAATTAGTGAAAGAAATTTATATGGGAAGCTGCGCAGGATTCTTGCAGGTGAGAGTGATGCCAACCGAACCAGGCTGACACCTATGCTTTCTTGTATCGTAACAAACCCAAAGCTCAGGAGAGGGAAGGAAGGAAGGCACGTCACATGAATACACAACCAGAGTTATCTATTGTCCCCCATTGTGCAATTTTATGAGAATTGGCAGCAAACGATGTGGAAAATCTCCTAGTAAGTACTTTCCACCTGGTGCACGTGTTTCTGCTGCATCTTATGTTCAACGGTTTGATTCCTGCCACGCGCTGGCTGGAGCGAGTGGTCGTTCTCAATTCTCCCTTTAGCATACGTTGTTTTTTTTAATAACTTTACGGATGATTAAACATCTGTATCTCTCTCACAGGCAGGCTGCACGGTAACAAGTCAGGTGTGAACAATCTCACTCAACTCTCAGTTTCGCTACTGAGGGGCAACTTTGGCACCCGCAAATCTTTTGCGAACAGTTGAGACACAATCCACCTCCTCCAGCCTCGATCTCCTGAAATGTACACACTTGCTTCCGTAAGCAAACACTGTGCACCTTTGAAAGACTAATCGATTGGATAAGCTAATTTTTTTTGTATGAAATTCATCTGTAGCTCATTCGCTATAAATGTTGTGCTGTTACCATATTCTGTAACGACGATCTGAGACACGTCCAAATCTTCCACATGGTATCCCATTGTTCAGTTTCATTTCCATTTTTTCTCATGGTCCAGGTGCACGAGACAACCGCTGGTTGGCTTTGTAGCTCTGGAAATCTGAAAGCAAGAATGAGTGCTTGTAATAATGATTGGCTCACAGCGTGGACGGAATATGTTGGAGGAGAGACAAAAGATATACTGTGCATCCATCATTGCATGAGCCCTGTTGGGGATGACTCTATTAACATAATATTTTCTTCACGTTGCTGCAGATTATGGACGGCCAATAGTGAATGTAATACTGTCCCTTCTCCCTTACCATTTCTCTTAATGTTTCTGTGTGGGTGGAACACTCATGTGTCAGTGGAAGTGCTACTTTTAATCATATTTTTCTTTCAGTGGAACTTTGAACTGTATGCTGTTTCGCCCACAAAACATACAGTCAATTCATTTTATAGTAGATTCTGTGAAGCGCTTTGAGACGTCTAGCAGACGTGACAAGGCGCTATATCAAATGCAAGGATTATTATTATTATGCCGGGACGTCCAATGGAAGATATATTTTGAATTGTTTTCTTTCCCTTGCTTTTGAAGGTTTGCACGCATCGATTCTTTTTTTTTAAACCTCTATTCCAGCTGTGCTCGACCTCATTTTTGTATCAATCCTTTATTTAGCCCCTTTAGACGTCTAAAAGTGCTTCACAGAATATACTGTAAAGTGAATTTGAATGTATGTTTTGTGGGTGAATTCTGACTTGCCCCACTTTCTGTCCTTGCCGAGATGTAACACAGGGTAAATTTCCATTCCAGCGCCCAAGAATGTGCCTTTAACCCAACCCAAGGTGAATGAGCACTCCATACTCAGCCAAACTTGTGATCTCTGTGAGTGCTGTTGAGAGATTGTGAACTTGCATTCACTGGAGTCTGTGTTGAGTCTGCCCATGTGAACGTTTTAATTTAAAAGCACTTCTGCCCATCAAAAGCACGAGGTTCTTTTATTTTAATAACAGTAATTCAGTCTGTCTGAATTCAGCTGATGTGTCTGGAAATGAAAGAACTGACTTCTAATCCACTACGTCACGCAATCTCTCGAATTCACTTCATTCCTCCAGTCTTCAAATGCACTGCATCACTATTCTAATTGCAATAATGATCCTTGCATTTGATATAGCGCCTTATCACGTCTTCGAGGCGTCTCAAAGGGCTTCACAGATTATACTGCAACGTGAGTTGACTATATGTTTTGTGGGCGAAACATGGCAGGCATTTGCGTACAGCAGTGTCCCACGTACAATCGTGGATTGAGTGACTAATTTTTCTTTGAAGGAGTTATTCTAAATGCTGGTCGCTGGGTTTACTGATTAGGTTGTGGCTTCACTCATTTAACCCGACATTTTTTTTTAACCCAGATTTAAAAACCTATTAGTGCGATGCCAACCTTCAACCCAAATTTAATTTAAAGTTCTTCTTTGTTTTGTTTTTGAACCCCTTCCAGTCAATGTGACCAAGCTAACCTGACGGAGCAAATTACAGACACAATCTTTACGACAAAGTCAATGCAGGTCAGAAAAACAACTTGTCTTTAAGTGGCATAATCCTTCCATCAGCCTAATATAGAGGAATGTTGCTTAAACTAGAACAACTCAAAAGCCACTCCTTCTGCCTGCCACAACCATCTACCGGATTCCAATGAATAATAATAAGCCTTTGCATTAGATATCATGCGTTATCATGCTGTTCAAATGTCACAAAGTGCTTTACAGAATATACTGTAAAGTGGAGTGATCTTGTGGGCGAAACGGATGGCTGGAGTGAGTGTGAGAGAGGATAGGGCGAATGTGAGAAGAGAGTTGGACAGGGGACGGGTGAATTGACCGTATATTTTGTTGGAACGTGGAAGCTAATTGTGTACAGACTTTAAAGCACACGCCTTGTGCAATCCCATATCAAAAACAACCTTAAAGCTGAAAGCTTAACCTTTTATGATGTTGGCTTTCAACAGCCACTGTTCATGGCCTGACAACTTTTTTGTTTTGATACGATTAAGCTTAGCAGTAGAGTATAATCTAAAGATCTCTTTTGCAAACTCTAGCTTTAGAATTCCAGATTTTCATCCTCCTACTGAATAAACCAATGGTACGTTACATTGAGAGTAATTGGTAAGTATGTAGATTATGGTGATATTATCTGGGCTGTATTGCAGAATTGCCAAGAAGTAATAATATCTTTGCACTTGATACAGCGCCTTATCACAGAACATAGTATAAAGTGAATTGATTGTATATTTTGTGGGCGAAACACAGCAGCTAATTGCACAAGTACTGTCCCACAAACAGTCGTGGATTGAGTGAAGAAATTATTGTTAGAATTTTTTTTTGAAGGGATTATTCCTCCAGGAAAAGCAATCCGACAATCGACTAACAGCCGGGTTCCTACATGCTGCTGGTAAACCGAGGCGTGTGGAGTAAGGAAACTTGCCTAAGGTTTTGCCCTGCTGAGAATCGAACCCAGGTCCTCTCGCTTGCGAGGCAATGCTCTAACCACTGATCTACAGGACTCCATGCATGAACTTTTCCCAGTTTCTGCACTCATGGCTGTATCGGCTATTTGCAGAACCTACGTGAATTTGAACCAGCCTGACCAATTATTCTCCACTGTGTGCATGTGCAGTCACACCTACGTTCCAATTACCGCCTGCTCAGTGAGCACATTTCAAGATGTTGTGCTGACGCAGAAAAATGTAAAACACAAAACTGACCTCGGTAGAATACGTATAAACAATATATTTGGGGAAGGGAAGAAGGTATTTTTTGGAAGAGATTACTTTTCTCCTACATTCAGACTTTTAAGCGCTCCGGGAAGCTACTCCGAGTAAAGGACGCTATATAAATGCTTGTTGTCGTTTAACCTGAAACAGGTTGTTCAGTAAACAACAATTTTATCCTTCAGGATGAGTTAGAATTGGATAGTTAAATCCTGTTATTTATAAATTCCCCTTTTAACAGCTTTTCAGTCACCCACTGGTGCAGATTAGCACAAAACATGATTTTATTGCATTTTTATTTTATCAACTGTTCTGTGTGTTGATCCTTCCTTGTAAATTGAAGGGGGTTCATTTGACCCCAAAATGCATTCAGGTTTTGGTCGACACTAACACTCTTGTAATTACGAACCCTTTTTTTAACGGTACAGAATAGATCTATTTGTGTTTTTTGTATATTATCATCTGTAGTTGTCAATGAAGGAATGGGTTATAATTGCTACACTGCTTATTTGTAACTTGCAGCTGTCTGGTTCCATCTCAATCACATTCCTTTTGTTCTCTTAAGTAAATGGAAAATTATCCAGTGTGAACAGGGTGGCAAAATGAACCTATAATACGCATAGTACGTGTCGATTAAACAACTCTGGTCATCTCTCTTTCTTTCAGTTGTTTACGAACATAGATCAAGGTTAGAAAAATCGCTTCAGAAAGAAAGAAATGAACATAAAAAAGCTAAAGAAGGTAAGAAATCATGCTTTAGCTTTTAATCTTCTTTACTATTGAAACTTAACCCAGTGTTAAATGCATCTTCGACCTTGATCTACTGGCCAGCACTTCCCCCAGATAAGATTGTTTTGGGGGACAATGCTGTGCGTGAATTGGCTATTGCTTTCAACTTCAAAATACACAGTCCCGACACTTTACAGTCAGTCCTGTGAAGCGCTTTAAGATGGCCTCCTGACTGAAAGGTTCTATACGAAGTGTAATTATTAATAATCAGTTAATCAAATAGTTTTGGACCTGGAAAATCCACCGTTTTAAGCATTGTGTTGCCTTGTGAAGTGGCTGATGTTAATTCAGCATTGGATGCAGGAGTGAATTGCTGCCAATTCCTTGTATCAGTCTTGCCCTAGAGTGTACGCTAATTGTTTGGTGATGTTAATGTGGTCAGGCTCTGATGTTAATTCGCTGTTTTGTAGCTTTGGAACGTGGCTATAAATTGCAGTTTAGCTCTGTATAAATACTATTATGGAATTTGCACTAATTGGACACTAACATAACGTAGTCAGGTACAGTTCAACAGTTGATCCCTTCTCACCGCAATTATGGCATCACCAGTTGCTGTACGAATGCATCACTCGGCTCCTCTGGCCTGGTGTTAAACTAGTCTTCTCATTCGGTGATTTTTTGGCAAGTCTGAGATTCCCATGGATATGTCAGATACACAAGTGTCCACCCGCCCTAACCCTCCACCCCCTCCTGATCCCAACCCCCAGCTCGGGTCCAAATCCCTGACTGTCCGGCACCTTGGGATGTCCTCCCAACGTGAAGGGTGCTATACAAGTGTAATTTGTTGTTGTATTACTCCACACAGAGTGGCTGGAATCCAGCAGTGTGGAATTGAGGCTGTCTGCAACCCATGTGTGACGCAGCATGTATGGCTGGTGCTCACATGGTGAATGGTGCCTTTTAGAAGTTTTAGAACTTTTATACAAACTGAGCGTTATTAATAAAACTGGAAATGCTGGATCTCCGTTGCAGGTCAATGAGCATCCAAAGGTGAAAACCCAAGTTGATGATTTGTACTGAACAATAATAATTTGATGATTATTATTATTTATTCATTTAAATAATAACGTAGTCACTCAATCCACAACTGTTTGTGGGGACGCTGCTGCGCGCAATTGGCTGCCATGTTTCGCCCACAAAATATACAGTCAATTCACTTAACAGTATATTCTGTGAAGCGCTTTGAGACGTCTCAAAGACGTGATAAGGCGCTGTATCAAATGCAAGGATTCATCTTATTATTTAGTTACGCCAAATTTAAAAACAAATATTTTTTATTTTATTTCCATCCTCTGCACATTTCCTTCACTCGATGAGCATGCACTGATTATATATATATTTTTTTCTTTGTGCCTTTAGATTTTCTTGTTTATAAGTTAGAAGCACAGGAAGCACTGAACAAAGAAAAGGTGAGTCCTGTACTTGGTTGCAGACGGTGGTGAATTCAACTTTCAGAAGTGTCTACGTATCAATTTTAAACTGATCTTTAAAAAATTAAGTTGTATTACGATGCATCGTGTGGTAAAATTTTTTTAAATTGATACCAGTTAATAACCTGAATGGTAATAAATGTGCAGCGACATTGATTATTGGAAGATTTGAGTAATCTGCATTTCGAACACCAAATTATATTGTTTGTGAAAGACGCAATACCAGTTATCAAATTAATTTCCTTAACGGGAATTTTAAATCCTTTGTGTATGAAACGAACCAAAGCTGATTTTAAAAATTGTGGAAAGTGGTGAAATCACCCAATTATCCTCCCGAAAAAAGCCATTGGTCATTAATTTCACGGCTGTTTGTGGAGCATTACTGAGCGCAAATTGGCTGCTGCCTTTTTTACATTATGAATTCCAAGGATTAAAGAATTAAAAGCATTTGAAATTTACAAGGCTTCACCTTATACTTTCAACCTTTCTGTGTTATTTCCTACACATTGTATTTTTCCGGTCCATACAACAAATTGCTTTTGCCGGACATACCTTCCGGAGCAAATTCACATCACTGTCATTATTTTAAACCAGAGGCTACCAGTCTGTTAATAACTATCTGAATCTTGACACATTATTAATACACATGGGCTAACACTGGGTGCTGTCTAATCCCTGTTCTGTTTGGCCCTTTTATGAAGTTGTTTACAGTTGTGTTGCAATGTCAACATAAATATGGATTAAACGTGTCAAAATAACAATGTGGCTTTCATCTTAGAAACTTTGTATTTCTGTTTTCTTTAGCAGGATACCAGTAACCGATACAGTTCACTTACGATGCAACACAAAATGCTGAAGGTAGGTTCTTGATTGTTCTCGGGCAACAAAGACATGTTCACGGTTGGCTGGGTTGACCCAATGGTCCAATCGCCTGCTGGGAATCATTGGCTAAGGTTTCACGTATCACAAGAGATGTATGGATAAAGAAGACTCTTTGGCCCATTTCCAGAGTCTAACTAGTTCCCTGTTACAACATAGAATATTACAGCACGGAAGGAGGCCATTCGGCTCATTGTGCCTGTGCCGGCTCTTTGGAAGAGCTTCCCAATCAGCCTCACTCCCCCCCCCGCCCCCCTCCCTCCCCGCTCTTTCCCCAAATCCTTGCAATTTTTTTCTTTTCAAGTACCTATCCAATACCCTTTTTGAACGTTGTTATTGAATCTGTTTCCACCGCCCTTTCATCAAGCTGTTTCTTAAAGAACTGCGGTGCCCTGGCCTCTACCACTAATTCATTCGAACTGTTATTTAATTTTGTCCTTTATAGCCCTGAGTTGCCACCTTGGCATATGTGACAATCTTGCTCTTGGATGGAGAGCAGTCATTTGGGAGAGGGCTTGGTGGGATGGCGCCATTCCAACGATGAGCCAAACGGCAGTGTCTGCTGTAGAATTATATGATTCTCGATACTGTTTTGTTACGTTTATGCTAGTGATGGGATATATCGATGCTTTGTTTTTTGTTAAAAAGGAAAAGCTTCTTTTATGTTAAGACTTGTATCTTTTATGTTATATTCATGGTAAAGGACAGCCGACACAGCTACTGTGCATCTTTAATTGTAAGAGTAATTTCCTTTGGGCTGATGCAAGCAGAACCCTTGAGAAAACGTCCATGTAATTTCATAGTGGGTTTGAACTCACCATTGAGATGCCCAACAAATGGGAGGAATGTGAGCAAGAGTTTCAAGCGAGCCCTAATTGGTAGGAGTGTATGGTAATGAGCACCTTTGTGAGGAGGCAGGAAATTGCTTGCATTTGGATGACAAATTAATTGACTGGTACTTCGTGTCCATCGTGAATAAAGAAGAACCCTTCTATTGAAAACAAAATCCTCTTCCCTTTATACCTCCGGCAAATGATAGGTCAGGGTATCAAGGGATACGGGGCAAAGGCAGATAATTGGCGTTGAGGTACAGCTCAACCATGATCTTATAGAATGATGGAACATGCTTGAGGGGCTGAATGGCCTACTCCTGTTCCTATATTTCTGTATTTTTCTAATGAAGCACACAGGGCATTTTACATTGAAGAATAAATCAGAAGCCCTGGTGTACTTTGTACATGACAATCCACAATACTGAGCTTTCATTTCCACAGTGTGTAGGAGGGGAGAAAAAAGCTTTCCAGGGTTGATTGAATTTTACGATTCTACTGAATGGAATAACATTGCTATTTGTAATCATGTCACTACCTGCCTGTCGTGAAAATCTCTCCCATTATTTTGCCCACCTGGAGCAGGAATGTGCCCGATGGATGAATAGAACCCATAGTTTCAGTTGAAAAGCACTTAATCACCGTCCTCACAATGCTTTGATACGTATAATCAAACAAGTTCAAGTTCCCTTTTCAACTGTTACTGTAAACATTTTGCACAGGGCCATTCCTTTATTTGTTTAGGTTTAGTGTTAGGTGCAAAGGAAGGGCAGTTTGGGAGACACAGACTAGGATTGACGGGTGAGGTTCAATCACTTATCTTTAATACGCTCGGGCTTTTATTTTGATTATAATAATCCTTGCATTTGATATAGAGCTTCATCCCGTTGTTGGGACGTCTCAAAGCGTTTCACAGGATATACTGTGAAATGAATTGACTGTGAATTTTGTAGGTGCAACGCGGCAGCCAATTGCGCACGGCAGCGTCCCACAAACAGTGTGTGGAACAGGAAGTTTGAATATCAGTAATTAATGACTGGAACAGGTTGCCAGGAAAGGTGGTTGAGACCAGGATGCTGGACTTTTTTTTAAAATTATTTTTTATATATATATACACACAATATATATTAAAAAAAGTTTGATGCTGTGATGGGGGAACGCCAGGGTGGATGTTCTGGAAGGATGAGATCAGATGGGCCAAAGGGCCTTCTTCATCCGAAACCAATCTTGCGATTGAAGTGTGAGCTCGTGCAAAAGGATTTGTACTTAGCGGATTGTACAAATACATGGTTGGTCCACTGGAACCTGACTCCAAGAGCTGGCTTGTGATCGACAGAAGCTCTTTCTACCTGTCAGGAGGTTAGCATTGATTGCCAACCGAGCAGCGTTCCATGGGATCAGTTTCCAGCATTTACTGGAGGCAGCCGCAGGAATCACTAGTTATAAATCCTTGAGCAATTGGATTTAGACTCTGGCCGTCTTAAGAATAGTGTGGGGCAGTCTTTTGGCCTTTCAGTTTAAGAAACCCCACTTTCATTTGCTCAGTAGCAAATGGAATAATCGAATGCAGACCCGAAAGATTGAATTGAGGAGGAAAAAAAAGATTGCCTGAAAGATTGCACAAAATTAAATGTGCTCTGTGGCTTCTGTTGGGATTTAGACTCATTTGCTTTGGAATTCAAGGAGACTTCAGTGCATAGCTTCCAAGGATTTAATAAAAGGTTACGGGAAAAAAAAAATCCCAAGAGTATGACTGATGAGTGGCGAATTGTGCCCCTGTCATTATTGTACAGTGGTTTGTGAGTACGGCCAGATATTGTCTTTGTTTGTGTTCACTATCATAATAAAAAAAGAATTCTTGCATTTGATATACCGCTTTATCACTTCGTTGAGACGTCTCAAAGTGCTTCATATTATATACTGTAAAGTGAATTGACTGTATATTTTGTGGGCGAAACAAATCTTTTTGTCTAGTTTTTTTTCATTCAGTCTTTCTGCACAGATTGTTGGCTAACCTACAAAAATTCTTGCACGCATTATAAATCCAGTCATTTGTTTCCGGAGTATTTCAGGGTTCGTTCGCAGTTCTGTTCTTAAAGTGTTTGTTCTATCAGTCACATTTATACTCGCATGTATCCAGATCGGGCCTTTGAACCTTATATTTTTGTGTATGCTCTATTCAAGAGCTACCCTTGTATACTTAGAAGGAACAAAAACTAAAAGAATGACTCAATCATTGGAAAGTAAATAAGGAAACAAATATTGCAATTTTTTCTTTAAAAAAATTATAATCCGTTTAATTTGAATTTAAACTTTTTTTTGCATACATCAGGCAGCATCTATGGAGATGAAAAATTCTGACAAAAGGTCATCGATCTGAAAAGTTAACTCACTTACTTCTCTCCATAGATGCTGCCTGACTTGCTGAGTGTTCCCAGACACTTCTGTTTTTTATTTGTGAATTTTTATCAGTTACTTTTGAAGTTGTGTTTTTTCCCCCCCCTCCTTTGCAGAACGTTTCTGATGGTTTTATAATTTGTTATTAAAACAGAAGGATAATTTGGGTTCCAATAATAAATAGTGTATTTGGAACAATAAACGATAAAGCAGCAGGATCTTTTTTTTTCCCCCCCCACTGAGGTCCTGCAGTGAGCTGTGTGTGGGCTCCTGGCTCTAGTTTTACTAATCGTGAAGTTCCTCTGAGATGAGCTAGCAATTATGTTCAGTGCAGTCCAGGATCTGCCATTAAAATCTTAGAAATGATGCTTAGCAACTGCATTTGCTGTGCTTTGTCTCTACATGATCTAAAATATTCCTGGAGGAAAGGAAGGGTTTTGGCCTCTTAAGTACAGATACAAAGGTCTCGCAGGCAAGGAGCCTTCTGCAATATGCGAACGCACCAATATGCTGTAGACAACTGAAGAGCAAGGTGGAAACCTTGTACGTTTTAATCTCTTCTCAAACTCTTTATGTTTGTTTTTCTCTGTCAGTATCTTGCTGTTGTATAATGCATACCAAAGTCATCTTGTCAAAATAATTAGTGTACTCGCTCCACCTCCCTGCTCCCGACATTTACGAGACGTCTCCAAGCTGTGATAAGGCGCTATATCAAGTGAAAGGCTTATTATTATTATTGGTTTTGACCGTTCAGTTTGATGGCAGCAATTTCATCTATAGTCATCAGTACCAACCCTAATGCACAGATCAACAAACTGTTACCATTGGAGTAGAGCGAAGTGGCTCCAAACACCCAGTTTGAGATCTTCGGACATGTCCGGTTTCTGTGCTTTCTTTGGTCAAAAGTCGGTCTGTTACATTGAATGTTTCTTTCGCGGGGCTTTTGGGGGGAGGTGGCGCTAAGCACCAAAGTTTTGCTCACAAAATACACAGGCAATTCACTTTACAGTATATTCTGTGAAGTGCTTTGAGACGTCTCGAAGCACATGATAAGGAGCCATATCAAATGCAAGGATTATTATTACTTTTGTATCATTGTGAATCCCCCAGTTTTGATTGATGTCTGGAAACTCCCTCCACAGGCTGCAGATCATCCAGAACTCTGCAGCCCGTGTCTTCTCCCGCACCAGGCTCCTCGACCCTATCACCCCCATCCTCGGCCGACTCCACTGGCTTCCCATCACACAGAGGATACAGTTTAAGATCCTGGTCCTCACTTTCAAAGCCCTCTGTGGTCTTGCTCCCCCCGACCTCTCCGACCTTCTCATCCCCTACCATCCTGCTCGCTCCCTCCGTTCAGCAGGCTCCAGCCTGCTTCACGTCCCCCCACCCCCCCCAACCCTCGCTCGCTCCACTATTGGCAGGAGGGCCTTTTGCCACTCTGCTCCCACACTTTGGAACTTCATCCCGCAGTCCCTCCACCTCGATCGACCCTCCCTTGCCTCCTTCAAGACCCATCTCAAGACCCTCCTCTTTGACTGTGCTTTCGATCACCCTCCTTCCCCACCTGCCCTCTACCCTCCCTGATCCTGACCCCAGCTCAGGTCCGAAACTCTGACTGTCCAGCGCTTTGGGACATCCTCCCGACGTGAAAGGCACTATACAAATGTAATGTTGTAGTTGTAGTAGTAGGCATTAAAAATGCCCTGGCACTATCGCAAGGAAAACACCCAGTGTTTTGGCCAACAATCCTCCAGATTAATTTGACCTTCCCCTCACCGCTGCTGTTGATATCTTGCCATGTTTGTCAACAATAGCGGTCATTACATTTGACAGTAAATTCATCTGAAGAGCTTTGAAATGTGTTGATGTGCTGAAGGTGGTCTAAAGGTTCTTCGGAAATAAAGCTGAAGTTTTCTGACCAGAAGTTGTTTCACGGACAAATTTGAGTTGATTTTTGTCCAAGTGACGCTGTTTGTGCATTCTTGTGTCCTAGAATCAGCACGAAGAACTGAAAAGGCAGTACACCGATCTGCATGAAGAGCATCAAAGGCTGGGAGAAGACCACAGCAAAGCAATAAATGAGCACGGTCATAGATACCTGAGCTTACAACAGGTGAAAGAGCAGGAGATAGCTAAGCTAAAAGGTAATTATGAGGCCTTAGTACCAGAACCTCATTGGAGGGAGCTACCTCTGGGACCACAAGGTCAAATAACTCGCATTTTTTTTATTTATATAGCACCCTTCACCTGGGGTAGCTCACTTTTTATACCTGGAGAAATCTCCTGCCCAAATCGTCTGTAATTCACCACCAAACTAAAGCCACAAACGGAGCATCAGGCAAACAAATGTTCCAGTGTCCCAGGAAAGTCTCCTGAAGTTTGTTGGTTTGCATACTCCCATACTGTCCAAAGTCAGGTTTAAACTTGATGGGCTATCTTTATAAAATTAGAGAACTCAACGTTGAACGGCCTATTGAGGGTCTGTTCTGGAATCTATCGCATACATATAGAGGGGTTTTTACCAAGTTTTTCCACAGATGGATAGTAATTCCCGTGAAGCGCTTTGAGATGTCTCAATGACCTGATGAGGCGCTATATCAAACGCAAGGATTATTTAAAATATTATTGAAATTTTATTTTCCCAAGACCTAACCAGTCGCTGTTTTTCAAACCATCACTTTTCTTACGGCGTTCAGAGGTGATGACGCTTGGAGCTGCATCTTCTCTTTCAATTTGCTTTTTACTTTCAGAGAATATTTATAATCTGCTCGAAGAGAACAAGAAGTTGAGGAAGGCTCACCAGGATGTTCATATTCAGCTGCAGGATGTGAGGGTAAAGTGCCATTTTTTACTGATGCCACTTCTGAAAGACTACGGGGGTGTCCCTAGTGAGTCGATGTTGAAAAGGATTATGCAGAATGTCTTTCGTTCCTGTTTTTGATTTACATTACAGTATTAACTTCTCTGTCTGTCTCTCTTTCTCTTTCTCTCAACCATGGCTGTTCCAGTCAAGCCCTATCCTGTTGTCACCCAATGTCTTCACTTGCCACGACACTAGAGGACTTTCATGGAATCCCGTAGCGTAGTGGTTAGAGCACTCACCTCGCAAGCGAGGGGACCTGAGTTCGATTCCCGGGCAGGGTGTAAAGTTAGGCAAGTTTCCTTACTTTTTTTTTCACGTTTCAGTCTTTTTTCATGTTTCTGCAGCAAGAACATAAGAACTTATTATTGCAACATGATCAACTGCAGCTCACTTTAGAAGACCACAAAAACTCTCTGTCTGCTGCTCAGGTCAGGTGCATTTGTACTTTTTTTTCTTTTCAAAGAAACTGTTTTCGCAAGCGAAACACTTTTGTTTAATGTTATTGCCCATTATGTGTTTCTGCAGAAATGACATTATACAAAACGTAATTAAACAGAACTGAATCACATTTTAAATCGCTTCAGATGGCGACATTCTGCCTCTGAGCAAAGATTTTTTGTTAAGATTACCTCTTTTTAAGTTGTGTTATAATGGGATGGATGGGGGAAATTCTTGGTGCTACATTTGCAAACAAGGCTTTATACTTATACTTTATACGGGTAAGAGCTGACTGATATTTCTCCTAGGATCTACAGCACACACCCATTTTAGAGGAGTTCTATTTAACATTTTCTGCACAGAAAGATAATCTGTTCGATACATCCAGTGTTGGAAAGCTCACTGTATGATTTTCCAGCTTGTTTTCCAATTGCCTTAAGCTAAGAAGTTTGTTCTTGGGTGAGGCCTTGGATATCTCGGTTAAGGGCGTACGTGTTTTGTTTTAGGTTATTGCTGGTTTTTGAGCTGTTTACACCCAAAACAATGTGAAAACTACCTCGCCAGGAATTGTAGGAGGCTGCGTACAGCTACTGTACAACAACAACTTGCATTTACACAGCGCCCCTGACACAGGGCAACGTCCCAGAGCGCTTGACAGTGGCAGAGCACGAGGCCGAGCCGGGGGGAGGAGACCGTAGGTACGGTCGAAGAGGAAGGTCTTCAGGTGTGATGTGAAGACTAGGAAGGAAGGGAGCTAGGCGGAGGGATAATGGGAGAGTGTTCCCAGAGTAATTCATGTAAAGAGCTATTCTTTGTAACTTCTCTAAGATGTAATAGTCATGTGAATCTTTCCAGAAAAGCACAGACCCTGACTGTAAACATGGGGAACATCTTCCCTCCAAGTAACAGAAGAAGAATATGTAACGCCTTATCACATGCGTGCAATGACTGTGTGTTTGTAGGCTAAACATAGCAGCTGATTTGCACAGCATTGACCCAACAAACAGCCATGAAGTGAATGACCAATTTGTCAGTCAGGACACCTAGAGAAATTCCCTTCTCTTTTCCAGCAGTGATATGGGATCTTTAACGTCCACCTGAACAGGCAGAAGCAATCTTGGTTTAATGTCTCATCCAAAGGACGGCACCTCTGACAATGCAGCACTGCAACATTGCATTGGAGTGTCAGATGAGACTGTTAAAAGTTCTGACGTGGGATTTGAACCCACAACCTCTGACTCAGAGGCGAGAATGCTACCGATTGAGCCAGACTGACGCCATGAAATTCAAAGCTACTGTTCAAGTTATTCATGTTTATCAAAAATAGGTTTGGGATTTTTTTTCCCCAAGTGGTGGAAAAAGTTGCACTGTTTTACTACCGCATCTGGTTAGTGGAACACGAAAGGTTAATGGGTTACGAAAATAACCTTTTACAATAGTTATCGCAACATTAAAATTGAATGCTGTGTTCTCCAAATCACCTTAAACCGTTTCAGTCAGAGACGAAGAAATTGAATCAGCAATATTTCACGTGAGATGAAAGGGAATTTTTTTTTTGTTTGTTTTTTGTTGCTGATAAAATTGTCTGCTCTCTGAGGAACACCGGGACCTTCTCTGCATTACTGCGCAGTGTTGTACTTGTGCTTGATTCTTGGAACCCGCGCACGCTGCAGCCAGGAAAAACGGTGGTCAATTGTGCCCAGAACTGCACTCTCAAAGCGCTGCCTATGTCTGACCTGCAACAAAGACATAATTTCTGAGATCGAACAATGGAGAGGTGCGGTGTGCTCTCTGACCTACATTATGGCATCTATTATTCAGGTCTTCTTTAATGATGACGATGGCCACGTTTGTTTGGTTTGCTGAAGGAGGGCGAAGTGTGGGTTTTCTGGAAGGATACGATCAGATGGGTGTGTCGTCATTCCAACCCACTCGTTTTTGCATTCTTGCAAATAAATGGCTTTGTTTCTGGCTGTCCTTCAGAGATTCGCAAACGTGGGGGGAAAAAAAATGAATGAATAGACTTCACAAAGCACTGTGTAGTGGAAAGTCAATTTCTGTCAAACCAACCAGTCATAGTTGAATGTTCTCCTGTATAAGATGAAGAGCAGAAATTGCTCATGTACAATAATGCCAATAGTGAGAGGGGAAAAGTCTTGTTCCTCACCCTCTTACTGCTTGCCTTAGACAGATGAAACACAAGTGAACTTCAGAGATATTTTTTTGCTAGCTGTACTTTCTTTCTCTACTCCTTACTCCTCCCCACATGCAGAAAAAATCCTGAGAGCACCCACCGATCAGTGGCAAACCTGACAGAATGGATACACACCAGAGGCCTGAAATTCCATCTCATGCTAATCACATGTTAAAACAACGCACCTCTGGTGCGCTCTTTAACTGACTCAGTTAAATTTATGCTTCAGAAAGAAGCCTCACTGGGGGTTTGCTTTGCTCCTCTACTCATTTCCACGGCTACACGTCAAATCTAATCTGACTGCTGTTTCTAAACTCTTGAGATGAGGCTTGTTTCTCAGAAGGGGGTCGAGAGAGAATTTACCAGGGTATTACTTCTAAGCGATACAGGTTTACAGTGTTCCAGCATCTAATAAAGCTAAGCAACCAACCCATGTTGGAAAACAACTGGTTTTCCACATTATGATCGAGTCTTAAGACAACATCACTATTTAAACACTAGCAACGAGGAAGTTGCACAGCAATGTAGCTACTCCTGTTTTTGACACTTAAATGCATAGGAACAGGATGTGGCCATTCAGCCCCTTGAGCCTGTTCTGCCATTCTACAAGATCATAGCTGATCTGTACCTCAACTCCAATTACCCGCCTTTGCCTCATATCCCTTGATCCCTGACCTAACAAACATCTCTCCACCTCAGTCTTGAAAACATAAATGGATGTCATAAATGGATAATCAGAAATGATTATCCCCAGCCTTTTGGGGGAGAGAGTTCCAGATTTCCACTGGCCTTTGTATCCGAGGATCAAGTTCCCTTATGGGAGCGTTTGCATGCATGTGGTAGAAGGGTAGTGGGAGGAAGATGGAGAAAGGGGGTGAGAGGGCGTGGCGATTGGTGTAGAGTATAAACAACTGCATGGATGAGTGGGGCTGAATGGCGAGTTTCATGGCTGAATAGCCTGTGTGTAATTCTATGTGTGGGAAAAGTTTTAATAAAGTGCTGAATGTAAAGCCCCCAGAGACCCATGTCCCCTCCAGGGGGCCACATGAATTCCCTTGCACCGAATGCTTATTCATTAGCATTGTTTTGAATTTTTGATGAGCCATAAAGCATTCCTAATTACTGTGAGTTCTGATATGTAAGCTGTACCCACTGAGTTATGTTCACTCATTAGAGGGGAACGATTTTCCTACTTTGCTGAGGTCCACGTCAATGCTTTGAGCTCCAAGTCCCAAGTTGATGGGGTAATGGGGAGCACTGAGTTAGACTGTCAAGTAATTAAAATTTAATTAAAATATATATTTTTAAATAACTAAATCAGATTGGCCATTCACTTCGTGTCCGTTTGAGGGACAAAGCCACGTGCAAATTGGCTGCCACGTTTGGCTACAAAATACAGTCACTGCAGTTTGAGACATATGGACAATTTGATAAGGCGTAGTTTGCAATGCGAGGAATATTATTTTATTAGGAATTGCTGTGCACAGATTGATATTGTTTGAGTTTACCCACCTATTTTGGGCACAGAATATGCTGTCAAGCCTCCTGGAAAGCTGCTCTGAATTAAAGGTTAAATTTCCCTTCTTATGAGTGGGACAGTGTCCGGTCTTGTGGCTGTTTTCACGGCAGAGGGGTTGTGACTTGTGAACCATTTGCGTATCAGATTGTCAGCATGAGCAAGTCAGCATCATCCTGTGTCACTGTGTTGCCTTATATGTTCACTTGTTTAAAATCGTTGAAAGTGTTGGAGAAACGTGTTCAATATTTCTTCAGCTTATCCTGACCGTTTCTGACTATAACAAAATAAACGGTCACATTTTGTGGATGTTTTGCGAGGTTGAGATGCAGTGGCCTATCAAAGACTCGCAGTGTCACAAAGGTGATGGATCTTGTCTTATTTATTGATATTTACCAAATTCTGACTTTCTAGGTCCAAATGGAAGAGTACAAACAGCTGAAAGATACCCTAAATAAGATGGCGAGCCTAAACACCAAACAGGTCCAAAATGCACCATACCTGGATACAGACCAAACACAACAGGTTAGTTTGGAGACCTCAACGTGTGGGGGGGGAATCAGAAACCTGGATACCACAGATTATTAAACTCATCTTGTGTTTTGTTAGATTATGCTACCCAGTTATCTGTTTCTTTATCTTTTCATTTGGTCTGATCACTCTTGGAAACCAATCAGAATGCTTTATCGAGAGTATTGAAACTGGATAGAGTTCCACAAATACAGTACATACAACCCACACATTGGACATTTCTCCGTATCTGAGATGGAATGTGCCCTCCTCTCCCTGGAGGACACATCCCGATTGTCTAAACCCGGAGGGTATTAGGAGCAGGTTGGCTTGGGGACCTGTGCGATGGGAGTGTGCATTGGGGGCTGCAGCTTGGCTTTGTGAATACTTTCTGGCAAGCTTTCCCTCTGCTTGTCCAGCTAGAACCACCCTACCTGTTCGAGCTTTAGCTTGCAGGATTAACGAGCTGAGTGGGTAGAATCTCTGCTCCAGATCGATACCCTCTAACCGGCCTGTTCAGGTATCAGCCCCAGAATCAATCCATGTCTCTGCACTTAAGCAACAAATGCATCTGTCTTTATTTCAGAGAAATGAAGAACCAAAGCGGACATTGTACGGAGCAGATAACACTGAACCGATGAGGAATAGTCAGCAGGAAGATGCACAGCTGCAGGTGAAGCCAATGGTTGGGGAGAATGATGACACTAAAACAAGGGAAGAACAAGGCAAACATCATCATGAAAACTGGCCCAGAAACGATCAGCCGGGCCAAACTGCGCAGAGGGATGATGAGAAGATGCAGCAGACTGGCCAGGCTGAGTGGCAAGGACACCAACAGCGTGAACATGTGAGGGAAAGTGAACAGCCCGAGCGAGAAGATCAAGGAATGGAACATCTGGAGAAACACCAACAATCGAAAGAGGAGGAAGGTGTTAAAGATGAGGGCAATGGCAACGAGCACACAGACCAAGAGAATAATGACTTGAATAGGAATGAACCTAATGAGGTAATGGAATCGTCTATTGTTCTTCAAATCCTTTTTAAATCCTTCTTCGCTAAATTCAGGTTTTTGTTGCATTGTCAGAGGTGTTGTCCCTGTTCAGGTGGATGATAAAGATCCCATGGCACTATCTGAGAAGAGAAAGGAAGTTTCTCCCAATGTCTCAGCCAACAATCACCCAAATAAAATTGATCATTTCACTTCATGGCTGTTTAGTAGGACATTGCTGTGTGGAAATTGGCTGCTGCATTCACCTACAAAGTGCGTAATCAATACACTTTACAGTAAATCCTGTGAAGGACTTTGAGATGTCCTCCCAATGTGAAAGCGCGATAACAAATGCAAGCATTATTATTGTTATTCCGAGGCATGATCTATTTCTGCTTGCTCTTTGTGGCCTCTCGTGTTCGTTAGATGAAATCTGATAACTCGGCATAAACTATTCTGGAGCGACTTTCTCTCTGGCAATGTTGGGTGACGTGATCTCGCTGATTTTGTTTTTTCTTCCGGGGATCGAGAGAGAGTGTGAGTGTGTGAAAGAGAGAGGGAGAGAGAGACAGACCTGCCTTTGTGGCAAACTTAAAAACACGTCTGACTCATTTTCAGAAGGATTTTTGTGGTGAATCATCTGGCACAGGTGTCCTGCAGACAGTTAGTGTGTCCGGCTCCTCTGTAGCACGTGGGTTACTTGTTCCTGTTGTGCAGTGGATTCCTGAGGCTGAGAGAGAGAGAGAGGAGAGAGCCTTTGGGTCTGGAATGTGTCCATCAGTCTCACATTTATGCCCCATTTCCATTGCTGGTAACGATTTTTGAAATAGATGATTTCGAGGCAGGATTTCCATTCGGCCAGATTTATATTTCCTGTTGCAAAATCGTATTCTTCAGGGGCGTTGAGATTCCAAATTAGTTTTGCAAAGTGTCTGTAGCATATTTGTGAGCCTTGCTGCTATTTATTTGCCAGTTGTTCAAGCCACACCTATTGCTTTTGGCCCCACGGGGATTTATCTTGGACGCCGTGACCTCATCTGCGTTGAAGTCGATCTCAGTGTACACAGAGTTGCTGTGCAAGACACAATCCCGTCAGTCACTTTTGCTGGGTTTACACTGAATCTTTGCCAGCAAATTGCTGCTAATTTGTTGGCACTTTTGGTCAGGCTGTGTGTTTGAGTTGGAGTCCTGCTTCTCATTTGATTGCGCTGCGGCTGCCGAATTTCACCCACAAAATATGCAGTCAATTCACTTGATAGTATATTCTGTGAAGCGTTTTGAGACGTCTCGAAGACGTGATAAAGCGCTGTATCAAATGCGAGGATTATTATTATTAAGAAGGTAATTGTAGACCCAGTTCAGTGTGTTATGTTTCTACCTCTTCCCTCAGACACTTATTTCCACTGTTACCAATCCTTTCTGCGTGGCTGAGGATGTCTTATCTTTAGGCCAAACCTCCTCCAGATCATCAGAACGTGGAAATCGACCTTTTCTGGGTTTAATTCCTTAACAGCTGACAATGACAGCTGCCTGGTCTCGTTTTAATAACAGCTCAAATAGCAATCTAATTAACTTTTTTAAAACAAAACAAAATTCTCTACAAATAGTTATTTTTCCACCGGTTAGTTTTCTCCTCCTTCCAAGCTCTCCTGATTATTATTATTATTATTTCTTCGACCATGCCTTCAGCTCCCTCTCGACTCTCTACTCCTCATTCCCTCCCCTCATCCTGACCATTTCCCCAATGCTCGGGTCCCGACCCAACTGTCCAGCACCTTGGGACGTCCTCCCGACATGAAAGGCGCTCTATAAATACAATCTTGTTGTTGTGTATTTTGGCTCCTTTACCCATCTGCAAAATCTGGTTCCGTGGATGTCAGTCACTATTCTGTACCTTGCTCAGGGGGCACCACAGCTAAATGCTGTACGTTCGCACAGGTGCACTATCCAACAAGGGTCTCGGAACAGTGACCGTCAACAGGACTCCAGTTGCTTTCTCCCTTCCTTAACCCGGGCAACTCGAGTTCATTGAGTACCACCTTGGCTGATATCAGCTGACTCAGCAGAGTCTGGTGTTTAAACGTCAAGCTTCTGATCTGGATGCTGTTGCTGGACCTTTTTACCTTCATTCACTAGACTATTTAAGGAGTTAATGTTTCTCATTAGTTTGGCTCTGTAATTAAATCTTTTATTGCTTTCAGCCTCTTGAGCGTAGATTGCTTCTGGCTTCAGTATTTTGTTTAACTGTTTGATATTGGAATAGGTTTGCTTCTACTCAATCAGCACTCCTTTTGTGTTCAAAACACAAGATGCACCAGTTAGGCCCTGTAATAATAATAATAATTACGATAATAATCCTTGCATTTGATGTAGCACCTTATCAAGTCTTTGAGGCATCTCAAAGCGCTTCACAGAATATACTGTAAAGTATAGTGACTGTATATTTTGTGGATGAAACGTGGCAGCCAGTTGCGCACAGCAGTGTCCCCCAAACAGTCCTGGTTTGAGTGATCAAATTGTAATTCTAATTGTTTTTAATGATTTTTAATTGTAATTCTACCCCCAAAAAGCGATCTGCCAATCGACTAACAACCGGGTTCCTACTTACTGCAGGTAAACAGAGGTGTGTGGAGTAAGGAAACTTACCTAATATATAGTGCGTGCTTCCAGCTGATCATGTAGTGGTGTGTAGGCCTTTGTGCTGTTAAAAAATACATTGAGGTTACCCGCTTCTTAACGATGTGCATGGAGGGAAGGCAAAATTCAGAACCTGTGATGTGTAGATAAAGGATAGCAGTCAGTCAAATTTTATTCCAATGCGAAAGTGCTCAACCAATTTGCTTTCAATTTCTTTCATGTTTAATTGCCACCATGAATAATTTCTTACGTTGAAAAAACATTCCTTAGCAAACTACAAAGGTTTTCATTATCCAAGTAGTTGCTTTATTGCTCCATTATATAAATAACCCCATTGGCTGTGTTTTTAAGGGGCACAAATGCAAAACTCATAAATATGAACTCAGGAACTTTCATGCCTATGTTTTTGGCCCAGATTGAAAGGAAAAGACGCAAGTCACCATACGAAGAACAGTTGGAGCAGCAGAAATTGGCAAACATACGGGCAGAAGAAGCACGTAAGCTGAAAGAACACCAGGAAACACTTCACCAGCAGAGATTGAAAGAGTACATGGAACGCCAGCAATATCTCCAGAAGAGAGAGCGTGAGCTGCAGGAAGAAGCCGAACGCAAGGAATTATTACTACGGCAAGAGCAACTCAGGTGATTTTTTTTTTACACAAACACCGTTATACCCCATAGTGGGATTACACTTAAAGAGAAGGTTTTTGTTTATTGCCTTGCACTGTGGTTAGGTTAATGGATGGTGAGATAATCCTCCGGATCCCACAGTAAACTGTGGCCAAACCCATGACCCAATAAGCTTCTAGCCATTGTGCTCAAGTCCCTTGTTGGTCTCTGTATTGATTTCATCATATCTCTGTGCAGGAACAGAAATCGTTATTAATCTGTGATGGTGATTGTCTTGCTGACCTTACAGGCAGGAGTTGGAGTTCCAGAACGAAGATGTTCCTGAGGCTGAGGATGAGCAGGATGTGCGTGAGGAAGAGGAGGAGGAGGAAGGTAAGCTTCCATCACCATTGATCGAAGTTTTAGACAGTTTAACCACCATGCTCATTGCAGCCTAGAGGTGTTTCAGTGTTGTACTCGGCCTAACTTCAGGCATGCTCAAAAGATGAAATAAATAAATCACATTTATTTTGACATCACCAGGGAGACAGATGGTGGAAGCAGAAAATGTTGTTTGTTTCAAGAACAAGTTAGATCAATTTTTGCTAGAAAATAATATCTGGGGAGACAGTATGTAGTTTGGGACACGACATGTCAAGCCACTGCCAAGATGGCGAAAGGCAAACTGGATGGACCTCGGTCATCTTTCTCCCAGCAAATTCTTATGTTCTTATCAACAAATGTTGAGGCGCTGTTTGGCTTAATGCGTGTAAGTCCGGTTGCCATTTACTGTACTTTGTTACTGCGAATGGGTGTGTTGAGTGTGAGAAACGGATTGAATTACTGACGGCTTCTCTTGTCATGTTCGTGCACTAGTTGATGATGAAAACAATCCGCGAGAGGAGCCTGAAGATGTGGTGAACGAAGATCATCGTCCAGAGCAAGAGGCTATGGAGCAACAGGTGAAGGTTTACACATGACTTATTGTGAGAGATTAATCTGGCACTGATCTACCTGATGATGTTCCATTAGCAGCTCACAGTGGCAGCCCTGGGCTCTTTAATGATGTTTCGTGAAGCGTCGAGTAGCTACGGATGATTTCTGCAGCTAGCTGTGCAGCCGGGTGGATTCACTGTCACCCTATTTTTAAATACGGTTAATCTGTTGTTCAGTTAAACAGCTATTCGAAAAGAGAAGGGAGTTTCTCCCGGTATCTTACTCCTGTCCTCCTACAAAATGCACACTTCACAGTGTAACCTGTGAAGCGCTTTGGAAGTTGCTATATCAAATATAAGGATTATTTATTTTTCAATTTGTTATCGGAGAAGCTGGCACGTAGGGTTAAATTTGCAGGGTTTCATCACGTGTGCTCTTTGTGCTAAATATCACAAGGCAAGGGTCGCAGATTTCTTCCCATTTCCTAACTTTTCCCAGTTCCGGGGATGTGACGAGGAAGGGGTTTGTGAATTGCACGGACAGACAAAACTTCCCAATAAGCCCGGACAGTAATGAAAGCATCCCCTGCATGTTGCATTGGTTTTGTTTTAACCTAGAAAACTATTGCACAGCGAATAATGTACATCCTGCTCCGAGCTGAGACTAAGGAGGCCATTACAAAGGTTGTTTTGCAAACAAAGTGGCTCGAATGACATCCTGAACAATGCTGGACATTTAGACAAGTTACTTGAACCCCGGGGTTAGATTTCAGTCATTCGCTGGCTTCTAGTTTGTTTGCTGAATCGGGTGTAAATCTGATCTCAACGCATCTGTGTTTGTAGATTGCCGGGAACCCTGACCAGCAGGAGGACAACTTGGATGACCAGTACCAGGATGAGGGAGAGGAAGAGGTAAGGAGATAAGCAAAGGCAAACACATCACGGTGACCCTCACAAGTTTAGTTCTCTATTAATAATAATAATGACCTGCAAATGGCCACTTCATTTGATGGGACTTGTCGTCTCCCCCCCCCCACCAACTCCCTCCGCTTACACAAACTTAAATTGTCAGCAGTTTAGTATTTCTTTCGTTGGAGGGATCTAGACGTTCACATGAGAGAGAGAGAGAGAGAGAGAGAGGCGAGTGGGAGAGAGTAAGGAATTGGCAGAGACTTGTGTGAAGTATAAACACTGGTTGGGCCAAGTGACCTGTTTCTGTGTTGTACATTCTTTGTAATCTTTATTGTCGCTTTCCAATGTTTGAACAGGAGAGGGCAGACCTTCGTTATTTTGGAGATTGTTCTTCATACAGCAATTGTCTAGATTATTTAGAGTATCTACTGCTATCTCTCACATATAGAATCTTTCACCTCGGGAGGATGTCAAAGCACTTCCCACAGCTGATTGGGAGCCTGAGCTTTTAGGTGAGGGGCTGGGAGGGTGGAGGGAGAGGGAGAAAGGTGACCAAAAGCACCGATGAGAAAAACACAGCTTGGCTAGTGATTGTTGAAGGAAGGTCTGGGGCAGGAGGTCACAGAGGAAGGGTGAGAAACCCAAGCAGCCTAACGTTTCCTTGCACGCCATTCCATCTGCACATCTCCATCTTGTTATATGGTGCCCAGTTGCTCCCTCCACCATTTTGTAGCTGGTGCCTCTCTGCTTCATGGCCTCATTGTCTCACAGGTGCAGGAGGATTTGATTGAAGAAGCTAAAAAGGTAGAAGAGAATGTGGAAGGACCGTACACAGAGAATGAAAATGTAAGTGTGAAGAAATGGCATGTGGGAATAAGTTCCAACCCACTTGGAGCCAGTGGTAATGTGAGTTTTCTGTGATCAAATGGTTTTATGAAAACCAACGTAACACTAGCGTAATGGGCGACGGTAACGGAATGGAATGCAGACTTCTATATGAAAGCACAGGTAGGTTCATTGATACCATGAGATTGTTTTTTCTTAAGCAATTTATGTACCATCAGAGCCTGTTCCTTTCCCATGTGATTCAACAAAAGTACATTATTATTGCGCTGTGCAAGTTTTGGAATGCGTCATCGCAAATCAACTTTGCTGACACCGCTCCCTACTCGAACCCCATGCAGTCCGGTTTTCGCCACGCCCAACCTGCGTGAAGGCTGCTATGTAAGTGCAACTTGTTGTTGACTGGTGTGCACAGAAGCGGCGAGAATAGAGAGCAGAATAGAGAGAAGAAAATAACCTTTTTATGTTACTGCCCATTTCTGGCTTCCAAAATCAGAACCACATAGAATAATAAGACGCTAGTTTAATAAATACTATAATAACTTGCATTTATATAACACCTTTCACGTAAGTGCTTTTCAGCATATAAATGATTAGCAATTAAGTGGAAGTTGTACAGGAAAACTAATAGAGAGAAGAAAAGGCAATAATAAAATAAAAATTATGAATAAAAAAAGTGATAAGGCACTACATCAAATGGCAAGGATTATTATTATTATACATTACTTATATTATTAAAAGACATTCACTTTAGGAAACCTGACAATAATGGTAGAAATGGTGGTTTTAGTATTTTGTCATTGTCTCACTTCACTGCGGAATCTTCTGCCTTGCTCTCCTCTCGCTGATAGCTTGTATGTGTGTGGCTGTAACCTTCCTGCCGTGCTGGCTGTGTCAGCTGTCAGCCGTGTCCATTGCACCTGGTCCCAGTGGTGTGCTATTTCCCTCTTTGTATGATTTCCAGTCACTGGGGACACTCTGCTCCTGTTAACCCTGCAAACCCAAGCTTACCAGATGGCGCTGTTCAATGGCTTTCAATAGCTGGTTGAACTCCAGCAGTTCTTCCGTGTGTAGGTGGTGTATATGGAACCCCGTCTAGTTTGGATAATCCTAAGGAATTAGGTAAACAGGATGTGTCCCTCCAGAGAGAGAAAGAGAGCGCATTCCATTCCAACAATCTATCTCTGGGATTTCCATGTGTAGACGGGCAAACCTCAGCTTGGTTTGGATACTCTTTAAGCACGGTGATGGGTTTCCGCACTTGCCAGACACCCACCTGACCAAAAAAAACGATACACAAGGAAATCCTGCTAGTTCTCTCGTATACGATTATCACACCCGACCTCCCTTCACTTTCTGGTGAGATGTTTCCCTGACTGTCCAGCGCCTTGGGATGTCCTCCTGACATGTGAGAGAGCTAAAAATCCAAGTTGTTGTTGTTGAGAGGCGCGATACCGATGTAATTCTGTATTGTCATATTGCATTCACTTGTCAATGCGATTGTTTGGGCAATCTTAACCGAGGTGATGGGTGTCCATCTGCACGTGTCATGGCGGCTGACCAAAATAAAATGTCCCTCTTTTTCAGGCTGAGGAGAAGGAAGGGGAGGTCGATGAGCAAGATGAAGAAGCAGCTGCAGACAATGCCAAACCGGACGAGGGGGAAAAAGAAGACGAGAACTATGAGGAAGAGGAGGATGAGGCCGAGGTGCCTGCCGTGAAGATGCGTCGAAGGGGAGAGATGTGAATTTTTTTATATATAATAAAAAAAAAGTTTTTTTAAAAAAAAAACAATTCGCTTCATCCTCTCAGTTGAGTTGGTGGAACTGCCATTTTTTTTATATAGATACTTCTACATAGATATATTTGATATGATGTTTCAGGATCATTTACATGTTTTATTAGCGGATGTATGGAATCCCTTCGAAACTGTCTGCTCTCTGATCAATTAATTACCTCTATTTCTAAGGGAGTTAAAAAAAAAGGTTTTCTTCCAATGTCGGCTCCTTTTGAGATGTTTTGTTACACATGCCTGGGTCTGGGACTTTGAGACTACATAACGCAAGGCGAACTTCAGTGAGTTCAAATAGTACTTTGAAAATAACATCGAAACCTGAAGGCTGGTATTTTCTGCTCACCGTGAACAGATATTAGTCGTGTGGTGAGATTACGTTAAGTGCTATACTGTACAGAGTATTCATAACCGTTGGTCAGAGTTGCACGGTAACATGGTTATTTTCAGCTTTGTTGCAGGAATGCAATTCATAAAGGGCTTTTTACTGGTATGGTTAATCTGCCCAGTGTTAACCATATCTGTCGGCATTTGTTTTATGGAGTAATAGTACAGTATTCTGGTACGTCAATGAGTGTTTAAGAGTCCGCACGGCACTAGGATGACTCCCATGTTTTGTGCCCTAAAGGACACCATTGTAAGTGTGCCTTGGTGTGTTGCACAGGGAGCCTTATGTAACTGAAAAGAATCAGAATTGCTCTTTTTTCTAAAAAAAAAACCCCACAGCAAAATCAAATAAAAAGATTAATTTGGTTACCGTAGATGAGAATAACCAATTTGCATCTTGTTACCGAACAAAAGTGTTGGTGCAAAAATGTAATTTACATTTGTGCCCATATGGGAGTTTGTAAGCAAACGATATTGTATAATAGAATTATGCAAGTCCTTAATCCACACTGGGTACAGATTGTGCTGTTTATTTTATTCATTGTGGTATTCTACACGTGAAGCATTGATATGAAACTCCCAGGTCATCTTCGTTCTTCCAAATGGCAAGAAGTTTTTATCAAGACAACAATACATTGCTTTTCTAAAGGATGTTCTTTTTAGGTGGAGTTGTAAGATATGTTGCTACACCCGAGAAAAGTAATATTGGGAGTTATTGATGCAAACTAGGAGTACGTTTTGAATGTCGATGGTAAGTAGAATTGAACAATAATGATATATGAATTGAATCCTTTGGTCGGTGATACAGTATTGTGTACTGTAATCCATTTGCAGTCATAAAGAGAAATGCCATCTGATCTTTCGAGATCTATCTCGAGGTTTAACAGTACTATTGTTACGTTGTACATTTGTGTAGTGCCTTCACATTTAGTATCTTGCTCACTTTCTTTTTAACGTGACGAGAATGCTTTTTTTTATATAATCCGCAGGGTTAGAGAATTAGTTTGACGTGATACTTTTTAACCTGGACAATTTAGTATGTTACCAAAGTGTATGATGCTGTTGGGGGTACATTTATCCAAATATTTTTAACCAAATCGAAGCGTAGATGAGTAACTGTGTATCATAATGTGCTTTATATTTTTGAGGGCGGGGAAGGAAGGGGGTTTGATTATGCTGAGGACTTTAAAGGATAATGTTTTGACTGTATTTAATTGGCAGCCACATATACACGCAGTGAGAAATGTGTGAGAGCTTCTGCCTACAGAGCGCTCTATCACTGTAAAATGTACATTATGTAAATAGCAACAATGCTGATCAACAAAAATTGGAAGTATATATAGTAATATGCTATCATTTCTTTAAAAAAAAGGAAACTTTTGTGAAAATATTGGTTGTCATTAAAGCTTTGTGATTGGTCCTTTTCTGTATTACTTTTGAGTAGTGCTTTTTGATGTTTGGCATCTTTTATTTATTTTTATTCTAGCGCACTTTAAGACATGGACATCTTTGCAATATTATTATTATTATTTGCAAAAGATCAAGGTTTGAAGCGACGTGGAGGTTAAGCTGTCACTATTTGTAAGTTATGTGATGAATATTATGGGTTTAGATGCTACATTACACACAGTTAACAGGCAGAGGAATAGAATCAATTAGACCAACTTGGGCTCTTTGGTCTTCAGAGAAGGTGTCTGCATGAAAATTTCGAAAGGGAGTTGAAATAGTAAATCTGGAACAATACTTTGTGACGCACTGAGAAAGTAGAACACAAGTTGAGTTTATAGAGGTAGAAAGAACTTTCAGGACAGCTATTGAGAAGGTTGGGTCAGAAAACAACAACTTGCTTTTATATAGCGCCCGTCACATAGAATATCAAAGTGCCTTACAATGATTGGGATGGACTCCGACCAGGTGAGGAGGGGGAAAGCCACAGGGATGTTAATGCTGGGAAGAGGAAAGATCATACTGCTCCACTGGGAATGCTCTTCAATTGGATTGGGATGCACTGTTCAATTACACACCGAATCTGCCGCTGATAATCGGTGAAACACACTGCCACTCTCTTTAAAATAAGATGCCAAGTAAAACACCTCACAGTTCATATTTTATCTGTATGAAGAGCTATAACTTCTATTAGCAGCAATTTTCTACAAAGTACTTCCAGAGAAAATAATTGAATTGTAATTAAGTTGGATGTTATTGCATTAAGTAATATTTTTTGGGGGTGGTGTGGGGGCGGTGAGGAAGCAGAATTCCTTTATTCAAATGAGCCTACACCATAAAATGCTTCAGGTAATCTATAAATATTTTAACACCATACTAAAACTGCTAAATAATTTAAAAAATGTCCTGTGTAATAAAGTGCACAGCAAACTCGAGGTGTAATTTGATGCAAAAATATTCATTCTTTATGGAATAGTATCAACATTAGCTGCACAATATTCGGAGTCTCTCAAAGGTAGGTTTTCATTAGTATTCATAATAATAATAATTCATTGCATTTAATATAACACTTTGCAACGATAATAATTTTCCTTGTACTTGATTCTGGAATGTCTCTGAAGCATTTCACGGTATTTACTGTAATGTGAAGCGTCTATTTTCTTGGCGAACATAGCAGCCAAGTGGCGCATTGCAATTGTCTCCCAAACGGCCATGCAGTGAACGCGTAGTTTGATCTGTGGGATTGCTCGCCAGGACACTGGAAGAAACTCCCTCCTCTCTTTGAATAGTGCCACAGGATCTTTGCTGTCCACCTGAGCATTGGTTTAATGTCTCATCCAAGGACGGCACCTCTGACCAAGCAGCGCTCCCCCAGCACGGAATTGGAGTATCAGCCTAGACTTTTGCCCGTCAGGAAATAGCGCAGGTTCTGGAGTTAGCGAGACTTTCCACCGGGGTAGAGTCAGCTGGCAACTTGGGAATCCCATCTAATGTCTTCAGGTTTGGCAAACAGGTGAATACACTGAAACAAAATACACAATGATATAACCTTAAAAAGACTCACGTGACTATTGATTAGAATTGATGGAAAATTTTGGTTTAATTTTAAATTGAAGTATAAAGTAAGTAGCACACCACCTGGATCTGTACTTGTCCTGAAATTCACATGGGTTTCTTTTCAGCGTGAGTGATTCTAATGGAGTTGTCCTGAGCTTGTGAAGTCCTCCTAATGTCTCAATGTTGTTGTCAGCGAGTGACAGAAACTGGATTTGGGGGATTTTCGGCAGTTGTTTGAAGGATGTTAAATGATTTCTCTTGAGATGAAGTTCTTTACACCTGCAAAGAGTTTGATATTTCATTGAGAATCTGAAAGAACAGAGAGAGAACTTATATATTCAGGAACTTGCAGTATTCCTCATGAGAAGTGGGGGGGAGGAGGGATCTCTATGGAACTGGTTCAATGGCCTTCTGTTCCTGTTTTCCTATATAACTGGTCTAATTTAGCATTATACTCATTCAACCTTGAAAAGACATTGGATTTGTGACTAGGGGAAAGAGATGTATTAATGTAAGTCACTAAGCTTGTGACTATGAACTCCTTTACTCTTTGAGCTGAGATTATAATGGTTATTTTCCAGATCACCAGAGAGGATGGGTTGAGTTGAGAATGAATGAACTTGTAAAGAACAACATTTAAGTCCCACATGATCACATGAGGAGGAACTAGAATACAATTCCCTTTCATATAACAGGACATGTCAGTGCCCTACAGTAATCACTAGAAAATGAAACTTCCATAACCCAAGGACTTTACAAATCAATTTACATTATATTGCCATTGTTTGTCAGACTTACCTAATACAACAATAACACCCTGAAGGGATAATTTAGAGGTTTGTTATAGGCAAAAAGTCATTTCTGCTTGCAATAACGTATTAAGTGTGCAACTTTAGTAAATAATTTAGTGGAAGCGTGGGGTGGGGGGTGGTGATTGAGCTTATTTGTAACATTCCCACAGCATAAAACCAGAAACAATAATAATCAAATGTGATACACTTGTCATTAAAAACATAGCCATGTTTCTTGAACCGAACTTGAATGTTTTAAATTGTTACCATCATTATTAGATCAGCGGCTGTGTTTCAGTCCGTATCGCTTAGTTCATCTACCTTGGCAGTCTGATACAACTGAGATCCGTCAGAGAGTTGTCCACCAGTTGAAGTTTTTCAACTCGAATCAACCTCCGCAGAATCTTGTAAAAGTTTTCCAGCTGATAGGCATCTCCAAGGTCCTGATATGAAAGGTTTACTTCCTATTGATGACAAAGGAAAGACGATCATTTTTACAATAATGGGAGACACCTGACGTCAGAACTCCTAACCCAGTCTGTCTCCGGAGTGAATCGCGCTCACACGATTCCTTATTTCTTTTAAGAAATATTGCAAGTTAGGTCCCATCGTACGATGATTTTGCACACGTGGTGAAATGTTGATTTTGGTCTTATTCCCGAGCCTCACCAGACAGTTTTCCCAGTTTTCCAGCAATCTTTGATCTTGTGTTTCTCTGCTCTGTGTTCCCTTTCTCAGAGACGAAGCGTTTTCTTTCAAAACCAAATCCTCTGCTTGGGGACCTGTTAAAAACAGATGTTCTAGAATAAGTTTTTTTTTAAAAAAAAGGGTTTCTCTCCCACATTGTGCATGCAGCAATCAAGACCATTTTACCTGAACTTGCGCGCTATGGTTTATGATCGATAATCTATTGCCAATAATCTAATCAACCGATCATATATAATAAGCCTGTACAACGCTTCCCATAGGTTGGTGTGATTAGTCCATGTGTGTGTGTGTGTGTCTGGTGTTAGTGAGAGAGGTGCATCTAATGCCTCGCAGCAGGTTTGCAGACCCATTTCAAAGTAATTTACGAGTCTTCAAACAAACTATGTCTCCTCTTGTAGGTATAGAACATGGTTGAATTCATATAATGCAATGCTGAAGATTTCCTCCTTGGTTTCTCTCTCTCCCCTTTGACCGCACTTATGGTCACCTCCTGCCTTGGTATCGTGCTTTGCCAAGTCAAGTGCTCCGGGGCACTCTCTTGCACTAGGGGCACTCTATAAATGCAAGTTGTTGATGTTGTTCTTAGTAGTTACCTGTTCTCACTCTTGGACAATGGAGCTGTGTTCCTCTGATATCATTTCCTTCCACTTCATGCCAAGTGCTGAACCTGAATTGATCCGACGGGAGCTTAGAAAACAAGAGGTCGACGGAGAGGAATTCAGAGATTGTGGTCCAGCATCCGAGTATGGAAAACCATCACACGTCAGCAACTTATTAGCCTCCACTCAGAATGACTCATTTGTGTAAGTCAAGCATTGTAGCTGATTAATATAATTTACATGCCAAATTGCACTCTGGGCTCAATTATAATAATAATATTATTAACGATAATAATCCTTGCATTTGATATAGCGCCTTATCATGTCTTCGAGATGTCTCAAAGTGCTTCACAGGATATACTGTAAAGTGAATTCACTGTATATTTTGCGGGTGAAACGCGGCAGCCAATTGCGCACTACAGCGTCCCACAAACAGTGGTGCATTGAGTGACCAAATTAGTTTTTTTAAAGGGATTATTATCCCCGGAAAAACAATCCGCCAATCGAGTAACAACGGGGTTTCTGCTTACCACTAGGTAAACAGAGGCGTGTGGAGTAATGAAAATTGCCTCAGATTTCAATCTGTCGGGATTCAAACCCGGGTCCTCTCGCTTGCGAGGCGAGTGCTCTAAGCACTGAGCTACAGGACAAATACTCAGTACTCACTGGTGACAATATTCCCGAATCACAGCTCTGCTCTGGAGTCTCTCTTCTGTAAACTGGTAGCGAAACATTAGCATCACTGACTTTGGAACCGTACGATGACGGAGTCTTAAAGAAGCTTCCACTGGCCGTATTCACCCCTGAAGAACTGGAAAAGGAGAACACTAAATTAGCAACACTAAATTATTAGTGTTTTAGCCGTGTAATACTTTAGGAGCACCGCAATGCACTTTCCATAAAATCAGAAGAAAACTGAAGTGCAATTTAACATAATGATTTCAAATGCTGTCTTTTTTTTTTACTTGGGTCAAAATGAACCAGATTATAAGAGCCCAAAGTCTTAACAACGGCCTCAATGCAGTTCAAATAAATTGTCAGACTGTAATGAATAAATTGCCCACTTTGACACTAATTTTGTAGTTCGGAATTATGACATTTTGCTGTGAAAGTCCAGTGGAATCTTTGCAGTGCAACTCTAAACATTTTTTTTTTTTTGCATTTGATGTAGTTGTTTATCACGGTGACACATATCTCAGAAACGCTTCACGGGATTTACTGTGAAGTGTAGTGACTGTGTATTTGTGGGAGAAAGCATAAGCCAATTTACACCTTGAGACGCTTTGCGAATGCTGCGTTTTTTTTAAAAAAGAATAATGGTAATAATTTAGTCGCTCAAACCACGGCTGTTTGTGGGACGCTGCTGTGCGTAATCGACTGGCACTTTTCGCCCACAAAATGTAGAGTCAATTCACTTTACAGTATATTCTGTGAAGAGCTTTTAGACATCTCAATGGCGTGATAAGGCGCTATATCAAATTGAAGGATTATTATTATTATTCAGACTCCCATGGTCTCAGAATCATACAATGGCTGCACTTTTGCAGGCAAATGCAGATGCGATGTTGAGACAAAAAATAAAAAAAATCACTTGAGTTAACTGTATGGCCAATGTTCCGCTCTACGTAGTTTAGGAGGTTATGGGCGCGATATCCAATGGAAGAATTATTCCTGGTTTGGGACAGCCTTTGGTTAGGTTATAATTAATCCCCGCTTCTCGTTGGGAGGTAACCATGGCAGCCTGATACTTGAGCGGGTGTAATTAAGTCGTGATAATGTTTCTTTAATCGTAAATGCATTCGGGATGGATGCCAAGGTGTTGTGAACGGGGGACAAAAAAGAGAGAGGGTTGCAAGGCTTTTCTTTGGCGCGGAAAATAAAAAGAGAGAGGGTTGCAAGGCTTTTCTTTGGCGCGGAAAATAAAAAGAGAGAGGGTTGCAAGGCTTTGCTTTGGTGCGGAAAATAAAAAGAGAGAGGGTTGTAAGGCTTTGCTTTGGTGCGGAAAATAAAAAGAGAGAGGGTTGCAAGGCTTTGCTTTGGTGCGGAAAATTGTGCAATTGTTTTCCCTTAAACTCTGCTGCTGACTCTCACTGCAAATGAACCACTTTTTGTTCTGGTATCGTGTGTGTGTGTGTGTGTATATAATATATATACACACTGGCTATGGTGTATGCCCTGGAGGTGATCTGGTTGCAGCCTGTGTAATTGCCTCCCACCCACACGAGCTGTTTGGAAAGCTTCTCCTCCTACCTCTCTGACATGTCGCCCGTTGCCCCCTTGACGTGAGTGGCCAAAGGTTTGCTTCTCGACCCCTCGGATCCATGAGAAAGGAGCAAAGGAGAGAGGCGATCGCTCTGGAGCCCGTTCCCTGGCAACAACGAGCAAGCTATTTGAGTCGCGGCGAGCACGTCACAGCACCACTCAGTCATCAGGGCAAACTGCAGCGGCTGCGGTGAGCTGAAGGGATCGCTCAATGCAAACAGTTCTAGAGCACTCGCCTTGCAAGCCAGAGGACCTGGGTTCTATTCCCGGGCAGGGGGTGAAACGTTCAGCAAGTCTCTTTACTCCCCACACCTCTGTTAGTAGGAACCCGGTTGTTAGTCGATTGGCGGATCGCTTTTCCGGGGGTAATAATCCCTTCAAAAATAATAATAATTTGGTCGCTCAATCCACGGCTGTTTGGAGGACGCTGCTGTGCGCAATTGGCTGCCGCGTTTCTCCCACAAAATATCCAGTCACTACGCTTTACAGTATATTCTGTGAAGAGGTTTGAGACGTCTTGAAGACACGATGAGGCGCTATATTAAATGCAAGGATTATTAGGATCATCTTGTGAGCAGCAGCCAGGAAAAGTTGAACCAGGTGTCCGTTCGCTAAATTCTGGAATTAGTGTCCATTAGTTTGTCCAATGGGATCCTCACCACCTGTTGTTTTACAGCTGCTTTTGAGATGGATTTTGAAATGCCCCAAATATTTTTACTGCCATGTAAAAGGGCGCTATCTAAATGCAACTTGCTGGAAAAAGAAAGGGTGTGTGAATTGCGATGATCAGCAATGACTTGCATTTATGTCGCGCCTTTCACGAAAAATAAATTGACGTCTTGCAAAATATAATTGAGCAGAAGTAAAGCAATTGTTGTTAAATGGGCAAAACTAAGAATATAGATAATGGGTACAAAGCTAACCCTAACCCTAACCAAAGCTTGCTTCTTTAAAAAATATAAAATAGGTAGAAAATTGTCTCATCTGATCAAAATTAAAATGAAGTCAGTGTTAGAGAGCTACACATTAAGGTTAATTCCACATTAGGTTGAAGATAAATTCATCTGTCGTGTCGTTACTTGGCAGTCTAGCATTTTAGATTTTTTGTGTACTTTCCTCAGCCTTCAAGCAAAATAAATAAACATAACTATTTGGTAATAAGAAAACACTAATGTGCCCTTTGAATTTAGTTAAAATAAATCGTCACACAGTAAATTCTAATAATAATCCCTGCATTTGCTATAGCGCTTTTCATGTCTTCGAGACGTCTCAAAGCGCTTCACAGAATAGACTGTAAAGTGAATTGACTGTATATTTTGTGGGCAAAACGCGACAGCCAATTGAGCACAGCAGCGTCCCACAAACAGTTGGGGATTGAGTGACCAAATTATTATTGTTTTTGAACAATATACTGAATAAAACTGAGGTATAATGACACCCAGCCTGCCTGTGTGTAGTTGCCAAGTCTTTCTTCTTTTATTGGCTAATGGGATATAATTTTATTGCTGAGTTCATTCTGCAGTCTTCTCGAAGGAAGCACTAAAAGAATCCTGGACATCTGCCTTCTCATCAAGTATTCATGTGGAAAACCCAGTACCACATGTGAGCTCATTAAACAGGAGCTTTTCTTTCCAACAAAGAGGAAGATTTGGATTGTGATAGTTATCTTACAGAATAAGGATTTATCTTCATCGTATTTACAAAACATTAAAAAATGAAATGTCTTTTGCTGAGCTGCTCTTTGGATGCCAATTCTAAATAGATAGATAATAATAATAATAACTTGATCGCTTAATCCTCTACTGTTTGTGGGACGCTGCTGTGCGTTTTGCCCACAAAACATAGTCAATTCACTTTACAGTATATTCTGTGAAGCGTTTTGAGACGTCTCGAAGAGGTGATAAAGCCCTGTGTCAAATGCGAGGATGATTGTCATTATTAATTTGCCCAAACTAAACCAGTGTGAATAATGGCAATGTCATTCCGATTCCTTGTGTATCATGTTAGTGACCGAAACAATCGGTACACTTCCCACAATAGAGGGAAAACATGGCAAGAGGTTGACCCGTGTGTTGCCAAAACAGTTTAGCAGGATATAGGCTGTCCTCAAATGCTTGTTTGTGCTCACTACACTGAGACCTTCAACAAGCATGATCAACAAGAAAACCTAAGGTAAGGATTCTCAGGCTGATTTTTACGCCCTGCCGAGCGGCGTAAAGGGCTCCGAGACATCCTCTCGACATGAAAGGCGCTGTGTAACGTTTATTGCGTTGTACAGAGACCGAAGTATTTAAATTACAATTTACATCGCTCAACAATTATTGGGGTCATCGGTGAAGTTGTTTTATTACCGGAGGGGCACTGCTGTACTTTCAAACTCGGGACAAATCTGGAAAGATCTTGCGAAGTATGCGCCCTAATTAATTTGCTGGTAAGTGGAACAGAATTCTCGTACCGTTTTACATAAATAATCACGGTCTCTTCCACGTGATTGAAGCTGTAATTAGCAGCTTCAGTCACCTTCATTGGCAAATGAACTCCAAGGACCATTCCTGCGTCTCTTCTGTATTTAGCATTCCGTTACAATCAGTTTTCTTGAGCACCGGTTTATTCTGTGAAGCACTTTGAGACGTCTCGAAGATGTGATAAGGCGCTGTATCAAATGCAAGGATTATGATTATTTTGTTTCATAGATTAGGTGGTATTAAGACGGCCCACATCACCAGAGAGTGGGTAAATATTCAAGTTGATTAATTATTGTCCGTGTGAAATCTTAAATACGAAATCGTTGTGTTTGGCTTCGTAGCAATTAAGCATTTTAAATTGATACTTTAGAGCGTTGAATTAATCACCTGGGGACTAAAGGGAGAGAATAAAACAATCTGACTGCGTTAGAGTTCTGTGGTCTGAAATTGGATAAATGTCAAAGAAGATGTTGTGAAAGATCAGTGGATGAACTTTTCAGAGGAAGTTTGATTCTTTATTCATAACAATAATTATTGTAATAATAATACTTACATTAATATTAGACCTTATCCTGTCTTCGAGACGTCTCAAAGCGCTTCACAGAATATACTGTAAAGTGAATTGACTGTATATTTTTGTGGGCAAAATATATCATCGATCGATCTGATTCACTTTTCTTTCTCTTTCAAGGTATCGTCTCAGGGTCATCGCAACACAAACTGTTTTCGAATCCACATGTATATCACCGTGAATATGAATGATTCAGTAAGGTAACTGACGTCTAGAACATATTGTATTTGGGCAATGAAAGACTCTCTTATTCCAGAGTATTTAGTCTTTTCAAAAACAATTTGACATTTAACTTTGCCTTCAATTTAGACACACCCTGTAAACCTAATTCTGGAATGTTTTGACTTAACACCGGTCATTTAAGTAAAAAGTTTCATTTAAAAACAAACGTAAGTGATTAACACTGCTTTGAAATGCCGTACGTTATTTCAAGGACACTCAGCAATAAAATCAGTCAAATTAAGCCACAATGTCACTAAACTTTATTACTATACCTGTGACAAAGAAAAGTTTTATTTTGAAATGTTTTGAAATCTCTCGAACCCAAACCCTTTATTTTGCTTTTACAGACATGGGAATGATTTTTTTAAGGCCGCTCACACAAACGACACCGCCATCATGAAGTCTTTAATGATGGGCAAAGATTTCGATCCTAATATTCGAGGTGAGTGTTTACTTCAGCTTTCAAAAACATAATTAAGAAAGAATTAAACTGAAGTTACAATATCTTGAAACCAGTTTTCGGAACCAGACATTAAGCCGGTGGTTTGATCAGGAGAGGGGTGTCACTCTGCCCAGTCATGAGGAACTGATGGAAAAATAGTGTTTCACAACAAATAAGTGTTGAATCATATGTACATCACCTGTATCACAAGTGGTTGATGACCCACTAATGCTAACCACTCCTGGATGCCACCCCATGTGAACATTGCTGTATAAATACAAGTTGTTGTTGCTGTTCTCGTGTTTGTCCTGAAACTCACATATTCCAAACCAGCTACTTTTTCAAGGCAATTTAGGAGAAACCATCTTGCACACAGCGCTGCTAAATGGGAATAAAGAAATTGCAGAGTTCATTCTGGATACAATACCATCACTAATCAACGAACCCATGACGTCTGACATGTACAGAGGTAAAATTCTAATGCTTACCTTGATGGTCCCTTCTCTACGAGTGCTCATAGATAGCACAGGAGCCCTAGCTTAGAAATCAATAACGTTCACATTATTTTGTTAGTAAGTTCACACATGATCAATGTGTTCTGAAACACTTTGTTTAACTAACACTACAGTTTCATTAAAAAGACACCAATAGTTTTGGTGCATTTCACTGAATCATTATTATTATTATTATTATTAACCACTGCAGTAACCTTTGTTGTGAGAATCAGCTGTTACTATCAACAGTTTTCAACATTTCACACTACAGGTGAGACCCCGATGCACATAGCTATTCTCAAGCAAGACGTGGAAATGGTAAATGAACTATTGAAACGAGGAGCGGACGTTATCAATGCCCGAGCCACAGGTTCCTGCTTTGTACCTGGAGACGAATGTCAGTGTTACTATGGTAAGGTTCATTTCCCTGTTCAAAATAATAATCCTTGTGTTTGATATAGCGCCTTATTACTTTTCTCTGTGTGTTTTTTTTTCTTGCCTGCAGGTGAATATCAACTGTCATTTGCAGCGTGCATCGGCAACAAAGAGGTTGTGACGACTCTTATTGAGCACAATGCTCCGTTAGAAGCACAGGATTCCTTAGGTGAGTAACGTTAGCTTCAGTATTTGTTTTTGCTTTACCTTGTTCCTGAAAATAACTCCTTTTATACATTCATAAACGAGCATCGTTTTCTGCAGGCAACACAGTGCTTCACGTCTTAGTGCTGCAACCGGAAAAAAAACAGGCGTACGACATGTATGATTTGATCACCTCCCTCGTGGCTGAGAAACAGCAGCAGTTTGTAGAGAATATTGTGAACAATGATGGCTACACCCCATTGAAGCTTGCAGCAGCAGAGGGTGATTTTGAGGTGCGTCTTGTCGTTCCTTTGCAAACAAATATAAAGTTCTGCCTGTATTTTATTTGCATCCAGCCTCCCAACAAGATATACAGTCAATTTACGTCCCAGTATGTTCTGTGAAGTGCTTTGAAACGTCTCAAAGATGTGATAAGGCGCTGTATCAAAAGCAAGGATTATTATTATAAGGCGCTATATTAAATGTAAACATTACAATGGCAATTCTCGACACCGTGGGAGTGCAGGCAAAATCTGAGCAGTCCCCAGTGAAGCAGTAACTGTGTGCCACTGCGTAGAACTGGGCAACTTCTCCATCCACAAGCCAATCAATGAAGTTCACATCAGTTCAAACAGCAACTTGTAAAGAACTGTAGCTAATTTAGCTCATAGATAATCGTACCTTGTTCCGTAGATGTTCAACAATTTGGTGCAAAAGCAGAAGAAGATTTACTGGACCATGGGGACAATTTGTTACTGCATCTACGACCTGACAAACATTGACACGTGGGGTGACCAGACATCCGTTCTGGACATCATAACAACAAGCCGGAACAGTGAGGTAACAGCAAGGAGCAGACTGTCGTTATTTGTGACAACTGTCAACTCATCACAGATTTCCAAGGCATAACTTTCCGAATTTCATGACTGATACACGTCTCCCGCCCGGCCCACCCCACCATCGGCGATCAGGCCTTCAGCCTCTCTGCCCCCACCCTTTGGAACTCCATCCCACAGTCCCTTTGCCTCGCTCTCTCGTTTGCCTCCTTTAGGGAACGTCTCAAGGCCCTCCTCTTCGACCGTGCCTTTGACTGCCCTCCAACCCTCAGCTCGGGTCCAAATGCCCTGACTGTGCAGTGCCTTGGGATGTCCTCCTGATGTGAAAGGCGCTGTGCAAATGTAATTTTGTATTGTATTTATAATAATGATGGAACGCTGGAGGAGCCAATGGTTATCCTGCTCAATCCATCTTGTGGGATGTGAATGATAATTCAGTGACTGAGTGCGATATATGCTCATCACATTTTGCGATTTTTCTTAAAGTTGTCTCTTTCGAACGCATTATTAATTAATTCAGCTTTTTTTGTGCAGGTTCGCAAACTTGTTGACTCCAAACCAGTAAAGGAACTATTGCATCAAAAGTGGAATTTATTCGGACACAAATATTTCCTGATCTGGATGTTCTCCTACATTCTCTACGTTATCATAGTCACCGTCTCAAGTCTGTACCGGCCCTTGAAGCTAATCCCTGCTGACCAGTCTGATAATCTCACCATTAAAACACAAAAGACATTCACAGTAAGTAGTGAGCACAGAACAGTTCGCCATTTCAGATGTCACTGATGTTCTTCATACTTGCATGTCCAAAATTCTTTTATATGAACATCCATTGCTGTTGCCCACCAAATATACAGTCAATTCACTTTACAGTATATCACGTGAAGCTGCTTTGAGTCGTCTCAAAGATGTGATAAGGCGCTGTTTCAAATGTAAGGATTATTATTTTTATTATTATTAATATTTTAGGAATCTTATCAAACGAGTGAAGACTACCTCAGACTGGTGGGTGAACTGATTTGTGTCATTGGAGCCTTGGTCATACTCCTCAGTGAGGTAATCTTACTGAAGACGACAGAGTTTTTTATAATGTAAAACTGGTATATTTAAATTTGTTCACGTCGTCTCTGTTAATGAAAACTGTTGTCGCTCTCCAAGAATAACCTTTTTTCCCACAGAGTTGGACTTGGGTATTGTGGTGAGGGTTGTGCAGTGTGGGGGTTTGGAGCTGTTTCTTGTTCTAGGCTGAGATTCTAGTGTCAGAAGTATTACGGTGAAGAAACTTAGAACATTGAAGGTTTTGCCCTGTAATGATCACAGGCGCCTCAGTATTGATTCTATTTCCAGATCCCTTATCTCTACAAGATTGGTCCAAAAAACTACTTGGGGAATACATCAATTGGAGGTCCTTTCCCATTGCTGCTGTAAGTCTACCGTCTTTTTCTTGTGCTTCTCTGAGCAGTTTATTGGAATCTGTTTTGAGGAGGAAATAATAATTTATATCCTGGATCAAAAAGGAGAGGGAGCGACAACTTGCCAAACCGAGCTAACTTTTCTGTCTGCTTTTGTAGATTGAGATTGTCTACTTAGAGGTGAGATTTCTGAAGATTTCAAAACCAGTCATTTGTGTTGGTCAATTGAAGGAATGTGATCAATTTCTTCTCTTTCACTTAATAGCTATTTGTAGGACATTGCTTCTAAGGAAATCGGCTGCCACGTTTGCCTACAAATACAGTCACTAAACTTTTACAGTAAATCCTGTGAAGTGCGTTGAGACATCCTCCTGACAAAGATTTGTCAGGTGGTCAGATGATAAAGAATTTGAAAGTAATAATCCTTGCAAATGAAATAGTGTCTTCCACATCAGGAGGATGTTGCAAAGCGCTTCATAGGACTTGATGTAATATAAATAATAATAATCCTCGCATTTGATAGAACGCCTTATCACAACTTCAAGACAACTAATTCAAGCGCTTCACAGGATGCACTGTAAAGTGAATTGCCTGTATACTTTGAAGTATGCAACCATAAGAAATCTTCTTCCATTGCGTCCGATAATAGTTTAAATTCAAGCGATAGGTACAGCTGTCATAACCAAACAATTTAAAAAAATGATGATTACAGATTTGCAGCATGCTTGACTGTCTATTGTAAATCATGCTTGAATTGTTGCAGGGTCTGTTATTCCCTATTGATCGCTGTGGCCGTTATCCTGAGAGTACTTGGCGATTCTGGTGAAGCAGTTCCTCTATCCCTGGCTCTGGTCATTGGCTGGTGCAACACCATTTATTTTGCTCGGGGTTTCAAAATGCTCGGCCAGTTTTCCATAATGATACAGAAGGTAGGACAACGGATTCATACGCTGTAACAAATATTGTCAAAGTTTACAACAGGCACTCGCATTTCTCTAGCATCCTTCACTTAGGATAACATCCTGGAGTGCTTTACAACGGCGATGTCAGGGAGCAAGGGAGAGGAGGGGAGGGAATGTTGACCGTTTATAAAGTAGTCTAAATGCTATCGTTCTGCTGGTGGGAAGTGGGAATTTTAGTTAGTGTCCCCCAGAAGAATCTATTTCTGTTTTCCTCATCCTCAAAAGTTGTAACTATTAAATTGAAATATCCATCGGATGGACCTTAAGAATGGTGACTGCCATTTTCTCATTTGCTGTTGGAAAAATGGGAAAAAGACAATGGTTAAATATGTTCCTTCAAGTCGTACTTGTTGATGTAACTCCTATTTTAGGGTCACGCATAGTAAAGCCTTATAGAGAACTATTCATGAGATTCCAGTGTTGGTCTAGGATTCTGGAATGCGCTCACATTGCCCTCTTTTTCAATTTGGTTTACATTTAAGAATAGAATAAATGTCACCGTGGTTCCTGGCTATAACATTTCAAACATATCATAGTGCTGTTAATCCACATAATATATCTTCTGAAAGTTGCTTTCACTATGCAAGACAGAGGCTAGTCTGAGAAAATGTAATTAAGAGTTTAATATTCCAGAGATAATTAATTTCCACTGGGTAAGTAAGCAATGATTAATCTTGGGACTGAACTTGTGTTTGAATTTTGAAATTATCGTCATAAATTATGAATGATGGAGACGGAATAAGAGTCGGTCATTACGGAATGAGATGTAGACAAATATGAATAGGAATTCTTGGCAATTTGGTTCTATGGAAAACTCAATTCTCTTGAGAATGATTATCATTTATAATTTTAAGTTGCACATGAATGATTAAAAATCAGACCACTGTACATACTGAGAAATATTCAGATGAATAATATATAGTATGTATTACACAACTGTGTTTGGATATCAGCTTTGAGGAGTTTTATTTCATTACAGATTATATTTGGAGATTTTATGCAGTGGTGTTCACTGGTCTTTATCTGCATCACCGGATTTACCTCTGGTACGTCTAACGCTGATAACTGAAGCCAATAGTAATTTCTACCCAAGCAAACCTCAACGTAACATCAAGTCAGAGAGGTAGGGAGGTGTCAGGGCACGAAGGGATTTGAAAATGAGTGCGAGGACCTTGAAATCGATCCTTTCGGTGAGAGGTTTTGGCTACTGAAACTGTGGAACACTCCTCCTCTATTCCTGCATCTTGCCTCCTTCCTTTCCCTATCTTCAGGTCACGCCTCGAGACCTTCCTCAAGACCGTGCCTACGTCTCCTCCCCCCCTCCCCCCTCCCCCCAGCTCGGTGTCGTGCTCCGCCACTGTCAAGCGCTCCGAGACGCTGCCCTGTGTGAGGGGCGCTGTATAAATACAAGCTGTTGTTGTAATAGAAAATATCTAATAAAAGGACATTAATTTTGAACAAGTACAACACTAATAGGCACTTACCCTCTCCGTCGATAAAATCAAATGGCTTCCGCCGTTTGATTTTATTCTTATTATTTGGATTGTTATATGTATTTTCTGAGAAAGTCGTGGCTGTATCCAGCTCAGGAGATGTCCCCTGTAACATGTCCACACCTCAACATTGAAAACCATGGACTGGAGTGAAATCACAGCGTGTGATGTAAGGGGCTGGCAGCAAGATTTGTTCGTCTTAGTTTAGTACTCGACGGACTTGAACAGAACGGTCTTACTTTGAAACGAATGAGAGAGTTTTCCTGTCGATCCTGTAGTGTTGGGTATTCCTTTATCTAATGGTTATTCTGACAGACGCGCGCCCATGTCTTTCAGTTGGTAAAGGTGACGCCTTCTAACTTTGCTTCCCCCCACCACCCCCCTCCTCCCCTGTAGCATTTTACGTCATGTTTCAAACCTTGGATTTGAAAAAGTATCCATATTTCAAGGACTTTGCCATGACCATGTACACCACAGTTGAGCTGATGATGGGATTGATTGATCTTCCTATTCCCTATGACACTCCAACACCAAGTACCATATACATCGGTTACGTCTTGTACATGATCTTCGTGTACCTTCTGCTGTTAAACCTGCTGATTGCAATGATGGACGATACGTACTGGAGAATTGCATATGAAAGGGAGGAACTTTGGAAAGTGCAGGTAAGATCAGTGTGTGTGTGTGTGTGTGTGTGTGCATATACATAAGGGAGAAAGGAATGGAGGGGATTAGGAGGGATGATGTGGAGTATGGGCGAGTTGAACTGAATGGCCTGTTTGCGTACTTCAGTGTTTTCTGTAATTCTTCATGTGTGTTTTCAGTGTAGTTTTGTGAATTTACCTTTTTCTTTCAGATTGCCGCGACCATACTGCTTCTCGAGCGCCGACTGCCATCTTTTCTGAAGGTGCGTTCGGGAGTTCCAGGGAGATCGCTGGGCTTTGACAATGACAAGTGGTATATTGGGTAATCCCGGAATTTTTTCCATTTCCTTTTTTGTCCACGCGTACAAAAATTGCTAACTTCTTCTGAGTTTCAAAACCGCAAGTTTCCTTCATCTAAATTGCACTGTTGATACAGGGTGGAAGAAATCCTCAGTGAGATGTCAGCAGAGAACGTTCAGGTGTCAGGTGGGGGTGCAGAGAAATACTCCCAAAATAGTCTAGGATGGGACGCAATCAGAAAGAATCTGTCGAAGATCATAAGCATGAAAGATTCTTCTGAATCCACCGCTTTTTAAGCCATCACTTTGTATACACCCGAACGATTCCAGTCGATACGTTTGTCTTTGCATTTGTTATCTGTGTTATCACGAAGAGTTAACGTAAACTGGATGCTAATGTTAGCTTTCTCCAGAATCTGCATTAACGTGCCCTGACTAATTTATTATTCTAAATTGGACTGGCTACTCAAAAAAACTTATTGATCAATTTTTGATGATGCATTATTGTATCGACATAAAAGAAGATTGCTTTCTATAATTCCCTATCAATTGTTTTTGATTGTTCTGTATTTTGAGCCTAACAAGGCCTTAGATTATTCTTATATCTAGATCAGCAACCACCCAGTAAAAAGACATTCTTATTTAAATATAACAGCATTTTAAAAAAAACAACTGTTTTTTGGGGATTGAATTATTGTCATTATTATTAATTATTTTTAGTAATTGCGTAGAATTTCTTTAGATGCTTTAAGAACGGAAGAAACCATTCTCTAGTTTATTCTCTGCTCTGATGTGTAGATAATAATAATAATAATCCTTGCATTTGATATAGAGTTTTATCACGTCTTCAAGACGTCTCAAAGCGTTTCACAGAATATACTGCAAAGTGAATTGTCTGTATTTTGTGGGCGAAACGCGGCCGCCAATTGTGCACAGCAGCGTCCCCACAAACAGTCGTGGATTGAGTGACTAAATTATTATAATTTATTTATCATTTTATTTCTGTTATCAGAGGAACCGTGGCGTTTTGGCAACACTCATGTAGCAATTGTACTTCAAATCATTTCAGAAATGCTAACAAATGACTGTTGGGATCTAAAGACAAAAAAGGTTTTCAATTACAATTTCTACAAAGGTGACAGTGACTGAATGTGAAAATGAATGCATATTATCACAAAAATAAACTGACATTCGAGCCTTAATCTGTTGATCCACTTTTTGTGTTAATCCTACACTGTTGAATATCACTCACAGAGGAAGTTCCAGAGGTTAGGGACACAATTGCTGAAGGCTCCACCACTAACTACCAACAACTCACCATTTACATCCTGTTTAAAGGCTAGTAATGACAGCAACCAAGAGCTACATTAACAAATATTGTTCAACTTCTAAATGCTGGAAAACTAGTCACCTTAAAAAAAGAAAGAAATATCTTGAAGAGGACTTTCAGAGTTTGTTGTACCAAAGAGCACGATTAAAATTCCGAAAACAATATTGCATTGGAGTGATTTTACTCTCAATCTCCTGAGCCACATGACACTCTATATTGGTTTATATTGCTCTGGCCTGCCTCACGTCCCCCGCCTCCCTCGCCCCACTATTGGCGAGCGGGCTTTCTGCCACTCTGCCCCCACCCTCTGGAACCCCACCCCGCGGTTTCTCCACCTAGTTCACTCCCTCGCCACCTTCAAGACCCATCTCAAGACCCTACTCTTCGACCGTGCTTTCGATTGCCCTGCTTCACCCCCTGCCCTCCACCCTCCCCGACCTCCAGCTCAGATCCGTAACTCTGTCTGTCCAGCACTCTGGGGATGTCCTCCCGACGTAATTTTGTTGTTGTGGTTGTTGTGTTCCTGTTTATCTCAAATGTGCAATTTCAGGACAGGAGGTTTCTGTACACTGTGGTAATTAATGACCGGACAGGATCAGCCGTTCATATTCCATGGCATTGCATAGCTACAAACTGCTATCAAACAGGTAAATACAACTGCAAAAAAAACACACACAGCACAGGGTGACATCTAATGTCCAGTTCCATCTTTATTGCGTGCAGTTATACAGGAAAACACACACCAGTGCCCTGTGACATCTCACACAAACTTGGTTTATTATGCTCTGTGTTATTCTACCAAAAATGCAACTTTTATTGAAAATCCTGTTAATTTCATCTCTGCTTTATAAATGTCTGTTTATTTAGCCCCTGTTTCATTCGTCACAGGGTTCATATTCAATGACTTATTCGCGACTACAGTAAATATTGCTTGGCCTTCTGTGTTTGGGTCACAATAAAAACGATAGGCATTAAAACACAGCCTTTGTTGATGGTAGATGTGATGACTATAGAACCTCTACAACGCTTGCAGGTATTTTAATGCTCCTGGATGATGAGGAGGATGAAAGAGAGATGTGGGCACAACAGGAGAAGGGGATTGAGAGAAAGAATATCACACTGTTGCGCTTGAATAAGCGTGAAATAATTTAAACCCCTCGAGTATTTCGCTGCATTATAAATACAAAATAATGAGATCGAAAACAAAGATCTTGGCAAACACAATTTGCAAATAGCAACTCCAAGCCACGTGGAGCGACTGCAGGTATCGAGGAGTGTGTCCTGCTGATACACGGAAACTCTGCTTTGGGGGGAGATGGTGTCTGATTAGGAGTTCTCATTAGGGCCAGTGTGGGCCACTTCTGCTTACCAAGGTGAAACGTTGGGCAAGGCTCCTTATTCCACAAGCCTCTGTTTAACAGTAAGTAGGAACCCAAGTGTTAGTCGATTGGTGAATCACTTTTCTGGGGATAATAATCCCAAGAATGTTTTGTAAAAAATTGGTCACTCAATCTACGACGGTTTGTGCGACACTGTTGTGTGTAATTGGCTATATAAGGTACTATATCAAATTCAAGGATTATTATTATTATTATTATTACCGTCAGAGGTAGCTATTTGTGACTCATGTTGTGAATACTGCTTTTGGAACCCCAATAAATACACTATCAGAACAGGCAGCTCGGTATCTCAAGGTAATCTTGTTTGCAGCTTCTTCAAACTAGCTTCATATTGGCACCAAGCCCATGTTAATTTACTCCCTGTTCAATCAAACATAGTTTGTGTATTTTTAGATGCTCCAGCTGAGTCCCCCTTGCTGTGCTGGGTGGCAGTCTACCCGACAAATTCAGAGCCTATCCCAGACTCGCATTTAGTTTGATGTTTTCTTAGCTTATATGCGTATCTTGTAGGGGTTTACCTACAAAATACACAGTCACTGCACTTAAACTAAATCCTGCGCAGCGCTTTGAGATGTTCTTCCGATGTGTAAGGTGTTATCAAGGATGATTATTATTTTATCTCAAGCTCTTCTGTTGCAATAGGAAGGATTTACCTCCCTCCACTTCAAAATTCTCTTTCAAAGTGTTGAAAATTTGGCGTTTGCTCCAGTATTTTTATTACATTGAGAGCGGATTTATCCCCCTCAGCCTCCCTTTAATAGTCCACTGGCTCCCCATCCCCTAGCAGATCAAATTCAAGATTCTTGTCCTCATTCTCTCGCCCCACCTTACCTCTGCAAAGTCCTGGACCTTGCAGCCCTGGTCATTCCTTCCACTCAGCAAATACCAGCTTGCTTCATGTTCCCTGCCCTCTCTGTCCCTCCATCAGTGGGCGAGCTTTAGCCATTTTGCTTCTGTTCTCTGCTCCCTCTATTCCCCCTCCAAAATCTATTTCAAGATTTATCTGTGACCTCATTAGTAACCACCTTTCCCTCCCTCCTCAGCTTCACCTCCCCCCCTCCGCCCGCCTCAGCTCCCAGTCATGGAGATGTAATACAGTTGTGCCAGATTTGGACACTGAGCAGACAAACGGTGTGTTTTCTTCACCATGATGGAGATTGGAGGAAAGAGTCACTAGTTTTTCCCACCATTTCTACCATTCAGTCCTCTTTTCAAACTTCATGTACCCAGAAATGGCACCAAATAAATCAATGTTTAAAAACGCAACATAAATTCTGTTTCAGAATCACAATCATGAAGTGAATTGATGTGGAGATGTCTTGTCAGAATCATCTTGCCAAGGATGCTCTTGCCAGGGAGTCAATTTGCACCACTGTAGTATAAATGCAGACTAAAATTAGCCACTCGTATAATCTTCAACAATATTGTCCCAACCAGCTTTTTAATGACAATAAAAATCACTGGCATTCAGTGGTGGTTAATGGGACTTTGCACGAAAGCTTAGTTAAGCATGAAGAGTTCTTCTAAGCCACTTGTGAAAGCAATTTTGAAGCACAGCTTGCTTTTACCCTGATCCAAATCCTTTCCGGCTGCAATGAATTTCAAATCACTTCCAGCCACAGATATGGAGCATGATGGCTTCAAACTCTTTAACAATTATCAGCAACTTACTGCTTGGTATTATATTGCCATCTGGACTGAAATGGACTTTAGACATGTTGAAGATGACTGAAAGAGTCTGAACCACATGAATTTCTATCACTTAAGTCAGACCACTTTATACCAGTAACACACGCGTTTCCAACCCTTAATTTTTCCATTCTCGGTCAATTTAACACATTGCTGCTGAATACCGGAAGCAGATCATTTGCAGAACACTCACACGCTCGCCCTGTCTATGGAAACCACTCGGCATCTCTTTGTTGCTTGGAACAGGGCAGAAGGTCAAGTGCACATTTTAGCCATCAAGTGTTGACCAGGTTTATTTGAGCGTTCACTGAACGACAGTGTAAGGAAGTTGTGACTTGCTTTGCGCAGATTGGCTGCTGCGTTTGCTTACAGATATGGTCACCACACTTCAAGGTAAAATCTTGTGAAGTGCTTTGAGACGTCTCAATGAAGCAGTAAGGCTCTATATCAAACGCAAGAATTATTATTACTCATTATCAGCCCAGTTTAATGTATTTGAATCAATCAGTGCTTCCTGCAGTTATGAGAGTGAAACTTGTATTAGCTACAGTATTTCCATCTCCAGCCAGTCCAGTTATGCTCCCTGACATTCTGGGAAAAAGAGAACGCACTCTTTGCCAATCTCCATCCCAAACCCTGAAACATTTTGCATCACATGGGATTTAATATTACCGATCCAGTGGAAAAATTACCCAAAAGTTACTTGATTGAGCCGCTGCATTCACTCGATCTGCTGAGTGCAGTTTCCTTCAGATTTATTGGGCCAAACAAGGTCGAAAACTACAAATAAGAAGTGGTAAACAGAAGCAGACCCAAACCAAAACAGTTTAAACTGGACAAAAATCCAAGTATTTGCAATCGGTTTCCACAAAGATGAAATTGGGCCATAAAACGTTTTATTGCTTCATGCGGTAAAATATCCCTATACTGTATTGCTTTGTAAACACCCAAGCAAGGCCATTTTGTATTGATATAACACACTTTTGGTAAACAGTTAGTTAATCTTCACATTGCATTTCCCTTTAATTCAAATCACTATTAAACGTAAAGAGAACCATCCCAGGAGGGAGGAGACACGATATGGGAGGAGACGTCATTCCCTGATAAGCTACAATCCCTTCATGTCAATGGTATGAAGATGTCCCCAGAATCTCCCACTTGTGTTTTTTTTACACGCGCACATTCTTGTCTTGGGAGCAAATGTGTGTGGATCAGATCTGGAGAGGAGGTTATGATGTGTAGAATTCCTAGTGCCAATGTGATCCAGCATTGTAACTGCAACTGAAAATGGTTTGGGACCTGCATGCCAATAATTGGAGAAGTAAATAATTACTTTATCGAGATAAAGTGCTGTAGCAAATGTGAGGATTATTATAATAATAATAATTATTATTGATATTGTGGCCACGCTTCATGTTTGCAAACTGCACTTTGAAAATAAAAATTAAAAGTTAATCAATCGCGAGGTTAATAAAAAGAAGAAAAGCTGTGCATTATTGGAATAATCAGCCCCTGGATGTATTCATTGTGTAAACACACTGGCAGATTTGCAGAGAGGGCTTCCTCTAAGAAATAATAAGCTCTGCAATGCCTGTAATTGTATTGTCCCTATTATTATATTCATTCTGTTATTTTTGCAACTGTAATTGCACGAACAAAATTCATTTGGATTGGAAGAAAAAAAACAATGGAGGTTGGATATGGGAACAGTCATGGGTATTGCAGCCACTTTCCTCCTGGGCAGAAATTATATGGCCAACCAAAGACAAATTTGTTCAGTGAGGTAAAACTACCATGGCACAAGGCATTATCGTCAGTGCAGATGCAGGTTTGAAAGCCAAGTCTAGTTCACGGAGGGTTAGAATGTAATAGGCGAACCATAAGTCATTCTTTCCAGAATGGGTCAGAAGGAGAATCAATGTCATGGCCTGTTGCTAACATTTTTTTAATGTTACAAGCTGGATTTCGCCACAACACAGCTGTGTATCCTTCAGAAACTTTGGCAGAGAATTATGTTTGCCATCAACCCATACGGCACAAGTTCTGAGCATATGTCAGTTCACCGTCGGGCGCTCACCTGTATTTTCACTGGTGTAAAATGCTATTTAGGTTTCTTACTGAAAGAAGCAGTTGTCGATGCAATAGATGGAAAATATTGCAAGAGAAATGACATTTTCCATTGAAGATCCAGTCTTTGTTTTGGAAACTAACGATCTGCTGAGGGTTTAAAATCTGCTTTCAGAAACAAAATTGTATTTGGTGATAACACACACATGTGAAACCAGCAACAGGAGAAAATAAAGAAGTAAATAATAAGGTCACATTGAATGCTGTGTAAAATATTATTGGAGTGGGATTTTGTCCAATGGGGAATGTTGTAAGCTGGGTGCTCTGCCTTGCTCCACATGGTCTCTAGGCAAGCTGGAGTGACAAGTCACTAATAAGTGATCTTATCAAACCTCTCAGGATGCCTTGACCACCCAAGAACAGGGGGTTAGAGTACGGTTTGGCGTAAAGCCTTCTCTGCTCTGTAGCCGTATTCCAAATGGCAATGTTGGTGGAGCAAGACCATAGAAATACTCATTCATTAGGTGATGGGATGAGTGTAGCATTGTAATATGGGATGTTAAGACCCTCAATAGCTGATGCAGGTTGCACTAGGTTGACAAAGTGAATGCAAATATCATGAAATGTGATGAAATGAGTATTAATATGTGCCAGCACCTGTAGCTGAGCCACATATGCTATGCGCTTGATTGCCCAAAAGTGCGTTAATCAATGCATTCTGGAAGGAAAAAATATTACAAAAGAAAGATAGGGAAGCAAACAAATGAAGCGTAGGGAAAGAGAAAGGGATTATAAATAGATGAATAAATAGGGATAGACCTCTGCATCACAGGCAAAAGAAAGCCATGAAGAGACAATGACATATACAAAACATAAAGTTAAAGAAATAGAGTACTTGTGATATTCTTCATTCTTAGAAAGTAGCACACACAGCACCACTAAGGGCATAATCTTAAAATTAGAGCGAGGCTAAAAATCGTAATCTTAAAATTAGAAATCTTGGGGCATTGAGACCCTATAAGGCTGGGAAGCCACATGTTTGTTCATGAAATTCAGGTGTTGTTCTGGATTGCACCATCAAATCTTTGACGGAGATGGCAGTAAAATACACTGAATTTATAGAGAGATAATTACAGTGCATGCAAGTAAAATTATTACAGGCTACAACTTTGAGACCACGTGATAAGGCACTATAATAATAAATGATAATAACCTTTGCATTTGATACAGTGCCTTGTCAAATGCGAGGATTATTATTACAGATTTAAAGAAATAAAGCGAATGAGAAGTGCAGAGACAAAGTTCCTCTATCTGTTTGGGATTGGGTGTCGAGCTTCCAGCACATGTGGAAGCCTATCACTATGCTTAAGAGCATCTCCGCTGATGGGTTTCTGCGTGTGTCAGATACCCAGTTGACCAAACGTTGGTTCGTTCAGCAAGTAAAACCCTGTAGAGTTCTCTTTTCAAGACTGAGGTGGATAGATATCTGTTAGGTCAGGGTATCAAGGGGCAAGAGCGGGTAATTGGAGTTGAGGTACAGATAAGCCATGATTTTGTAGAATGGTGGAACAGGCTCGAGGGGCTGAATAGCCTTCTCCTGTTTCTATGTATATGTTAGGTGCAGATTTCAATAAAGCTGGTAACACGTGCAGGTGCAACCTACATCATTGCCATGTTAATATTGCTATTTAAATCTGCTTCCAAAAACAGTTACTATTGTAATATGTGGAAATATTACTGGAGAGATGAGAAACTTTACCCAGTGAAATTCAGCCTTTGTTATGGAAACAAGCTGTCTGCAGAAGGTTCGAAATCTGCTTTCAGAAACAAAGCTTTATTTGATGATGATTATTAGTATAAAAATGGAATCAGCCGGGATATTAAGGTCACATTTATTACAAGGGATGGCACAGTGGGTTAACACATTGTCCTTTCACCTTTGGGACCTTGTTTGGAAATCTAGCCCAGATTGATAGGTGAAAGTTCCCTCTTTCAATGGTCACATTTGACTGGTCAAGCATATTTTGTCCTGCATGAGGTTGATGTCCTGCTTTCTGTTGAGGTGCATGTAACGGCACGTTTGGAAATACAATGATCTGTCACCTTCTTCACTGCTGACTCCCATGACGTGAAGTGTTCACCTAAGGGGTCTCAGTGGCCAAACACTGACCTTCACCGATGTATACGATGCAGCGAGAAGGGAATAGGAGAGTGCAAAACTCATCCCTCCCATCACCCCAGCCCTTGCCGAGTTCCACTGACTCCCTATCACCAAACCGATCAATTTTGGTGGTCATTTAGCTCAGTAGTTAGAGCACTTGCCTCGCAAGTGACAGGATCCGGGTTCGATTCCTGGGCTGGGCGAAACGTTGGGTAAGTTCCCTTACTCCACACGCCTCTGTTTACCTAGCAGTAAGTATGAACCCGGTTTGTCATTCGATCGGTGGATCGCTTTTCTGGGGGTAATAACCCTTTCAAAAAAATGTGGTCATTCAATCCACGACTGTTTATGGGACATTGCGGTGTGCAATTGGCTGCCACATTTCGCTCACAAAATATGCAGTCAATTCAATTTACACTATATTCTTGAAGACGTAATAAGGCGTTATATCAAATGCAAGGATTATTATTATTATATTGTTCTCCCTTTGCAGGATTTAAAAAAATGATTCTCCCAGTTGCCTGATCAATAAAATAAAATTGGTCACTCACTCCACCATTGCTTTGTGGGACACTGCTGTGCGCAAATTGGCTGCTATGTTTAGTCAATCCACTTGATAGTATATCCTGCAAAGCGCTTTGAGACGTCTCGAAGATGTGATAAGGTGCACTATCAAATGCAAAGATTATTATTATTATTAATAAACTAATGGCTTCTTGGCTCTCAGCATATCTCTCTTTCTATCTCTCCCTTTCAACTGCATGTATGTTGGGTCCAGGGTGAAAGATTCCCATCTTTGGGAGAAAGACGGGAACATTAAATGAAAGTAAAAGCTCTAACTCGAAAAACAATGTTGCTGGATCTGGTTAAAGCCATCAGCTGGGAGGGAGACTGACGTGAGCGCCCACATTTATTATGCAGCCAAACACACACAACACAACACACACACACGCGCACGCACACACACACACACACACACACACACAGACAGGTGGTTTAAAGGGCCAAAGCTTTCACCATGCAAAAACGAGTCACCTGAATGGGTTAGTGACAATGGTCTTGTGGATGTCTCTGTGTGTGCGGATCTCGCTGGGAGGGAGTTGTAATGGCCCTAAGAAAGCCAAACGACTATGAATATCAAGAGGGTGTTGAGAATGGCTGCATTCAGAAAAGCCCTGGATTGTTTCCTGACCAAACTGAAGAGCCCAGCTGCACCCATCGAGTCTGGGTCTGAACGGAGCCACCGGGATAACAGCAGTGAACTGGAGACTCGCATCAAGACCTTCAACAACGTCTTTGAAGTGAAGAACGCAAGGTGAGGGCGACACTGAGCACAGGCAGAGAAGCGAAAAATAATGTAAACCCCCCCCCCAAAAAAATGTATGATGTAGGATATTAAAAGATATCAAGAGATATCGAGAGATATTGCAAGATATAAAATATAAAGAAAGATAAATATTAAAAACAGATAGAAAATATAAAAAGATTTTAAACACAATGATATATCAAAAAATATATAAAAAATAAAAATAGGATCTAATGTATAAGAAAATGCTATAAATATGAAAATGATTTATAACATGTAATATTTACATGAATAACCATTATATCTAGAGGTTCATACTGCAATTCATCTAAGATGAGGAGTTTTCTTTTAAAGTACAGTGTAGTGGAATTTGGAAACTTTGGTGTTTTGTACTTAATGTATGTTGTGACTGTGATTCCTCCCTTTTTTTTCTTGCTGTTCAATGGCACCACATTGCCTTTGCTTTTAAGTATGGCTTGAGCAGGTGCCCTCAACTTTGTGAATGTTTAAATCCTTGAAGAAGTTTATAAGTGATTCCAAAGATCGGTATCTTTAACAGCAAATGGCCTGCTTTATACAATAATTGGTTCGGAATATGTCATCTGGAATCTTTGACACTCAGCAATTGTTTACACTACAGTTGACCCCAAACCCTTGGTCAAGAATTGGGAATACAGTAGTTGGATCAGGAATGTGATCAAATGCAGATAAAACTCAACATTTAGTTATGTTTTCCTCAGCCCATCTATTCTGCAATAATAATTGTTGCATTTAATGTCTTAACCACTTCATAGGATTTTTAATGTCATGTGCAGTGACTGTATTTGTAGGTAAAAGTTTATACAAATCAATTTACGTACATGAAAAAAACTCCATAAGTTGCTTATTTTACATGGTTTTTATTGCTAAATATATTGAATAACTTTTAATTGATTTGCATTTTGTGTAACATTTGTGAAATAGTCGAAACATTGGCGCAGCTTGTAATGCATTCTGAGTTCCCAGATATTTGGTAATGTGTGGTTAGAACAGTGAATGTCCTTTACTGGTAGCTAACTATATATGCAAAGAAAAACATACAGCTACGTTATATAACATAAATAAATGGTTCATTAGGTGATGGAATGAGAGATTTCCATTAAGAAATAATAATAAATTGGTAACTTCAATCCACGACTGTTTGGGGGACTCGTGCGCAATTGGCTGCCGCGTTTGCCCTCAAAATATACAGTTCACTTTACAGTATATTCCGTAAGGCGCTGTATCAAATGCAAGGATTATTATACTATTATTTATTAATTCATAGGAGTTCAAAGGCAGTGAAACAATCAGATTTTGATCGGTCGTTTGTTGGCAGCCCATGCAGAGAAAAACCGTGTGAACCTCAATATGAGTGTCCAGATTGGTTTGTTTCATAACTTTCTCATAAGCTTAATAATATGAATGGACATTCCTTCTGCAAACCTTCTTGAGATCCTGCATGAAACGTCTCATTTGTATTGGATTCTTGAACATTGCTAAACTTCAAAGATATGTACAAACTTTTTCAGAAGGCTTTGGAAAGTTTATCAACAATCTCCAGGCTTTTAGTACTAAATATCTGAATAAACAAACAGAAAGAGCATTTGAGTGTTGAACGTGGCCCTAGTCTGGGGAACGTGAAGTGACGTATGCAAAACAAAATAAACTTTGTAACTCTTGCTGTCTTGTTTCCAGTATTGAAAACAAATTGGAATATTATTTTATGGAGTATCCCAGATAGAAAGAATCCCTTTGTTGTGTTCCTTCCAAAACTCAATGTAAAACTCTTCCCGATGTTCCCCTAATATTTCCTCCCCAATGTTCAACTATCAATCTTGCTAATTTTTCTCTTTGTATCCCATTCCCAGTGAATTCTACCATGGAATTGTCACATAATTCTAGGTGTTTTGATGGAAGATGTCTGTAGTTATGGGTGTCATGCAGCACTCCCTGTTATAATTCTATGCTCATAGCCTTAATCTATTTACAAGCTGAATGAGATCAAATTTTCTTCCAGCAGCATATTGCATATATTCTCCCCCTCTAAACCTAAAGCTGTCACTCTGTTGATGATGACCATGAAAGCTGATCCACGTTGGATAAAGGGCGAAAATGTGAAACATACAATCACAGCTCAGTCGATAATGATTTATCTCCTGATTAACTCTGCTTTTGCCTAAACAGCGCAATAGCCTCAGGCTAAATTGGAAACGTTTAAGGGATGTTTGTTTTGGCAGAAGTATGCATCAAGGAAAGGAAGGCTATTTTGGCAAAAAAATGCACTATTTCCCCCTTCCAATCCCACCCATCTGCTTACAATTCCAGCCATGCACGCCTAACAAACCCCAGAGTTGCTCCTCGGTTCTCAAGTGCATCATTCATTCGAGCAGTTGCTTAACAAGAATTTGCAAATTGCAAAATAAATTACTGTGGCATTGCTTTGGTCCCGGCACAATCATTAATGGTGTCAAACAGCTGGGACTGGTTTGCTCTCCAATTAGAAGTAATTACATCTTGGGTCCATCATTGGTGAAATCCCCTGACCACCTGAATGCATTTAACAAAGCAATCTTTGGTATGTCTAACAATCCATTTGCTTTTGCATCGAAACGTTCCCTCATTTGTATCTTGAAATAACAGCAAAGAACACAATTTGGCTTCATGGCAGGGATAACTGTCGAGATGAAAATTATTGAGCATTGACTCGAGGCCCTGGTTTAATAACAGAGGTACTGAAATCTTTGCTGCTGTGCGCAATTGGCTGCCACGTTTCGCCCACAAATATACAGTTAATTCACTTTACAGTATATTCTGTGAAGCGCTTTGAGACGTCTCGAGGGTGTGAAAAGCGCTATATCAAACGCAAGGACTATTATAACTTCGACAGTTGAAATCCAGTTATTCTAAGAAGCAAAATCAATGTCAGGTGTGCAAAAGTGAAAGCCTTTGCTCCAAGTGAAGCTGCTGGTTGTCTGCTGCCACAGGTTGCTGCGGTTCTGGAAACCTGATCAGGGAAAACATTTTCTGTCCTAGCATTAATGTCGTCAAGTTGGCTTCATACTTAATTAGTATGAAGTTAATTAAGTTAAGATAACTTCAATTTTACTATGTGGAAATGGAGTGGTTCTCTTGATGCCCGAAATGCAGTCCAAAGCTATTAAACCCCCTGAAATCTTCTGATAAAATGTGTTGCCCGGCCTGAGTTACCTGGCGTGTCTGGTGAGCTGTGCAACTTTCTCGGATAATGTAAACATCAAATCATGATAAATTTATAGCCTTTCCATTGGAATACTTGTATAGGGGTCTGTCAAACAAAAATGTGTTTACTCCCTCCCCCACTCCATTGTTTTTCTCATCTGTATCGATGATCCAGGTTCAAAGATTGCGGTCTGTTTGTCAATAACACCACACCAATTCCCTAGACAGTATATGGGTTTTCCCTGGACCTTTCAAAGTTTTTTTTTGCTATTTTACATAAAGCCACACGCTGCTCTGTACAATAAGTAGCTCTTTCTCGGGGCAGTGACTACTGGATTTCTATAGGAATCTGTGCTGGGTTATCTTCTGTTCCTTCTATTCATAAATAATGTTAAAACATAATAGCTGAAGGCTTGGAAAAGATCGGAGGACTTCATTAAGTTGTATGCCCAGGCATTGCTTGTTATGGAAGCTGATAAATAGAATGCTTGAGATGTAAATAGAAATGAGGAGAAATAAATATGAACGTTTTTAAGGAGTCAGTTTGGAAAGTACCAGAGCGAGTCTAATGATATGAAATGCAGCAATATCACAATGAACGTTATCTAAAGTTTATGGAGAAATAAAACCATGTTTGATGTGCCATACGCGAGTCCAAAACAAGGATGATGTATTTGTTAAAAATATTGCCCTCAACTTGTCACCTTGCAGGTGTGATCAAGAAGCAATTGATAACGCTGTCTTAGTCAATGTGAAACCATACATCTCTTAGACTTGTATATTTGTGGTGCTATCTGTACTGATGTGACAGATCAATTATGCCACCAAATAAAACAAAACCTTTTTAGATGCACATGTAACATGGTTAAATATTCTATTTCAATTTGATTTGAAAGATCTGTATCTTTAGGAGACTGGGTGTCCTCTGCGTGGCACAGCACTTGCTGTGGGGGGGAGGTTGGAAGAGACTTCAGGTATTGCAGTGATTGACTATTTGGCTCAACACATATTGAAATAATCTGAAACTGTCATTAACAAAGTTGAGCAAATTCATTGGACTGTAAATCAAGAATAATTACTCTATTTCTGATCAAGCTTTGTTGAGGCCACCTTTGGGACACAGCACTGTATTACGTTCGGGTTTGAATGACTTGCCTTTGAAAGGATATTGTTGGTTTAGGGAAAAGGAGGAAGATTAAACCAGGATTTAAGTTCGGTTCTGTATGCTATGAAGAGTGGATAACATAAATTGTTTTCATTGGCAACAAGGAGATTGAAATGGAACAAGAAGCAGATTTTTTTTGAACGCTTAAAGGAATGGATGATATTCAGGCATGCAATTCAGTTTTAGCTCTGAGCACAGAACTATAAGGCACAAGTATAAAATCACCAAGACTCAAGTAACAATTGAGATGAGAAGAAATGTATCTTTTCCCCTAAACTAAGGAAACAATACATGATTAGAGTCTCGTAAAGCAGTGGAAGCTGTGTTAGTTAATGCTTTAAGGAAATTGCTGAAATAATCCTAAACTACCATTAACAAAGATGATCAAATGCTTTGGACTGTAAATCAAGAATAATTATTCTAACTCTGATTAATCATTGGTGAGGCATTAAGTCGGTTAGTAGCTTAAGCTTTGAGACACTGCTGTGTATGAAGGGGGCTACATAATAATAATAATTCTTACATTTGATATAGTGCTTTTCAAGTCTTCGAGAGGTCTCAAAGCGCTTCACAGAATATACTGTATATTTGTGGGCCAAACGCGGCAGCCGATTGCACACAGCAGCGTCCTACAAACAGCCGTGGATTGTAATGCGTACTTACTGATGGCATAGTTTCAAAAACATTTCAGGTTTAGTTCATGTTCACAATTTTAAAAAACATCAACACCGGGCACTTAATTCCATAGTGACTTCACTTATATTCGTAAAATACAATTTATAAATAAATTAAATAAATCAATTCCGCTTTTATAACTGTGAATTGTTACCGTTGTTAAGGTGGTCTAGCTAGAAATGTTGCTGATGGTCAGAGCGCTGAAATACGGATGGAGTTAGTCGAATGCTGAGTGATCTGTTGGACTCCTGGACATGCTAAGAACAGATTATGCAGGAAGTGAAATCTTGCAGACGTTTCCTCCGAAGATGAATTGGGGTTGGGTAGAATCCTGATCTAACAAAGTTGCCTGTGGACGGAATCTGCTCGAAGGGCCACCTGATCTCGTCTTGTTTGGTACTCTTTTTGTGAAAGGTGAAATCCCATGCCACTTTCCCATCCAGAATTACTTCCAATTTTTTCTGCCGCTGTCAGCACTTGTGGTGCGTAATGCCATATTTCTGTTTTAAACATTGAAACAAACGTTCAACTGATGGATTACAATAGAAACGATTTCACTTTGCAGGACGGAAAGTCCTTTATTCAAAGCTGCAAGGCAAAATGATGTTGAAACTTTGAAGAGTTTAATAGAGGACAATAATGTCGACCCACATGAAAGAGGTAAGTAAAACCTAGCAGTAGGTAGCCAATGTTGTATGAAACACTGCATGCTTAAAATAACTGGATAATCTTTTATACTTAAGCAAATTGTCAAATCCATCAATGCACCAACATTAATGACATGTTTACTGTATTGGCAGCTCAGTCAGTGCTGCTTAATGTAGGCCTCGTGCCTCATTCAAATAGACATTTGTGCAGGTAACAAGTTTCTGTCTGTGAAACATTCATTCCCTACTCACCATTTCGCACGAGCTGTGCCTAGAGACTCAGCTCTTATCTCTGCTGTGTTTCAAACTTCCTATAAAGGGAGGTTTGAGACAAAATGATGGAACTGCAGCAGTATTAAGGACAGGATGGAAACGTGTATGTGTGTGATTGGCACCATTTCAGACTTCCTGTAATAATCTGTGTACACATAGAGGTTACACAGGCAAGCTGGTAAACTAGAAAGACTTGTCTTTGTATGAGGGAGAGAGAATAGAAAAAGAAACCTAGTGTATCACTGGTAACTGGGTTCTTGTGTGTTTAAACACAGCATTATAGGCACGGTATTTGCCTTTTTTTTGATGATGACAAGAAAGGGTGACACAAAAACTTTACATTACTCACAAGTACTGTCAAGTGGAGTCACTATTATTTGTAAACGACCATAACATAAAAGCAACTACTTATGTCGGTGAAGTGAATGGGAGAAAATCTCTCTACTGTCAAATATTTGCCATTGGAGCATTATTATCTGATGCCCCATCTTAACAGCTCATCTGACTGTATTGGTGTGAAGGTCTATTACTATATAACATGAACCTCAAAGTCGGAAGTACTGCTTGAATAAGCCAGGCTCCAATTAAGGTCATCATCAGAATATCCAATTTCAAAGCAGAAATGATGCTTATTAATTAAAGGGCTCACCAATGTTATCCTCATTAGTGGATTTCTATAGTAGTTAATGAATTGTAAACATTTTCCTTTTTCCATACTTTGTGCATTTTCTCGCTCTGTTTCGCTACCAAAGGAAACATACAAGAAAAACAGCCAGGGACACCGTTCCTCCAGGGAATTGTGCAGTTATTGTCTGGGGCCACAAGGCAACATAGTCAATGAGTGAGGACCATTTCTCTTATGGGAACTCATTCAGAACATGTAAAATGTGCTCAAGGGTTTTACCTTAATGCAGCCAGATGCCTTCAGGATTATTAGAAACCTTTTAAATGATTGAACCGGCATTATCTGCTCCTTGGAATTCATTGGAAGATATTGACCAATGTGGCTAAGTTTGAGAGCCAGAGATAACTCTGAAATGATATCGGCCAGATCAGATGATATCCATATTGTATCCAGTATCCAGTGACAGGAATGAAGCAATGATAGCAATCAATGCATATACTACTTTTACTAATAATGATTTAAAATAATTGTGTTATTAAGGCAAAATCAACGGATACCATTGTTGACCAGTTAGGGGCACAAGCCTTCTTCAGAGCCATTACACTCCTCTCATGTGCACTGTTTCTTGATTAGTACGACATGATTGTCAATTGCCCCATTTCATTTTGTTAGTCTCACCCTGCATTCAATCAACCTTCACACGCACCGGTTATTAGCACTGACAAAGAAAAGAGAAATAAATGGTTTTCGAAGCAACTTTCATTTCAACAAACACTTATTTTTGTTGAGAGATGAAAACAGCCTGTTGACCAAATTCTAACTGCTGAATACATTGGCAATGTTATATAACCAGGTTCACAATCACTATGTAGTGTAGAACCTTTCCTTCAGAGACTGAATGAGTTAGGACGTCTATGGTTGTGTGTGGTCTTTGGAAGGCAACGAGTTGAAGGACCAATTGGCCTTCCCTCGACTGATGCTTTCTTAAACTCCGATGGATTTGCGGAGTACTCCAGGGCTTTCTCTGGAGATTAAACCTGATCTTTACAAATCTGTACCCCAAGGCATGTTCATTAATGTTTTCAATTTGCTTTATTATCATGCAGGTGCTGTTGGTGAAACGGCTTTGCACGTGGCATCACTGTATAACAATAAGGGCGCTGCAATTGCAATACTCAATGCTTTCCCATTCTTAGTAGATGAACCGATTGACTGCGAGATGTATAGAGGTAAGACACTGTAACTTTTTGCCCCCAAAAATATATCAAATGTGCAGTGCGCATCGTGCAGGAGGCAGTTTTAAAATCAGTTACGTTTGTTTTATTTCATTTTTAAATAGTTTTATTTAGTTACAACTCGATTTGTCCAGAGAGCAACAATCATTCAGAATGAGGCACAGGGAAAGATGCCACAGGGAACATTAACATATCAAGCATTCCCAGGTCAAATGCAGCACAGTTAACTACTCTATCCTGACTTGAGAGTTAAATTAAACCCAGTATTCTGTGAACCAAAACTGGAAAGTTGGTGGCACAACAAGCAACTTTGGACATAACTATTTACACAAAATTGGAGGTGGTGGGGTGGGATATCACTTGGACACTAACATTCCACAATGTGATAATTGCCATCAGTGCATTGAATTCTCCCTATTTTCACCCCATATCTTCAGATTCAAATCTATGCAAACTCAAGCAAACCCAACGGTACTTGAATCACTTTGGGGGGTCAATGAATTGGGATTTTAAATAAATCCTGGATTGAGTGAGTGAGTGTGTAAGTGAGTGAGGTGACGAGATCTCGCTGCACACCAAGCTACTTGTCAATGAGCACCAGTCTGGAATATTACCGGAATGACTAACTGATCTGTCTTTAGGTGAAACTGCGCTGCACATTGCGGTGGTGAATCAGAATGTGGAACTCATTACGGAGCTGCTGGGAGTAAACGCAGATATAAAATGTTCGCGTGCTGTAGGGACTTTTTTCACACCAGGAAGAGAATGTCGGTGTTACTATGGTACGGTAAGAGTTTTCCACAGTATTTCCAGTAGAACGGATCTTCTGATCTGACTTTGTTGTTTTGAGTTACTCGTAACACTATACTTATCCAATGGCCTTTGTGGCACTGGTTTGATAGTACTCCCCAGGCAAGGCTGGTCTTTGTGTATGTGGGTAGGGATGGGGGGGGGTGGGAAGAGGAGTTCAGATTGAAGATTGCACAGGGAATCTTCACGGATCTGCACTTGTGTGTTGCTTTCTGACGGCCACTTGAGAGTATAGCTGACACCAGCTTGGAATCGGACCAACTTCAGTCACAAAAGAATTTTTTTGTGTGGTCTGACACATGCGGAAACCCATCACCAGGCTTAAGAGCATCCAAACCAAGCTGAGATTTCCAAGCAGTCCACCTACACCTGGAAATCCCAGAGATAGATTGTTAGAATGGAATGCTCTCTCTCTCTCTCTCTCTCTCTCTCTCTCCTTGGAAGGATACATCCCGCTTACCTAATTTCGGAGCGTATTAGGCACAGGTTGGCAAGAGCCAAGGCTTGGGGGACCCCAGAGTATGCGTTGGGGTAACTGCTGGAGTCTAACCAGCTCAAACCACATAGCAAGACATTTGTGGTTCTGCAAGGCAAGACAATGGAGAGAAAATAAGAGTGCTCGCAATAAAAACAACTATCATTGTTATTGTGACTACTTTGAGCTACAGCAAGGTTAAAGTTAAATGACTGTAAGGCAGTCATGCCTTAACACGTTCTTCTTGGCATCTCCCAAAATCTAATGTTTTCCAAATTAAGTGTGAACCACAGTCATTGCTCACATTGATTTTTCTCGAGCGCAAATTATCTCTGCAGTTCTTTATTTCTACAGAGTTATGGCTCTGTCACAGATTGAATTTTGAAAGTGTTTATGTCAAATAAAATAACATTGGTATGAAGTCTCCGAGACTGATAATCTGAGTAAAGTTCTGACTTTAAGGTTGTGGAGGAGAATGGCTCAGGGGGCTGTTTCTATTTAGATTCCTTCACTTAAGAATTCAAAAATAACTTCATGTAAAGTCTGGATTTACTTTGTTTTAGCATTTCAGAGTGGGCAGAATTGAGCAAGTTGTTGAAATTTGTCTTAACTTCAGAGTCGGTTTATTATGATTCTTACATTTATATAAAAAAAAGCTTCAAAATGAATACTGAATTGTAGAATTTGCCACATTGTGAACTTTTTTTTCTAATGTCAATCTACTACCAGATATAATTTCTCCACCTATTATGCTACTGTTCCGTAAAGCTTGTGGTTATAATAATAATAATAATCCTTGCAGTTGATATAACGTCTTATCACGTCTCACAGAACAGAATCGAGCCGCACAGACTCGATGGGCCGAACGGTCTCCTTCTGTGCCGTAACATTCTGTGAATCTATGAATCTATACTGTACAGTGAATTGATTGTATATTTTGTGGATGAAAGGGTAAAGTGGGATTATTTGATGGGATGCTTCAGTCTCGGGGGCAGAATATTTTCACCTCTCTCCCAAACCAGATTATGTTTGGATAGAAAAGGGGCAATGTATTTATAGTTGAAACAAAAGCAGTTTTGTTTAGCCACATAGAAAACAGGTTATTTGCTTGATTCACACGGTAGGCTATACGTGCCTCACTGCTCACAGTTCAGTATGAAACGATCTTTAACTTGGGGCTAAGATACACTATGAGATAATATCTGCAGTTTTCTATCAGTATTTACAGTGATCGCTTTACTGTTTTTCAAATGCGTGTTGTATTTCCTGATTATTTTTATTTGCTTGTAGACTGACAGAAATTCTATACATTTTCCCCCCTCTGGTCTATGTCACTGAATAACAACATACAAGTGTACTGTAGTATTGAAAAAATACGCGTGTCACCGTACTAACGGCAAATGGCCTATTTTTGTGGATCTGTTTGCAATAAGGATTTCTCACTAATAAATAGGACATTCTTTGTTTGAACTCATCCACCTTCCCCCCCCACCCCATGCACTCACAACCAGATTTGGAATGGCGAGCATTTGTAGTACAAACAAAAGTGGTTTATTTGAACACACAGAGAACAGATTATTCACTTGGTTCCAGCACAGGTCAGATGGTGCTGCCTGATGCTCACGGTTCCTGTGAATAGACCGTCTCCTCTGGCTCCACTTTGGAACACATGGTTTAAAATATCACCAGACCCACACTTTTCACAGTTTCATCAATTCACTGACATATAATACAGCTCAGAGCAGCAGTGTCTCATTCACACATACTTTGGCATTGCTATATATGCTTAGAATTCGCAGTCTTAACTCAAAGCGGAGGAATCAACTCTCCTTTCATTACATCTGGGCCCAGTGGTTCCATTTCACATGATCAGCAGCACAATTTCCTGAATCCAACATTTCTCTATTGGCTAAAGTTAGTGAATATACAGTAGAGACATAACTGGGCTTTGATTGTCCGGAGATCACGCAAACAAACTTCAGCGCTACATCTGAAATTCCTGTCTCTCAAACCTGCTGTCAAGATTGTTGGTGGAATGACAAACCAAGTAAGCTGGTTAACATCTTGTTTAAAGGCTATTAAGGAGGAAGTGAAAAGACTGCAGCTGAAAATACTCCACAAAATATGATGAAGGCATTTAATGTCAGGTCAGAGCTCGAGTTAGTGAGCACGAAGGCAGGGAAAGCTATGAACTGTTCAAAGGGGAATAATATATACATAGGAGCAGGTGACTGAGAGCACGGATTGTTATTGTCTACATTTTCCGCATCATAAAGGACATTAAAAGATGTCTTAATTCCAGATATGTACATCTGAAGTGTATTCCATGATTTTGTTTTTTTACTGTACTTCAGAAAATATTAAAAGTCAGACTTATAGCAGGAATGCTGTTGGTTAAAAGATTGTCTTTTAGTGATGTTCCTGCTAGATTTTACTACTATAAATGGTCACACAGAGATGAATTTTTTTTAAGATTATAATCTCTGTAATGTAATATAATCTAAATTTGTGTATCACAGTTTGCATACCACTGTATGTAATAATAATGATAATACTCGCATTTCATATAATGCCTTATCACATCTTTGAGACGTCTCAAAGCGCTTCACAGGATATACTGTAAAGTGAATTGACTGTATATTTTGTGGGCAAAAATGTGTACATTTAGTTGGATCAGTTTTCAGTTTCTGATTCATGGTGCAAGAATGTACAAGCAGAATTATTTAGGAATAAATAAATAAGCTTTTCTGTCATTTCATGGTGTGGTCATTGTAGTATTTTGTTGAATCACTGATGTTAAGTTATAGGTTACTTTGAACTTCGGAGACATATTATTGCAGCCAAACACACAGCCAATCTGTACCGGGGGCACTCACACACGACAGGGAGGCAAATGACAAATGTTTTTGGTGAATTTTTAGATGGGAAAGGAATGTTAGCCAGGACTTCAGAAGAATTACTTTTCTTCTTGAAAATGGTGCCATGGCATCTTTAGCAACCGACTGAACGATCAGAACAGAACTCGTTTGATATCTGTGCAGAAGAATGGCACCTGCAACAATGTACAGTACTATACTGAAGTGCCCTCATATGAGTTCTATTCTTGTGCGGAGATGAAGTCCACCATATTCTAACCTGGACGCTGTCACCTGAACCAAACTAAACTGACCCACTTATTGTTATGGTTTTAAGACCTCACTGGAAAATGATTGTGAAAAGAGATTACGTCTATTGTTGTTGTTTGCTTCGTTTTCGCCTAAAGATTCCATGCTCAGCGTTTTATCATCATAGTCGATTTGGTTTGTTCAGCGATTTTAAAATATGCGATTGTGATGTTAACTTCATTGTTGGCTCTGATCTTAAACGCTTTTATAATAACATGTTGCACAACTTGCAATTTTTTTGGGGGTTTATTTCGCTTTAAATTGGCGCGTCCAGTTATTTTGTTCTAGCTTTTCTCCTGACTTGCCTTTGCCTCTCTCTGCTTCTGCTGGGGTTCACTTCCCCGGGCACTGGTTATTCTGTGGTTCGCTACCTAACGCCATAGTTAGTTCATATGTGAGTGCTTGCAGGCCCCTTGACTACAGAGGAGTCCAACCTCATGCCATCCCAGTTGCCACACAAGCTTTCAGTAAGTGCTGGCCCCGATTTAACCAGCAAACTCAGACAGACGGTCGGTCATTCAATCCAGTGAGCTTCTGGTCCATAAACTGTAGATCCAGAATGCCACAAATTGCCTTTGACAATGTGACTTTGGAAATGTCATTTTTTTTTAACAATAAGCGTTTCAGATTTGTGAATTGTACCAATTTGTATTTGTTATTAGTTTAGATTTACTTTGAAGAATCTTCTCGATGAAATGTCTGCCAAGCCTTAATATGTGTCAAGAGTTCAGAAAAGATCTTCTGTATATATATTTGCTGGACAGGTTGCTTGTACCAAGTTTAGCAGAACTCCAGCGGGAGCTAAAGTAGTGTAAATTTACGTGCAATTTTATCCTTCGCATTAAAATGTTAATTTCCCTTCTGCCATAGACACTATATAATGCTTTGGAAACAGAATATGTTTCTACCCCACACCTCCTGCCCACCCCCCAAAAAAAACCTCATAAACCTGTTCTATCTTTTTACCCTGATCTTTATATACTGGGAACTAATGCTCTTTTTTTCTGCATCAGGAGAATATGTTTTATCCTTTGCGGCCTGCGTAGGAAACAAACAGATAGTTAAGATGCTGGTGGCACATGGAGCACCTTTGAATGCACAAGACACTCTAGGTAATATTCTGTCCTTTGGGTTAAATTCTTGGTTGATATCGTTTAGAATGAATGGATGCTGGTGCTACATTGGAATAAAACACTTGGATGAAGTTGCAAGATTTCCTTTAGACCCACACTTATTAGAAACATAGAAGCAGGAGTAGGCCATTCAGCCCCTCGAGCCTGTTCTATCATTCAATAAGATCATGGCTGATCTGTACCTCAAGTCCATTGAACGATTAGTATATTGAAAGGCTTGTCAAAAGGACGTGAGGCGAAGATACATATAGAATCACGGATGCCAGGGTATGAGATGCAAGGCTGTTTCCTTTTTGAGGGTACCAAATAGTGCCATCAATTGGAAATAAGTGAATCGATTTGTAAAACAAAAGTAGACAGGATTGTCCCAATGCCATTCTGATTTGTGAGTCAGTTGTTTGAGCGCTTGAAACCAAATAGGTCAGTTTTGTAAAAAAAAATGGAGTCTTATGAAGTATGAAAGTATGTTGTAATGGTGCTGAACTTATTTTCACATCTCCACATTGAATCTACAGAGTTAGAGCATACAATATCCACAAGGTATTAGATGATCTTGACTGATTCATCGGTGCTGCAGTCACCAAATTTGATAAGAAATAGCCAAACATTACTGCATTATTGTAGCCTCAGTTTGGGTTCATACTTAGAAATGTTCCTTTAGCTAGAGTATCATCGGTGGTCGGTTGTGGGTTACCTCATTGACCTTCAGTCAGATTGATATGGCAATAACATCCAATCTATTTACTGTTTTATGCTATCACAGGGTGTAGCTCAGTGACAGATGATTTGCTATGCATTGCATTTACTTACCGCCAAGCGAGGATCCATTTAAAACTCACTAGATATGCAGCCACCCCTTCCCCCACAAATCCCACCACCGCCATTGGCCTTGGAGGTGCAGAAGGTGAAGGGTCATTGTCTTGGAGGCAACTTATTTGCCCCCGAGTCTTGGCAATCTCCTGTGTCAGAGTGAGAAATGTAAAATACCAGTGACTGAAGCCAGACTCGTTCCATTATCCTTGTTTGGCTGCTTTGTCTCTACCTCTGCCATCCCCTACTGTTCCGGTCATTCCTGCTATTCAGCAAACACCAGCCTGCTTCATGTCCCCCTGCCCACATCACCCCACCGTTCATAGGCAAGCGGTCAGCCAACTTCCCCCGCTCTCTGGTATTCCATCATGGAATCCCTCCACAAAGCCCCCTCCCTCCCTCCCTGCCTCCCCGCCTTCAATATCCATCTCAAGACCTATCTTTTCATCCGTGCTTTTAGTCACTTCTCCTCCTGCTCCCAGTCAGCTGGGTGAAGCACTTTGAGATATCCTCCCGAAGTGAAAGGTGATACATAGATGTAAATTGTTGTTGCTCTCAATAAATCTCAATAAATATTTAAATGCATTGTCTTTCCTGTATTGTAGGGAACACAGTTCTCCACATGCTTGTTCTGCACACTGACAAGAGTATGGCTTGCAAGATGTACAACTTTATTTCGTCGCTTATTTCCAAAGAGAATATGGAGCACTTGGAGAACATCACCAACAGCCATGGACTCAACCCTATGAAGTTATCCGCGTACGAAGCAGATGTGGAGGTTAGGTTTTCTTTCGCCTTGCAAATTCTTATGTTCTTATGTACTTGATGCTGTGATGGGAGGATGGGAGGGTGGCTATTCTGGAATGATGAGATCAAATGGGGGACCATATTTTGTAAACCAAATCTGGGCACACATGTGTAAAAAAATCGAACTCGCCACAATTCCTGATGCTGCCAATACTGGAAAAGTTTGTTGAATTAATGGCTGTGATTCTCTGATCTATTTTAGAATTTTTCATGCTCAGTTTGTTGCTGAAGTTAAGGCAGGGCAAATTTGGCCAGGGACATAATAATAATCCTTGCATTTGCTATAGCGCCTTATCAAGTCTTTGAGACGTCTCAAGGCGCTTCACATAATATACTGCAAAGTGAATTGACTGTGTATATATATTTTTTTAGCCCCAATGCCTCATCCCTGGACTGTCCCTGGAAATCGGGGATATCTAGTCAACCTACAAAGGGCCTTCCTCATCTATCTTGTGGTCACGAACAACTAATCTTTTTATTAGCAGCATTGGGTCAGGTGAAAAGAGGTCCCGTTCCATTACTTTTCCTCTTCCTGTGCCTCCATTATAGATGTTCAGTCATTTCATGATGAAGAGGAGGCAGGTTTATTGGGCTTTCGGGCCTGTAAGTTCCAGCTTGTACGACCTTACTGGAATTGACACCTGGGGTGATACATTCTCTGTCCTTGATATCATATGCAGTAGCAAGAAGAAAGAGGTTAGTCACATGAAGCACAAACTTTATTTATAGCCGAGATGATAATATAAGTGTTACGTTCTATTCGTGTTCCCGCTGCGGAGAAAGGAAATCTCAATTTCCCTCTCTATGTATTTAACTGTAGAATACTTGTGGTATTGAATATAACAAGAATTTTGTTGTGTGTGTGTTTATATTTTGTGGTGTATTGACTGTCCTCTGACCCAAGCTCTCGTGCGGTGAAATACTAACAGTAACTTTATTTGTTCTTCCCAAAGGCCCGGAAGCTGCTAAACATTACTCCAGTGAGGGAGGTGCTCCACCACAAATGGACTAACCATGGCTTCAAGTTTTTTATGCTGTGGACTACGCTTTACATTTTGTATCTCATCATGTTTACCCTTTGCTGTGTGTCCCGTCCTCTTACACCAGCTGGTGCCGGTGGGGACAACATCACCATCATGGTTGTGAAGCCTCTCAACGTAAGGACAGATCCCTTATTATCCCTTATACCCAAGGCACTTAATAGCCTTTGTTTCGTGTAAATCCGTGTAAATCCATCAACGCAGCTAAGAAGAAATGTGACGCATACGTAAAGGATGAGGGCGCAATGAAAACAATCCTTGCATTTGGTACAGGGCCTTTCACATCAGGAGGATATGCCAAAGCACTTCAAAGAGAAGATGGGTAATGGGTGGGGTACAAACACTGGCATGAACTAGCTGGGCTGACGCTGTGATCTTCTGTACAATTCTATTCTCAATGAATCCACACATTAGAAGTAGCATTGAAATCAGCGGTATTATAACACAACCTTCTAAATATTCCCGGCACTCCTATTCATCCGACTTTCTGTTTTACATGTTATTTTATCTTAATTTTCAGTAATTTTTTAAAAAAAATCTTGCTTGCCCTTTATAATGATAATAATTCTTGCATTTGATTTAGCGCCTTATCACGTCTTCGAGACTTCTCAAAGCGCTTCGCAGAATATGCCATAAAGTGCAGTGACTGTATATTTTGTTGGCAAAATGCCTTCCATTTTGGAAATGCTTCCTTCTGCACTATTTGAAGTGGATTTTGACTGTTGAACGCAAAGCACTGAAACAGCATCAATATTCTGCACATGAGCTGGAAACAGCTACATGTTCCTCGTCTTCCATCATCATTGTGGCTTCTGTTATTCTAGGAAGCTTATCGATCAGCCGAGGATTTTGCTCGATTGACGGGAGAAATTTTCTCAGTTCTGGGAGCTGTTCTGATCTTGTTCACCGAGGTATGTAATATTTTAATGCCGCCAATGCTCAGGGTTCCTTTGACAAACATCACTACTTGATCATGAGGGACTGATAATGTTTTCCACTTCTTCTTTCTGGTGTAACTTTTTTTTCTGAAAAATTGTTACAAAAAAATTAATGAAATAATTACTGTAAAATGGTCGGAATTGGTAAACAAAGGGACCACAATCTATGTGTTTCCCCCCTTTTTTTTTTGGCGATTGAGTGGACTCTCTGAGGTATGGAGGACAGCAAAGACTTACTGGAGTTTTTCCATGGAGCTACTAGTAAGACTTAGGGTGCGCAATTCTTAAGGTTTGAAGTTGAAGGTGCAGGAACAAGCCTTCTTATCAGTGAAGGATCAGGGGTGCAGATTTTTGCAGAGCTAGTTTCACGCTGAAGATGTTGAAGATGAGATCAGCATCTCCTTGTGGTGTCTATTTCCTATCTACAGACACTTTGCCACCAGGAAATTAGGAAAAGCAGACCAAAGTCTGACTACAAGCACATATTCAGGTCAGCACATACTGTTGCTTGCTGGTGAAATATTTGGTTTGAATTGAAGTTTACAACTTAGTAAAGAGCATCTCACTTAACATCCTTTGGCTTTTGTAATCTACAAGATGACAAATCCAATGTTCTGGCTTCCAGCAACACCACATCTTATGTAACCAGAGAAGTCAATGTCTGACCATCTGGTTGGAGTTGTGTTCCTCAGAAGCCGATGTCTCAGATGTGCCATGACATCCCATTTTAACCCAAGCTCAGGACCTCAAGCAAGGCAATGAGGACGCTTTGTAAAGGAACACCTTCGGGGGGGCCTTCCTAATCCAAACCCCTATTGTCCCATGATTAGGACATTCACCAGGAGTGGCCGGCTGATTGATGGTGGCAGCTCTGAGAATGCATTTGAGCGCAGTACAAGAGCACAGAGCTCTGCTCTACAACTTGGGAGAAATTTTGGAAAGATCTTTCCAATTCACCCCCTTCATCTCTCGCTCCCTTTTTCTCTCTCTCCCTTTGGACCATTTGGCAGCTTGTAACCCTGCTGTAGCTGTCATACATCACTATCTGGACTTCAAACTTAACCATAGCAATCATTATTGCTGTTCTGTGGTAAGCAAACAGGTGACACAATTCAATCTGTGAATGCAGTTTTTGCACCCAGTGTAGACTGAATGCCTTGCTGCTGATTGTGAGCTGATCAAGTTCACTTGGCAGAGGCAATTGACAGGAAATAAATTCATCCTGTTTATGTTTGGTCTAAAGAAGCCGACAGTCCTACAAAAGAGAGCAATTTCAAAACTTTTATTTTAGAGAGTAACATATTCACGTTGTGAACCAGTGATGGATGGTGACCTTGTTCGAGAAGTAATTTAGAAGCTGATCCTCTGGTTTACTGTTTTTCTCACTCTCCCCCATCTGTTCCACACTTAACATCTACTTGGATCTTTTAAGAACTATCTGTGCACATTCAGAAAGCTCTAACTGTGGTATTTTTATAGACTTTAAAGCTTCTGTACAAACACACAAGGAGGTGAATATCAAAGTCTCTATCCACTTCTTTGTACACCCACTGTACAGCTGAATCATTTCATCGTCTTGTCTTCTCAGATACCCCGATTAGTCAACGAAGGGCCCGTTAAATATTTTGGAAACACAGTGACCGGAGGTCCTTTTCACATCACAATGTAAGTCATGTTCAATCTTAATCTAACAGTTTCATCCCTCTCTAGGTTTATTTACTTTCTGGTGTTGGATAACTACCAAAATCACAAACTGTAGCAACATTTTTAATATTGATGTGGGGAACAGTGTAGGGGTTTGGACATTGGCACACTCTGCATTGAAGTTGTGGTGAACATCATACAGTTAAACTGCTTTAACCGTATGATATTTAACATAGTCAAAACATTGATTTGTTAATACAACTATGACATCATTGTTTGAAGACTGGTATTGCCTTATTCAGAGAGAATGCTGCACTGAGATGACGAGTTATGGCACCTAACACCAAAATTGCAAATGAAGACTACCATAAAAATACAAGACATTATTGCAAGGGTTTGCTGTGGCAGCACATTTATTATTGTTCATTATTTGTAGTGATTGTTATTACTTATCAGTTGGAGCATAACACATTGGTCAATTCGCCAGCCATCAGAATAAGGATTCTTCCCAATAGCAACTTCAAACCCCAAAACTCTGGCGGTTTCTAGTAATGGTAACGCTACCTCTTTAATGTATAACACTAAACCTGCTGCGCACACAGCGCTAACATAAAGCTTTTCTCTTTCTCCCACAACTTAGGAAATTGTTTTCTAATTGTGATTTCCAGGATTGTATATGGCTGCCTTGTTCTAATAACCATGATCCTAAGAGTCTTGAACCACGAATGGGAAACGGTTATAATGGCGTACGCTTTGATAAGTGCTTGGTGTAATGTCATTTACTTTGCCCGTGGATTCAAGTTGCTCGGTCCTCTGTGCATCATGATACAGAAGGTTGGTAGTCTGTTTTCTTAATGCGTTACTCGGTCAAGAATGCCAAGGGTTTAGGGGGAAAAAAACACAGTACTGACAATTTAAAATAAGAAAGAGAATAGGGGAGAGAAAATGGTACTACATGAAAGGACAAGCAGAGGTAACATGATTAAAAAATGTATTTTTGTATTTACAGTAATGAAGTTATTATACTTGAGTAACAATAATAATAATTATTGATAAGTAGCTGGGGGAATGTCATTTATTTTGCCTGTGGATTCAATTATTATTATTATTAATGAGTAACAATTACTGTAAAATCAGTGTTTTTAGCATCGCAGGATATGAACTATTAGTGTACAGGACCCAATGATACTCTTACGAGTTAACAATGAAAGGAAACTGATTGTGTGAATTTGAAGAGATATGGATCATTTTTGTAGCGTGCACTGAAGGGGGAACCAGAGGGCAGAATTATAAGTTGTTTTTATTTTAAAACATAATTACAAGCTAAAGTTAATTTGGCCTTTGGATTTTGCATGTTAACAATTATCAACCTGTGCGGTGGACTGGCGATTGGAACAGCAATTTACGTTTACTAAATGTAGCGTTTAAAGGGAATTGGGCCAATTTCTTACTCGATAAATAGGAGAGTGCTATTGATTTGGAGTAAGGAAACAATGGCAAACACCGGATCAATGAGACAGCACTCAAAGGACAGAGTTGGTTGAATGGGGCTGAGTTTTCTCATTACGCATCCTTTTGACCTGCAGATTTCCCTGTAGACTTACCAACTGAACGCTTTAAAAGCTCCCAATTTTGCTTAGATTCTGGTGTTTATGATGTGGCAGAGATTTTTTTTTGGCAGTACTGATTGATGGGCATAGCCTTTATATTATTTACACATGTATTTATATATCATATATATTTTAATAAGTTACTTATCACTCTTACATTGCAACCAACCAAGTTGCAATATTTATTACAACAATGCCTCAGGAGTCAAACTCAGCAAATGGGAAAAATATCACCAATCACAGCTAGAAATGTTACCTGTGTGTAAGACTGGTAATATTTTTAAATAGCATTTGACTTGGATGTTTCCTGCAGTCATATGGTTCGTGTCTGAAAACAAAATCTCTGTTTGATATTTCCTGGTACTTTATTTTACCTTAGTTTTTGCTTTAGTCGCTTTCATCCTCGCTTCAAGAATGAATATTACAATCATAAAAAAGTATAATTTTTGCCCTTCTTCATTTGCAGCACAAAATTTGTCCAATGGTACAGAAAATGCCTGTTTTAGAGATAGAAGGTTTTTTTAAAATAAATCCTTTAGAAGCTAAACCTGTGAGTGAGGCCTCAATAGTTTGTTGCCTTCCCTCAGTAATGCTGTTTAATTATATAGCTTGTTCATTCTTTCTCACTGCAAAATACCTCATTAACTACAGCCACTGCGATCAAGAGTGAGGCTTTTCATGACGGTTTTTATGACCTCTGCACACTTTATAGCATTTGTTTCTGAAATAATTTATCTTTGAGGGATACTAAAATGCCGAATCAAACTGGGTAAGAGATAGTCATCAGCAATCTTCACGTGGTGTCCTCTCTTCACTGTTTAAACACAAAGGTAAAGGGTGTAGAAACCACTGCAAGTAAAACAGAAATCTATCTTTACAGATGTAAGGAAAAATAATCTATTGGAACATTGCCACTGCTTTGATCTCTGATTATTCAGACTTCAGCGTGTGTTAAACAGTTGGCAGTCAATATTCCTGTAGAATACGACCATTCCCAGGATAGTTCAGATGCACAAGACATTTTAGCTGGTGCCCGAATGAAACTATACAGACACTTACAGTTGATTCTCCTGTTTTTACAGTCAAATCAACACTGAGATCAGTTTTACTTGTACCAAACATTGAATATATAATAGTAATATGAGTATTTTATATAATAATTTATATTATGTATAAAAATGGAATTGATATTAATCAGTATAATCAGTATAAAATCAGTATATAAAAAAGTACTAGTTTTTGATCAGGTCCACATTTAACATCAGCACCTGGTGGGAAATCTGGTGAGAACCCACCACATAGCCAAAGCCACCCACTGGCATTCCTGAAACTAATTCAGTAATAAAGTGAATTTAAAGCAAATTCTTTTCCCTTTTCTCTCATTAGATGATCTTTGGTGACCTCATGAGGTTTTGTTACGTTCTGATAATTGTCATTATAGGATTTGGTGCAGGTACGTTTAAAACCAGTTTGTCCAGAGACGCTACATATGAATTCTTGTGACTTAAAGTCTTGAGTACTTACCTTATTGCTGATGTATTTATTTTTAAAACATCACAGGTTTCAATGTTCACTTCCAAGCCTTGAATCCACATATATATTCCTACTTCAAGGACTTTCCAATCACTATTTTCACATTGTTTCAGCTGATGATGGGACTGACTGAACTTCAGGGGACACCTCACATCATGATACCTGACATTATCATTGTCCTTTACATGGTCTACATGTGTTTTGGCTTTCTTCTTCTCCTGAACCTTTTTATTGCTTTAATGGGAGACACTCATTTCCGAGTGGTCAGTGAACGCAAGTCCTTGTGGAAAGCTCAGGTACGGCACACTTTTCCTTCTCTCGGTAAAGTATTTTAGGTTTCAGTGTTGTATTGATTCCAAATATTGTCACGCACCCTTTTTCGATTTTGTCATATCCTTGCATTTAATGTAACACCTTATCACATTGCCAATATTTTTCCCAAAGCACTTGAAGGCGATTTTAATGTAAAAGTGTAGTGACTGTGAATCAGCTGATTGACTGATATTGTGGTGGGAATAATGCGGGCCGGGACAAGTTGAAGCGGGAAATACATTTAGTACTACATTGAAAATATTACCATCCTCGTTTCAGATTGCCTCGACCACTCTGTTACTTGAGAGGAGACTCCCAGCGTGGCTGTGGGCTAGAACGGGAATCCCAGGAGATCTCCTGGGGCTCGATGCAGGGAAATGGTACTTAAGGTAACAATGATACAGCTGCGATGAGAGCTGCTTTCTCGCACGCTTTGCTTAATCTGATTTGGACTGTTCACTAACGTGTAGTCGGGAAAGTCATACAGGGTGACCAAAACGTCGTGATACCATTAAAATGTCTAATAAGTCTTCGAGAAATGATGATATATATATATATTTAGATAATAGGGTAGATATCACAACTTTTTGGACACCCTTTTGCACCAGTAGTATTAGTGTATTATTTTTAGCAGTAATACTAGTATTATTACCTATTAACTGTGAATCTTTCAAAATCTCACACACACACTTTGTCCTGCACATCCCTATTCAATTTATTTTCTTTTATGGATCTGGCCAATCTACTATCTGAGATTTGCCCTGGGCCACCAGTCCGTTAGTGTAGCAGTTTTAACGGGCCGATTTTAATGGTACAGTTGTCCTGTTGAGAGCTAACTAGCCTTACTGTAGGACATCATCTCTTCAAATTTAAGATTGTGCAAACTTGTCTTCATTTGGAAGTTGGATTTTTTTTTCGCAGCCGAGGAAACTCAGCCTCCAAATCCAGAGTATAAAGTATAAAGAATTTTCCACAATTCTGCCCGATCTTAATTATTAAGGCAAAATCTCGATTAAGGTTGGGTGGAATTTCAGCCTCTAGAGCCAAGGTTGACCTTCCGCCATTGCGTTATTGGAAACCCTGAGGTGTGGGATTGGGCCAAAGGGAAGAAATACCGATAGTCAATTTCAGAGTTGTGATAATAATAATAATAATAATAATCCTTACATTTGATATAGGGCTTTTCATGTCTTCTAGACATCTCAAAGAGTTTCACAGAATATTCTAAAAAGTGGATTGACCGTATATTTGTGGGCAAAACGCGGCAGCCAATTGCACACAGCAGCGTCCCACAAACAGTCGTGGATTGAAAATGACTAATTTATTTTTTTTAGAGGGATTATTATTAGGTGTGTGGAGTAAGGAAACTTGCCCAAGATTTCGCCCTTGATTGATACCAATCACCAGCATGTGGAGAAGTCTTAGAAATATTTTGTCTCCTTCCGTTATAACATTAAAGAGGTCTTCGGACTTTCTGTAAATCTGCTTCTTCATCCAGATTATTCCCATTTTTATTGCACAGGCTGGAAGAAAAAAGTGACTACCATAAGGCTAAGATTAAATCAGACGAGGAGGACAGGGAGGTGCATCCAAGAAAAACTAGAAACGCCTGGAAATTCATCCACTCGAACATTTCAAAAAGTCTTAAAAAGAGCACCAAAACGAGAGATACGGCAACATCGTAAATTTGGATTTACTGCAACTCTCCAGATATTGGAATCAATGACTTTTGAATGTTATGAAGGCCTGGTTTGATCCAGCTCGCTTTGTGTACTGTGCTTCCTGCAGAGTGGCAATCTAGTATGAAAAGTGTAGTACAAATCGGGGTTGGGCAAGTTCACGTATATTTAAAAAACACACTCAATCCCAATACTACCCGAGGGAAACGGTATCGCCAACATCTCAAACGTGCAGCGTTGTGCTGTGTAAAGCTGACAGATAGTTATCCTTTTCTGGCTTCACTGTTGTATGTTTTTGAGCAATCTAATGTGAAGGATCAATTTTTTTTAATGTTATTTTAAGAATCTCTATCCAAACGAGTCTTGAATAACATTCAAATGTTAACAATATACATAAGTAACTTCTATTTATTCGTGCACTTTATGGCGTGCGCACAGAACTCTGCTGCGGTGATGAATGGGAAGGATTCCTGCACCTCACCTCATCTCTGCCTTATTGTTTTGCTTCCAGAAGCATAAAGAGAAGTTTAGTGACTAATATCTGGTAAGACAGTAGATATCTCATACTCAGGTATAAACACTCACAATTTAAAACCAAGTCTTTAACATTTCAAAGTGATACTCGATTGCAACAAGTCCGTTTGAATTCGAAACTTCTTTGAAGGTGACCGAAACAACCTGCTCAAATAATAATAATAATCTTTGCATTGGACACAGCGCCTTATCAGATCGTTGAGACATCTCAAAGAGCTTCACAGGATACATTGTAAAGTGAATTGACTCTATATTTTGTGGACAAAATGCATGGGCAATTGAGATTTGATTGTAATAGCAAATTAAATGTACAATTGAAAACTATTAGCTGCTTCAACAGAAACCCAGAATCATACTTTAAAAAAAAGCTTTTACAATTATTAATATAGTACTGTATTTCCAAAGTAAGATTACAAGATCAAAGCGGGAGTGCTTTCAAATGGGATACCTGTGAAGGAAAGTGATTGGGAACTGCTTCAGAGACCTGGATCAATGTCACACACGCTACACTGGCTTAAGAAAATCTTGCTTCGAAAATAGATTGCATTGGAGGGAATTAATGTGTGACTTACTCCTCGACTCCTTAATTGATGGATCTCGTTAGAAATCGCCCCAGTTTAGAGCCCTCGCAATAATCATTGTTTGCAATGGAAGTATTTCAGAGAAAGAAATGACCTCAGAGGTTTTTTTTAAAAAAAACACAAAAGGATCCATTTTAAAAAACGAAATATGTGGATTTCCATTTTAAACATGATTTGTCCATTTTTCTTTCCTGTAACTGATCGTTTTTGTTTCTTTCGATTTGATTCTGAAATTCTGGGAACCAGAGCAACTCCAGTGACAAGGCAATGTTACCATCTGAATGATCCGTGAAATGCAATACTCGCTATTACTTAGAACAGTGAAATAAAACAAAAAAAAAGGCACAGGTTCATTCATTGAACAATGTCGCAAGAAGATAGAAAAATCTAATCTTATACAGTATTTTAGAAATGGTGTGAAATATTACTGTGTGCAAAGGGTTAATGCTGATGAGGACTTGGGGAGCAATGGCATTTTCTATCACCAAAAACTCGAATTAAGATGCTTAATTAATTAATTAAGTTCTTGCTTAGTTGAACCAATAGAAACACACACCCTTGTTCTGTACCAATAATATTTAAATGTTGTGAAAAGTTTCCACGATAGAAAGATGCGTATGTGTTGAAAGCTTCCAAGTAAAATATGAACATCAACTATTAAAAATACCGCATGGAAAGTGGTGGTCAGAGAGAAAAACTATACTAATTTATATTTAAATTGCTTCATTCTCAGTGCTAACATGTTCAGCAATCTGACGGAGCCCGTACTTTGTCATGCTCAACTGAGCGATTCGAATAGGTACTTAGGCAAACTATGAAATTACTAAATACACTGAGATTTTTTTATGCCTGCTTTTTCTGAACAGTACTCTCTCTGTAATACTCAGCAATGTGAAGCTCTTGATGTACTTTAGGGACAATAAATGCTAAATTATTAATTTCAAAATTCATGGTTAAAGCCTGGGACGATTCAAATGATTTTGTCTATCCCTGCGACTTGGCTGTTTCTTTCTTAAAAGAAAGAATATTAAATGTGTAGTTCATGAAGAAATGGCTGGTGGATCCAGTTTTGTGTAAATGTATGCGGAATGCTGTTGCTTTATGCTCCACTCCAGATCAATGCTCCACCTTGAAATGGGTAGTATTTAATTTTTCATAACCCACTTTACCGTACCCCATCGCGTTGGTCTAAATTCAGAATGATCCCAGGTAAGTCTTCTCGTTTTCTTGCCTTGATGGAAAGCTCCTATCTCTCTATCATCCCCTCCCTCCCACCCTGCTGCCGCTAAGTTCATTGTTCTTTACGAATATTACCCCTTGTGTTTTGTACGGCTCCTTATCACGTCTTCGAGACGTCTCAAAGCTCTCCGCAGAATGTACTGTAAAGTGTATTGACTGTGTATTTTGTGGGCAAAACGCAGCAGCCAATTGCGCACAGCAGCGTGGATTGAGTGACCAAATTATTATCATTTATTTTATATTGTTTATTTAAATTTTTTTGAAAGGATTACCTGCAAAGAATAATAACAATTCTGAGCAATTTCTAATTCACTGGAATGAAAATATTAATTAATATTAAATATAAATATTTAATTGTATATTTCTGGGCGAAATTTTTAACCCGTGTGGAAAAGCTTTCTCACACATTTGTCAGTGTCACCTTTTAATGTGCATTATGTTATTCATAAAGAAACAGTATTTGGTGCCATTGGGCATCAAATCATTGCAAATGTTAAAATAAATATGGAGTGCAATCTTTAAACATTTTATTTTAATGAAGGCTGCACTAATACAGACTATTGATTAGCAGCGTTTAATACATAGGTTTTATGAAAACTGCATTGAAAGGATCTGCTTCAAGCTTATAATCGAGGATACGAACAAACAAAATTGGCAGTGTTAAACGCAAATTTGTTTTCAAACTGCATGCGAGTCAACTTTGTAGATGTGGTGCATTTATGATGCTTCAGGGTATTTTTCAGTTGGATCAATGTCCTCAGGGTGCATGACTCTGCCCATGAAATAGATGGTACCTGGAATTGGAGAGGAGAGAAAGGCAGCTGAATTCTTTTCCCATTCCATCTGAATTCTATCTGAACTACGGTCCTCAAAATGCACTCAGGTACTCTTAAGATGCAAATTTGCAACCTGAGATTTGTTAATTATCAAATTGTTGAAAAATGTGGCCAAAGAGTCACTCAATGACTGTTGTCAAAGGCAACAAAAACTCTGCGGGTGTCACTATGACTGTTTTTTGTTACTAAACTAGTTCTTAACTTTGCTCAGCCAGTTGTGAGCTGACACACGAGGGGAGGTGCTGACGATGAGATACTGATACATTTGACTTGTTGTCAATTTCAAGCTTGCCTCTCTGCACATCTATAGATTTAATAATAATAATAATCCTTGCATTTGAGATAGAGCTTTTCACGTCGGGCGGACGTCCCAAAGCGCTTCACAGAACACACTGTAAAGTGAATTGACTGTATATTTGTGGGCGAACGCGGCAGCCAATTGCGCACAGCAATGTCCCACAAACAGTCGTGGGTTGAAAATGACCAATTTATTATTGTTTTTGGTTTTGGAGGGATTATTATTAGGCTCTGTGTGGAGTAAAGAAACTTGCCCAAGGTTTCGCCCTCTGCCTGGAATTGAACTCAGGTCTCTCGCTTGCAAAGCGAGTGCTCTAACCACTGAGCTACAGGTCTCCACCAATTTGTCAATTTTGGAAGTGGGTAAGATACACAATGCAGATAAAGCAGAAAACAACAGTTGGAAATGTTGTCACATCGCTTTCAGTGCAATGAATGAGGCATTGTTCTAAGTAGAATAAATCCGGCACATGGTAATGCACTGGTGAGCACTCCTTGCACCTGGTAAGGCTGGAGAGAGAGCGATCATTATATTGAGGGTGGGGAATATTGGGTTCAGCTTGGCATTGTTCTGCACAGCAGAACTTCCCTTCTCTTACCTGTCTTCCGGTTTCTGATCAGAAAGAAGAATGGGTGATCAGCGAGGACCTGGGGAGCCAGGCTTCCCATCCGGTTACTGATGATCATTCCTGCAACACAACGAATGCCATTTACAGTAGCCTCACCATGTGGTTGGGTCGTGTTTGCCACAGGGAGAGTGAGATACAGCTGCACTGGCCTTGCTGCTGCTGCTGCCAGTTCTTGGCCACCTTCTCCTTTGCACAAGCGCTTGGATTTGACAACCACCCTACACAACTACATGCTTGATCATTCATGTGGAACTGGGACAGAAGCAACAACAACAACAAAACTCGTCAAAGACCAAAATGACGCATGTTTTTCCAGGTGGCTCGTGTTGTTTGTAATTCCTTATGCCGAGTGATGACACCACCTCTGTCTGACTTCATCTCAACTTCCTAACAGTGGCGTAACAGCTGTCATCGAGGCAAACTTCATTAGCGTGAGGATGGGGGACCCGGCAGAGAAACGGCAAGTACAGGTTTGGAAGGTAACCCAATTTTACACAAACAGCGACCGACACTTGTATGAAGAAGCTGACACTTCGTGCAGATCCAGAACTGAGTGAGGATCACAAAGCCTTTGTCGCCTCATCATTAACATCTCAAAACCATTACCGTTGGCTAATGAATAGCAAAATTAAGATTACAATTTCTAATAGCTTCTTATGACATGCCAGCTCAACCACTACTCAAATATGCTTTGCCTAAACCACAAATTCCTTCCTTCTCAACATTAGATCGCTGGATTTAAATCGATGATCTAGAAAGAACGCTGCAGATCGATGAGATAAAAGTTGACGTGTTTTTAGAGCAGCAGCTCCACGAACATTGGCACGAGTCTCGGAAAGTCTGTGTTCGACCGTTAGTGTGTTTTCAGTTTCTTCTTTATGGCATAAATCAAGAAATATTCGATCAAGAAAATTTATGTTGTGGGCCACCACTGATTCAGAGCGAGCATTTCCTTGTGGTAAATAAGGAAAGTTCGATAGTTATCAGTAGGTGGCGCACCATTCCTCAGGTAAGTGGTCTGTTCCTTTGCATCCTGCAGTGTCGCCTTAACTGAGCCCTTTTAGTTGTTCTTTTTGTTGTTAATTTGTGCTTTCACAACAACGATGAGGAAACCATGTGTTTTAGGGATCGGCCCAGAGGCTTTGGGGTTGAAGGCCTGAATGGATTATTTGTATGTTTCTAGGTGACTAATACTGATACTGAAGATCCACCCTGTAATTAAGACACTTGTATTCAAATGAAAGGAAAGGAAAACAAGCCCAAACTACGGCACATTTTACCCCAATGTTCTTTGAACCAGTTTCCAAAACTGCTAGACTTAAAATGAAGAGCCGCATTGGTTAACTATTCGCGATGTGTTACCTGACACGCCTGCTGCTTCAGAGCCTTCTTCATTCACTTCCAGGTAGGACACGTGCACAGCCTTGGAGATGTACAAGTCGTTCCTTTCTGTTATGCGGAGGGAATCAGAAACAATGTAAAGTAACCTACTGAACACTGGAGGGCAAGTGCTATTTGTTACTCAGTCGGCAGTCTGATAAACGTAGATGCCCATCACCGTGCTCAAGAGCATCCAAACCCGGACTGAGAGTTTTCCATATGTATGTTACCTACACATTGGAAATTTCCCTGTGTAGGGAAATTTCCCTAATTTACCTAATTCCACAGAGTATCCGGCGCAGGTTGGCAAGAGCCGAGACTAGGGGACGGCAGAGTGTGCGTTGGGGTAATGGCATTGCATTCAATGCACGCAACCAGTTTTCAATATTAGTGCATTGAAATGTGGGCACCTTACATTAACCAGGATTAGCTTCAGTGACGGGAGATTCTGCACTCACCCGTCATGGCTGAGAGGTCAGCGTTCATGTCGAACATTTCCGACATCCCCAGACTGCTCAGAACTTCCTTCAGATCAATGCTCTGCTTCACTTTAAATCTAGCAAGACAAAGAGGAGAGGCTGAAACAGCACTGAGAACTGGAGAATATTGTTTCCTTGCTTGTATCTGACTATATATAATCATACGTGCTTTTAGTTGAGATACTTCGTGAGGAAAGCCACAAGATCCAGCATTACTGACGTAACAGAAAGGCGCTCTATAAATGGAATCTTGTTGTTGTTGTTGTACGCAAATTGGCCACCACGTTCACATGCAAATACACAGTCATAACCCTTCACAGCGAAATCCTGTGAAGCACTTTGAGACATCTCGACAACGTTATAATGAGTTACATCAAATGCTAGGGATTATTCTAAGGTTTAGCCTAATGAGGGGAATCGATAAGATATACAGGGGTCTGAAAATAAACAGGAATGTAGCAGGTGTGAAGATCAGAGACATTTCTTCCCAGAGAGGGTAGCAATCGTTGTGAAACGCACTGCCCCGGAAGGCTGCAGATTGTAGGACTAATTGGGAGGTTTAAAAGGTAGGTTGAGAGATTCTTGAGAATAATAATCCTAATAATAATAATCCTTGCGTTTGATATTGTGCTTTTCACGTTTTCTAGACATCTTAAAGCGCTTCGCAGAATATACTGTAAAGTGAATTGACTGCATATTTTGTGGGAGAAGTAAATATGTTAAGCAATACAGAGGAAAGGTGGGGGAAATGGGATTAAAAGATCTGACATGATCTAACCAGCTCGAAAGCTTGAATGGATTATTTCTATGTTTCTAGGTGGCTTATAATGATACTGAAGATCCACCCTGTAATTAGACACTTCTAGTTACATCAAAGGAAAACAAGCTTGCTCCTCAAAGTCTGCTGGAGTAAAAGATTTTAAATTTTCTACAAGGTAAGTTTTAATTCATGGAGAAATTTAAACTATTCCCAAACGGAACATAAATCACCACATTCAGCAAAGGAGGATTAGGCGTTACACACCTCCGAGGGGAAAAATTATACCTGAATTTAGGTTTAACTCTAATTAATGCAGCATTTTCGAGCGTCCAGAACTTGGCAATTTTTGAATGCAACAAAAGGAAACCTGGTTTACCAGTAACGCCTCTAAACTCAACATCTCCTGTCCTCCACCTCATTTTTCCCTTTGTCTTTCTCTCGCCGCCACCTTCTCTGCTTTGTCCTTATAAACTGCTCCCTGACAACATTCCCCAATTCTGATGAAAGTTCATCGACCTCAAACGCTAACTCACTTTCCTCACTCCATAGATCCTGCCTGACCTGCTGTGTGTTCCCAGCGACTTCTGTTTTTACTTTTTATCGTAAATACAGACTTCAATTTTAAAGCTTTTCTTCCCCGCCCGTTATTTTAAGAACTTCCAATTCAATTAAAAGCAATTTCAAAGACTGAAATTAATCACACGCCAAATTCTGGACCCAATGAAATGCTACATTCGAGGCAATCTTGACCGAGGTGGAAAATCCCCCCATGGATCTGTTTCCTAAATATCCCTGCTTGGCGGACGTGCCTGTCTGATATTTCCATTCCCGTTCATAAGTTAGTTATTTTACTTCAAAAAGGTTTCCAAGAATGGCTTCTGTGGTATTTTATCCTGTAATGAAAGGCTTTAATATCTGCACGCCTGGTTACCCGTTCCACTCCCTTTTTACCTTGTATTCATTAAACTAATAAATTTCCTGTTAAGCTCACTGACTGTATTTGTCGGCAAGACAGCAGCCAATTTAAGCACAACAATGTCCCACGAGCAGCCGTGAAATGAATGACCAATTTTATCTGGGGGACCGCTCCGCTGGCTGGGCCACAAGGTGAAACTCCCTCTTTTTGAGTAGTGCCACATACATTCAACATGCGGGTCAATGCAAATCAACAACAACAACAACAACTTGCACTCCACACAGGGCAGCGCCTCCCGACAAAGAACGTTTTCAGGTGGGTTTTGAAAAAAGGGGAGAGAGAGAGGGCAAGGTGGAGGGATTGAGGACTGTGTTCCAGAGTTTCAGGGCACAGTGGCTGAAAGCGCGACCTCCAATGGTGAAGCAGTGGGTGTGAGGGACGAGCAGGAGCTGGTGCCAGTCGAGCGGAGGTTCTGGGTGGGTGGTGGATTGGGGAGTGAGGAGGTGGGAGAGGTAGGGAGAGGCCAGGGAGTCAAGGGATTTGAACACGAGTGCGAGGATCTTTGAAGTCGAAATCACATTCTTAATGACCTGTCTTTTCAGCTTCACTGTAGTTTCTACACAAAAACAAATCTAGGCGGCTCATGTCATGGCTTGCAGTGCATTGTTTTATTCTGCGACCTGGAATAATCGTTTTAATCACAATTATTTTTTTATTTTCAGAGAGGTTAAAACACAAACGGAAAGATTTCTTACTTGGGTAGGAACACTTCAACCTTCTCCTTCTTTATCGAGTTTGCCCATTCGTTTATCTGCTGGGTTTTCAAAAGTGGTTCTATTGAAGCCAGTTGCACTTCCTGCCTTGGGAGTACTATCATCATACTCATTTCATCCCCTTTGTAAGGCAGTTCTACGACCTGGTAAATACCACCTGCCTCATCTGTGCCATCAGTGAACTCACCTAGAAAGGTTTCAATTAAAAGGTTGAGTGGATGGGGTAGGTCTACAAATTAAATCCACAATATTAAGTGCTCATTTTCAGATTTGCCCACAAAATATACAGTCAATTCACTTCACAGTATATCCTGTGAAGAGCTTTGAGACGTCTCGAAGATGTGATGAGGCGCTGTATCAAATGCAAGGATTATTATTATTATTACTGTTATTATTATTCCCTTTATTATTTTCTCTTTGACCGAGCCTTCAGCTTCCCCTCTCGACTCTCTACCCCCTCCTCGCTCCCTCCCTTCCCTCCCCTCACCCTGACCATTTCCCCCCTCCTCGCTCCCTCCCTTCCCTCCCCTCACCCTGACCATTTCCCCCCCCAATGCTCGGGTCCTGACCCAACTGTACAGCGCCTTGGGACGTCCTCCCGACGTGAAAGGCGCTCTATAAATGGAATCTTGTTGTTGTTGTTGTTGTCTATCTGCGGACAAGAGTTCTAGTTGAAAATCGGTTACTGTGTTTTGCGTGAATCAGCCAGTTGCTGCTTTTCATTTCAATCACTTATTTTTCAAACACATTATGTGGACGATTTACAAAGAACTCTGTTAATAAATCAACTCGCTGGGAACATTCATTTTCTAACATATGGTTCAAGACCTAATCCAGGCCCAAACATTCTAAGACTGGAATATGGAGCTGGTACTTAATATTCAATCATTATTTCATTCTCTTGTTATGGCATTCAGTGGAATCTAAAACAATTTGCGTAAGGCCTCACTAAGCTGAAGCTCAGCTATAAATTCTGGAACGCCCTCTCTCTCTCTCTCTCTGTCTCACATCCTTTGCTATCTGTCTTTAAATCCCACCTTAAAACCTATCTCTTCAACCGCATTCTAGGTCACCTCTTGCTAAACAGTAGCCTGGCTACATTATCGGTTCCTCACACCGGGTTAATGGAACTAGTCCAACACCCAAACCTGCCATAAGGTTGGATCATCAGTAAAAATGGCCCAGAAAAAAAAAAGCCTAGTTCTCTTTAGGAAATATAAGCCTCCTTTCAAATGGCTCAGGTGGGTGGAGATGGTGAGAGCAGATCTACTTTAACGTCCTCCCGACGTGAAAGGCGCTCTATAAATGGAATCTTGTTGTTGTTGTTGTAACACTCAACAGCAAGCTAAATCTTTACATACCATAGTAGAATTCTCCCTGTTGATACATCATCGAGATCTGTACTTCACTTTCATCGTCCTTGGTAAAAGGGAAGGCCTGGGTGAGCTCAGGTCTGAATTGGGATTTCCAGGAACCTTTGAAGTAAATGGCATTGACGAGGACAAGACGGCTTAAGGCGGTGAAGTCACTCGGTGACACGAGTTTCTGTATCCTGTCTGTGTAGAGGAAAGAAGTGAAGGTCAGAGCTGTTAATCATGACATTACTTTGACAATGATTAAAAATAATAAAAATCCTTCCATTTGATATAGAGCCTAATGACATCTTCAAGTTAACCCAAAGCCCTTCACAGAATGTACTGTAAAATGAATTAACTGTATATTTTGTGGGCGAAACAATTGCGCAAACACACATTCATTGCAACAATGCAGTTTAGAATAAACATAAAACATTTGATTCTAAAATTAATATGTCAGGAACACAAAGTGCAGACGCATAAATTCCTAAGTACTTACGATTGGTGCAATCCAGCACCCATTGGTTGATATAAACAGCCACATCGGACGGGTGATTGAAGTCAACATTTTTGACGCTGGCATTAAAGTATTGCTTCATCATTTGCAGGAATTTGTCGCTCAATTGAAACCCATCCTGCACAAAGAGTGAGTTGGCAAGTTTCAGGAGATACTGCTGGCTGGGTTCGTTCATGGCCTGGGAAATGTTCTGCAGCATCAGAAACTCCTCACCTGAGCGGAATAAAGTTTGTCACTTTCAAAGGAATGACTCGCAACGACTTTGTGCATCAGCCTGGCCCAGTGGTAGCGCTCTGGCCTCTGAGTCAGAAGGTTGTGGTTGTCATAGAGGCTTCCTACTGCACCAGTAGGAAGAATTGTTTCTTTTCTCCCTAGTTTTCTGAAGCTCCTGAATGTCGGAGACGTTTCCAAGTGTCCATTCTTTACCTGTGAAGCCGGACAGTCCTTCGCTGTCCAGCCTAACCCTTACTTGGGAGCATCACCCCTGACCGGATATTCTTCTCCCTGTACTTTGGATCCCAAATGCCTACTCCCCTGAGATCAACTAACTCAGCCCGTACTGGGATTTGAACCTGTGACCTTGTGGCTTAGTGCGACAGCAGTTGCTCGCATTAGTCATTAAGCCATCAGGGAGCGTGTGGAACATGTTAATTTCTCACACCAATCAACTGTGCCCTTCAGGAAGCTGTCAACTTAATTGGAGTAGCAGCTAACGGATGCCAACAGTTGTGATAAGGACTTGTGTCAATTACTAGCCTATATTTAGAGCAGCCATTTATTAGGAGCTTGCATTTTACTATATCAAAACATCTCAAAGCATTTGACAGTCATGACTTCTTTTCTTTGAGGTGTTAGATTCATGGGGCAAATAATAAACAAGTCATAATCCTTGCATTTGTTATCAGCGCCTTTCATGTCAGAAGGACATCTCAAAGTGCTTCACAGGATTTACGACAACGTAGAGTGGCTGTATTTTGTAGGCGAATGCTACGGACAAATTTGCGCACAGAATTGGTCCCACAAAACAGCCATGAAGTGAAGGACCAATTTTACTTGTGGGATTGTTGAGCCGGACAGTGGGAGAAACTCCCTTCTCTTTTCGAGTAGCCCCGAGGGATCTTTAACTTTAACGTCCTCCTGAACAGGCACAGACAGGATCTCAGTTTAATGTATCACCCCATGGACGGCATCCCCGACAAACGACTGCGAGATCAAAAATCTCCCAAAGGTTGGGGGCTTGAATCCACAACCTTGTGAGTCGGAGACGAGAGTGCCACCAACTGAACCAACTTGACACACCACAGAGCCGACCGTTACGAAAAAAGGTATTTTACCTTTTGCCATTTTGCTATAGCCCATCGCGTGTTGAATCTGCTCCAGCGTCGTGCCATTGGTGCCGAGCTCAACCATTCCCAAGGCGGTAGCAATGCTGAGCGGCGAGTAGAAGATGTTTCTGTCTTTGTTCAAGGAGGATAGGTAGCGGTAAATGTTGACCGAGAACTCAGTGATGGTACTGTCCTGGAGCTTTCCATCTCCTGCCGCGGGCTGGACAAGCACCAGGGCCAGCAATGCTAGGCACCACTGCATCCTCAATCCACTTCCAAGCCTGCGTTGAAAGCAGTCGTTAAAAGCCTTGTTAAAGATCAGGTGCGGGTTGTGCGACAGTGCAATGATTTTTAAAGACACTGGAAAGTGGTAGGGTTCGGAGAGGATGGCACGGAATGTTTCTAGAACGTCTCCACCACATTTACAGTGGCGGTTAGAATCGAATCATTGTTTAGAAAGTCCTTATAGAGATGTTCATTCCTCATAGTAATCCTTATAGTAATACTCCTCGCATTTGATACGGCGCCTTATCACGTCTTCGAGACATCTCAAAGCGCTTCACAGGATACACTGTAAGGTAGAGTGACTGTGCAGTTAGTGGGCGAAACGCGGCAGCCAGTTGCACAATAGTGCACTGTGCTCTCTTTCGGTTACATAAACTGTTGCAACACTTAATGCGTGTACAGCTATAGTAAGAGCTTTTATCCCCCGTTCTATGTGACCCACCACTGGCGGCTGGGTGGGGTTTCAGCCATTCTGCCCCCGCTCTCTGGAATTTCAGTTCAGAGTTCCTCCAATTGCCTTCTGCATCTTCACAATATCAGGTTACGGTGTTACCTACAGATCTGAATGGAAATAGAAGATCTGAGCCCTTTTGCACTTCTCTTGTCTCATGAGCTGCTGAGGAATGAACATCTCAGGTCTATGACATGATCGAGTCATTTATTACTGTTGACTGTCTGGCCAAGTAAGATACTTTCTCCGAAGGCTGATCAGCACACAGTGTCTCTACTCAATGTGGGACGGAAAATGGGGAATAAAATGACAGCACTGCATGTGGTCATTATTGTACAATACTTAAGATACTGATATCAACATTGTGTACAGACATTGTGTGCTGATCATAAAGATAAAGCAAATTTGTCCTTCAATATGGCCGCTTTTTATTTCAGTGCAAGAAATTATTATAATCTACAGTTTAGCTCTTTAAAAACAGAGGATTTTAATGTGGTTCTAATGTCCATTTCGTGTTGAGAAGTTGTGTATACAACTGGACAAGAACACTGGGATCCTATAAGGATCACAACTGAATCAATCACTTTCAATTATTCAGCATTATTTTTGAATGTAATTGCTTAATAAGCAGCTTTGTCGTTGACCTGTGGTCAGTCAAAAGGCAACTGTGCTGTTGCAGCTTTGCCGGTTGAATATCCGCACACTGAAACAGACTGACGGGTACCGAGTTCTCCAACCTTTCCATTGATACACCTTCAACTGTAGATGGATTCTAACTGCGGTCACAATGGTTAAACAAATTGCAGCAGTAAAGCAATGGAAACCATATCGGTGACGTGCACAAATGCTGGCAAATGTATTATAGAAATGTTTCTAACCGTAATAGGATTCAATCATCAAAATACTTCCTTGACGTTACGATTAAAGCTGCATATCCAGCATTTTTAACGAGCTTACTGCAGGACAATGACATAACTGAAGGTTTTAAAATGCTTACAAAATGGTTACTGTGTCTAAAACGGCAGTGAAAAATTGCTTTATTGACCTGTTTTTCTTTAATCTGTAACCTGTGCCTGACACATAAAATTAAAAACTGTATTGTACCTTGCAAGACCTGTAAATCACTGCGGACAAATAATTGATCAAGAGTGGGTGATTTGAACAAATGCACATTCTTGCCAAAACACAAATCCGGAAATGTTGCAGAAATGTTGGCCAGGTTAGAGTAATTGGAGTTGAGGTACAGATCAGCCATGATCTAATAGAATGGTGGAAAAGGCTTGAGGGGCTGAATGGCCTACTCTCGTTCCTATGTTCCTCTGAGTGGAAAATCTCACGGCTCTCACCTCATCCACCTAACCGACCTCCCCCTAAAACTCTCCGGACCCGTACGCAACCTCGGAGTCAGGTTCAACCCCCAATTATCCTTCCTCCCCCACATCCGGTCCCTCACCAGCACTGCTTTCTTCCAGCTCCGACGCATCGCCCGTGTCTGCCAATACCTCACACCAAAAGCCGCAGAAACCCTAGTCCATGCCTTTGTCACCTCTCGGCTGGACTACTCTAACGCCCTCCTCGCTGGTCTCCCATCGACTACCATCCATAAAATCCAAATCATTCAAAACTCTGCCGCCCGCATTCTCACCCGCAACAAACTCCGCTCCCGATCACCCCAGTCCTGGTCAGGCTGCACTGCTGCCTATCCCAGAGAGGATCGATTTCAAGATCCTCACCCTTGTATTCAAGTCCCTGCACTCATCTGCACTCTCTGACCTCTCTCCTCAAAACAGTACCCGTTGCCTTCGATCCTCCGGGTCTGGCCTCCCCCTCGTCCCCTGAGTCCTCCACTCCACCCTCGGTGGCCGGGCCTTCAGCCACTGTGCCCCGAGGATCTGGAACTGCCTTCGTCACTCCCTTCGTCTCACTCCCTCCCTTCCCATTTTCAGGTCTCTGCTGAAGACCTTTCTTTTCATCGTGCCTTTGGTCACCTTCCCCCACTCTCCCCGGCTCGGCCCCGGGATCCATTACTGTGAAGCGCTTTGAGACGCCGTCCGGCGTGGAGGGCACTATATAAATCCAAGTTGTTGTTGTTGAAATTGAGGCTACAAATCCACATCTTATGCCTTGAAAGACCAACTTGCTGGAACACTGCACCAGCCCCCATGTGACTGTGTGAAATCTAATATACACGTTGTTTATCCAGCATTCCTGGTCAATGCAGTTTTGTTCTAAACACAATGCAGTGCGGGGTTCCATACAAGGAGAGAAACTGTAGCCTACGAGACTAAGGCCCGCTCAAGCAAGCCTAATTAAAATCCTGTAGGTTATCCGTGGGATGAAGACATAGCATGAAAAGCGATCCTGTTGTATTCAAGTATAGAGTTAGAATTCCACAATGGACAATTCACGTAGTGAGTGAGGAGGAAAGCGCGAGAAATAACCCTTCCAGGTCAGGCATTTAAATTTAACCACCAAGATTCCTACACATTATAGAAATATAAAGAAATAAGTTCTCATTTCTAGATATGAGCTGTGACACTGTTGACAAGGTAACCGGAAATATTTTTCTGTCTGGCATTAATCAAGAAAGTCAAACATCAGAACTTGACCCAGTTGCATCCATAAAACCACCGTGTCAATTTTCAAAGACCTTGCTTATTTGGAGGTGAGAAGGAATCAGTTTTAAGAGCCCATTTTTTTTCCCCAATGCATTTCACCTCCAAAGAGTGATTAGATTAGAGGATTCCCGAGGAGCACAAAAAATAATGTAGATCTTAAAATTAGAAGGAAGATATAAATAACTAGATATTATGCAATTACACTTTAATATTTGTTAGAAATAACTAATATCTGTTAGAAAGCAGGCAAACATAGCATTAAATAATAGGAGCAAATGCAGACGAAAGAAAAATACAAGTTGCAAAGGCAAGCAGAAGTATATCATTTATTTTAATTGTGTGGAATTAATATTAAGAATTGTAACGTTGCCTCTGACTATTTTTTTATTGTAATATATACACAGCCAAATAAATAAAAGGAATTATTGCCTTTAATTTTCTCATTCCTACTTCGTGGTTCTTGCGTTACATTTAAATTATACATTTTCTTCATGTGTTTACGCTATAAAGCACAGCTGCACATATTTATTTGGTTCTTGATGTCACACATCAGATCTCAGCTATTCCAATCCACTGATGTGTACTTGCTTTCACAATACCTCCCTTCATTATCAACACGAACAACAAGGCAGTTAATTTGATGACAGATTCTCTGGGGGAAAAAAACATAAACTGGAAGAAAACAGCTGACCACTGCAGTACATAAAAAATTCTGCAGGCAGCAATATTCTCTTTCACTCACAGTCACACAAAAGCAGAGAAGCTCATCCTATGATTGCAAACGTTAAATTATCCAGTGTCGTGATATATGACCATTTCAAGAGGAATGTTTTACTTTGCAAATGTGTGAAAGGTGTGTCCAGAAAACAGGTTTCCGTCACCAGCTCTATACTGTATAATTCCATGGAGAAACATATATTGCATGTTCATTAAAGGTGGGTACATTACTCCTCGCACATGAATGTAATAGTAAATTCTCTCCCACCCCACCTATCCCCAGCTGAAGGTGTGTCTCACGCTGGGTGTGTGTGGGTCTATGCATCTTGGTCGACCTACTGTGCCGTTTCTAAGTATCTAAGAATCGACAGGTAATGATAACAATAATAATAATAATCAGTGCATTTGATATAGCGCCTTATCACGTCTTCGAGACGTCTCTAAGCCCTTCACAGGATACACTTGGATCACTTAGAATAGCTAACTCAGCATAGATGGAGGATCAAATCTGGAACCTTCTGTAGGGCTGTTTGTCCCACTTTAGCAGGTGGTGTTTATCCACGAGCGGAGGAGGCATTTTAAAAATGACTGAGAGCTGTAGCAGCAGTTGGGGGCGGAGGGGAAGGAACCCCTCAAAAAAAACCACAATCACTTTGGAAGAGTCCCGACGATCAGATAGCGAGGCAGCGTTAAACAAAAAGACCTTGGACCTGGCAAGCAATGAAACAGTAATATAATCTGCCGTTTCGCCCACAAAATATACAGTCAATTCACTTCACTGAGTGTATTCTGTGAAACTCTTTTGAGACGCCTCCAAAAAATGTGACAAGGCGCGGTATACAAGTGCGAGGATTATTGTTGTGATTATTATTATTAACAGTAATATAACTAACAGAACCCGACGGTGGGAATCTTGACGGATGCAGCAGCAAAGGAGAGCGAGTCGGTGCAGTTTGTGCCCACCGGAGCCACACAAGGATGGATTCAATAAAGCCATGACAGGGAGAGGGGGGGAGAGAGAGAGAGAGAGAGAGAGAGAAAAGAACACATCATCAAATCAAACCAAACCAAACCAAAAGCTGCAGCATGGCTGGGGGGGCAATGGCATGGCTGGGGGGGCAATGGCATGGCTGGGGGGGGGGCAATGGCATGGCTGGGGGGGCAATGGCATGGCTGGGGGGGGGCAATGGCATGGCTGGGGGGGCAATGGCATGGCTGGGGGGCAATGGCATGGCTGGGGGGGGCAATGGCATGGCTGGGGGGCAATGGCATGGCTGGGGGGGCAATGGCATGGCTGGGGGGGCAATGGCATGGCTGGGGGGGCAATGGCATGGCTGGGGGGGCAATGGCATGGCTGGGGGGGCAATGGCATGGCTGGGGGGGCAATGGCATGGCTGGGGGGGCAATGGCATGGCTGGGGGGGCAATGGCATGGCTGGGGGGGCAATGGCATGGCTGGGGGGGCAATGGCATGGCTGGGGGGGGCAATGGCATGGCTGGGGGGGGCAATGGCATGGCTGGGGGGGGGCAATGGCATGGCTGGGGGGGGGGCAATGGCATGGCTGGGGGGGGGCAATGGCATGGCTGGGGGGGGGCAATGGCATGGCTGGGGGGGGCAATGGCATGGCTGGGGGGGGGGCAATGGCATGGCTGGGGGGGGGCAATGGCATGGCTGGGGGGGGGGCAATGGCATGGCTGGGGGGGGGCAATGGCATGGCTGGGGGGGGCAATGGCATGGCTGGGGGGGGCAATGGCATGGCTGGGGGGGGGGCAATGGCATGGCTGGGGGGGGGGCAATGGCATGGCTGGGGGGGGCAATGGCATGGCTGGGGGGGGGCAATGGCATGGCTGGGGGGGGGGCAATGGCATGGCTGGGGGGGGGCAATGGCATGGCTGGGGGGGGGGCAATGAATGGTAAAGACTTGTGACAGGTCATCAGCATCACATGAGAGATGAGAGGATGTGATAATGATGCAGTGCAGGTGGTTGCTCTTTTTTTGGGGGGGGGGGAGGGGGGAGGGGAGGGAGGGGAGGGGAGGGGGGGAGGGAGGGGGGGAGGGGAGGGGGAGGTTTGACAGGTCCCAGATCTTCATCTGTTGTGGTTGTTTTGCACTGTGTGTGTGTGTGTGTGTGTGTGTGTGTGTCTGTGTGTGTGTGTGTGTGTACAAGCAATTGTCAGGACAGAGGCAGATACTCACCGTCACTGGAGCTCATATGCAGGGACGCGGATGAGAGCTGAGCAGCCCCCGGGTGCCCTGGGGTGGGTATTGCTCGGTGTGGTGTCCCCCCAACAGCTGAGCGACTGACTGAGCGCTGCAGCCGCAGCAGCAGCTGATTGATTGGCAGACAGAGCAGCTGCCCCGCCCACTCGGGGGCCCCGCCCCATTGGAACGCTCCGGGCCGGCCTGCTGCCTTCTGATTGGCGGGCTGCTGGCTGGCGGTCTGGGGTTGACGTAGCCTCGCCCCGCCCCGCCCCCCCCCTCCCCCCTCCGCGCTCTCAGTCCCGCGTTGCATGACGGGAGTTGGAGTTCTGTTTGACATCCGGGCACTCGCCTGTCACAGAGGGCGGGAGGACTACGACTCCCGACGGCCACCGCGGCGAGGGCTCTCTCTCTCTCTGACGCACACACACACGACACACACAGTCACAGACAGGAGGCGAGTGGAGCCCGGTTTGGGGTCTGTGTGTGGGTGTGTGTGTGTGTGTATGTGTGAGGGGGGGACGTGTTTTTTGTCGAATTATTTTTAATTTGAAAAAAATACTTAAACCTGCAAAAAAAAAATGTTTTTCTCTCTCCCTCTCTCTTTCTCCCTTTCCCTCCCTTTGTCTTTCTTGAAATAAATTTGCGCTCGAAGCCTTGAACCACTCTTTTTTTTTGGGTGCGGTCGGGGCTACTTTTTGGGCGAGTGGGCGGGGCTTTGGGCTACGAACGGGTGTTTTCTTACACGCGGGGCGGGCGGGACGGGCGGCAGCGGCGGGCGGGGCGGGGCGGGGCGGTGATTGACGGCCGCGCTGGCGCCGCCCCCTTTTCACTTCACTTCACCGCCGACGCCTCCTCCTCCTGTGGAGATTTCCTGTGTCGGTCCCTGTGGAGGATCTGAGGAGAGAGACCGAGGTGGGTAACCCTTCCCCAACACCCCCCCCCCCCCCCCACACCCCCTCCACCCCACACCCCCTCTCCCCTTCCCCCCCCCCCCCCCCCATGGCCAGGGCGGCAGTCTGAGGCCTACTCTGTTAGTGCGGGGCCTGAGGCCGCCCCCACCCCCCCACCCCGGGCTGAAGGCCTCTGACGGGCTGTTAGGCCTCAGGGAGGGAGAGAAGGAGAGAGAGAGAGAGAGAGAGAAGGAGGGAGAGTGGGGGAGGGAATGTTTTGGTTTTGGCGCTTGTTTTTCCTCTCCCCCCCCCCCCCCCCCACCCCCCCCCCGGGTCCTGGTGATAAACCCCAGAGCAGCGCCTCCTCCTGCACCTGCTTCCCCCCCCCCCCCCCCTCCCCACTTCTCTCCCCTCCCCGGAGCACAGTCACTACACTTCGCGGTGTATCCCGTGAAGCGCTTCGAGACGTCGCGAAGACGTGGTGGTGGCGGTGATGATGGCGGTGATGATGATGATGATGATGAGCCCTGGGTCCGACGCGGCGCCCGATCGCGTCGTCGAGACGCCTCCCGCCCCGGGGTGGGGGGGCTTCCGCGGGGTGCACCCTCGTCAAGCGTAGTGACTGTGCGTTCGGCGGTGCGAAACGCGGCAGACAGTCTGCGCCCCAGCGACGTGCCCCGCGAGCAGCCGTGGGCCGAGCGGCCGAAGTGATAAGGCGCTGCAACAAATGCAAGGATTGTTATTGTTGTTATTGTTTGTTGTTGTTGTTGTTGTTGTTAAGTCGGCTCGTGGGAAGTCGAGCTTTTGTCCATCTGTACGTGGCTTCGGGCCGGAGAGAGAGAGAGAGAGAAAGGGGGAGAGAGAGAGAGAGAGAGAGAGAGAGGGGTGACGGGACACCCTTCCCTGGATGGGGGGTGGGAAGGAGAGCACTGTCTCTCTCTCTCTGGGATCACAGCCTCTGGGAGTTGCCAGACCTCCCCCCCCCCCCCCCCCGCGGGGATTAAACTGCCGGCGTGGAAAGCCAGCACCTGACAGGCCGGGGGGGGGGGGGCGGTGGGGTGGGGGGGGGCGGTGGGGAAGGGCAGAAAATGCACCTGCCCGTCCCAGTCCGTGTAAATAATACAGCGCCTCATCGCGTCCTCGAGACGTCCCAAAGCGCTTGGCAGAATGTACTGCAAAGTGGAGTGACTTGTGTGTTTTGGGGGCGAAACCCAGTTGTGCATCGAGTGACCAAATTATTTTTTTAAAGGGTTTTATTACCCCCCCCCCGCCCGTTGACTAACAGCCGGGTTCCTGCATGCTGCTAAGTAAACAGAGGCGTGTGGAGTAAGGAAACTTGCCCTAACGTTTCGCCCCGGCCCTCGTTGATTTCCTGGTAAACTTTGAGCGCTTGACCAAACAGGCTTTGTTTGGTTTCTGTCTTTTAAAGCCGTCAAAAAAAAAAAGGGTGTGGAGGAGAGGAGATGAGAGCGAGAGAGAGAGAGAGAGACACGTAATAAAACAGCTGATTCTTTGGCTGATGTTGCGAAACTGCCCGACATACCTCATGTGTGGCTTCTCAACTAACGGCCAACACTGTGCAGTAATCTTGCGTTTATGTTGTATGCTTCATTTGGTGCGTAAAGAATGTCTTTTGGCCCGTTGCATCTCTCCTCCCATCTGCTTCCCATGCTCTGCTTGTTACACTTTTAAGATTGTTTTGCCAAAAATACGCAGTCAATTCACTTTACAGTATATCCTGTGAAGCGCTTTGAGACATCTCAATGACGTGATAAGGCGCTATATCAATGCAAGTATTATTATTATTCATCTAAAGCAAGCAGGTATTGCACGTCACGCGAAGCCCAGGTCACCACACGTGCCCGGCCAAAGAGTGTTTGCAACGTTCTCCTAAATTGTGTTTTTTAAAATGTATAAATTCAAAAGGAAGTTCAAACCTAACAGTTTCCCTAGTGCGAGGTGGTAAAAGTATATGTTTTGAATCTTCTGTTTTTTTTAGTTTGTGACAGACTATTTGTTTTCAATGTCACTGAATTTTGTGGTGTCTGTGCTGCATTTGTTAATGTTCCACGACTATTATATTAACTGTACAGTGTGTGCTTTCTTTTATGTGTCTGCTGTGACAGAAACCGCCAGTGAAACTAGCGTGAGTGGCTTGTAATCACTTATGGATTTACTGTACAAATCTGAGTGGAATGAGCAATTGGATTGTACTCGGTAGTCTAATTAGAATATATCACGTGCATGACCAGATTATATTCCTATCCTGTACTTGACAACTAACTAACTAACCACTTTGGTTCTGAAAATGCTCAATTTCAATAATTTAAACGAGTTAAAGTTAACGTTATCTTACAACTCGTGATATTGTGGCCCCACCAGTATATTCCATTAATGGAGTCAGCTTCAATTTACCGATATTTACTAGGAATTAAAATGAAAATTGACGACTGCAGTGCAACAGCATTTACTGATTTTGTAGTATTTGACCTGACAACAAATCATCTAATAAATTTGGGGCTGTCTCGATGACCTTAACTTTAATAAATGTAGTTGAAGGACTTGACGATGGTGGCTCGATGACCCTAGAGAGAGAGAGCGAATAAAGCTTCCTACAATAATCTGCATTAGTTCTCATCAAATTCCAAGATGTCAACGGTGTCAAATCTGGATTACATTTGTGACATGTGTGTAATACTACAGAAATGTAAACGGACGTGCAGAAATGTTTAACTGCGATTATAATTAGCATATGGTAGTGATCACAGTGAAAATGCTGATTAAGAGGACTTGAGCTTTATTCTGTCGTCTGAATTCCTCTTGCATTTGTTTTCACCCATGTTTAACTTTTAATTAAAACTTGGTGAAATATGTATGTTTAGCCAAATTAATAAGGTTTGTTGCCTCAGACCGTGACTCTTTAGGGATTCAGATATATTGTCAGTTTGGTTCAGTTAGTAGCACCGTCCAGGTTAGAAAGTTGTGAACCTCAATGTTGGGAGTATTCGAGGCGAATATCCCAATGCAGCGATGAGGGAGCATTGTATTATTGAGAGACTGTGTCATATAAACAAACAGATAACATGATATAATCAGAGTCCCATTTATTCTAATGGTTCGGCATTATATTTTTATTTTATGTTGGTATTTTTATAGAACAATAACTGTCAAAGCTCAAACGTAAAGAATAAATACTTGGGTAGGATACAGGAGGGTGACCCAACAACAACGACGACTTGCATTTACATAGCGCCCTTCACGCGGAGTAGTCCTGGAGCGACCAACGCTCATGGAATAAATCCCTGGCTTTCACCAGTGCCCTCAGGCCAAGGAGGAATGCCCAAAGTATTTGTGTTTATAAGCCGTTGACATAGAATCCATTTTAAATTGTTCAGTTGTTCACTTCAGATTGTTTTGTTGCAGGGCGGTGACTTGTTTTTTTTACACACACGGAGGGAGGCAGAGCATTGGCTTCGGAGTGAATGCTGACTCAGCAGTTGTAGCGCTTTTCCAGGAATAGGGAGCGATAAACCAAGGATGACAATGGAAGAGATGAGGAATGAAGCAGAGACGACCTCTATGGTTTCTATGCCACTCTATGCAGTGATGTACCCAGTGTTCCATGAGGTGGGTAATCATTTCAGTGGCTCCTTTGTTAAGCTCCAATCTATCTTGTGTGATCTTGATCTGCGGAGGACAGAAAAAAGAACGGAAGACACCATTTTCGCCCACAAATATACTTGCCCCGAATATACAGTCATTTCACTTCACAGTATATTCCGTGAAGCGCTTTGAGACGTCTCGGAGACGCGAAAAGCGCTATATCAAATGCGAGGATTATTATTATTTTCAATTCTGAATTCATAAATTTGAAATGCAGCTCCCCATCAATCCTCCAACCTTAATATTTAATGTTTTTTTCTTATTTTCTTTACAGTTAAATTGACTCACAAACGTTCTTCTGATGAGGAACTCAGTGAAATTTTCTAGCAAGTAGCTGAGCCATGCGGTTGGGGCAGTATGTCAGTAGTTAGTGCTGATAGTTTATTGATCTACATTGTAGTGCACTAATTACCTTCATTACAGCAAATTAGGTCTGGGAATAATCACACAGGCTTCTGGTTATTAATAGCTATATGTAGTTTGCAATGGTTGGTAGAAATACTTTCTGTGCAGAAATTGTTGCACCGTGTCTAAAATGTTCAATTGTGTGCTTTGTTGCAGTTGGAAAGAGTTAATCTATCCGCTGCCCAAACACTCCGAGCTGCTTTTATTAAGGTGAGTGGAAATGCTGTTGTGGCAGCTTTCTGATGGTCCAGTGTATACGGTATGCGGTGCTGTTTCCAGTCTGTATAGGGTTCCAGGTTTAAAGCCTACTCTGCGCTGTGCTAGACTCAGGGGCTTCTTGATCTTCCAGGTTTGACCTTGTAAAAAAAAGTTTCATTCTTAAAAAAAATAAAAATTTTACACTCTTTCCCTCATTAGTTTTTTTTAAAAAAAATCTTAATTCCAAACTATGTTTTGCTAATATTTTAACCAGGTTTCTTTTAACTCCTAAGCCCCGGGATCTATTTTTCTGGACTGTAAGCAAGCGCAATTTTGCATCCCCAGGATTATGTTAAACGCGTTCAATGTAGAAATGAACCGAATGAGAAAAAAATAATTTTGCCCCCACCCCCCAAGATCTTTCCATAGTTTATATACAATGGGCTCCCCTCAATCCACATTGTCTCCTGAGGAAAAATTGTGCAAGTACATACCTATCTGAACATTATATCCTACATTATTTATACTTGTCGTGCCAAGGGAAATAACCGCTCATTTCCAAGGTCAAGTCAGGAAAGTTTGTTCAATTTATTTAAAAAATGATTCAGGTGCATTGTAGGTTAAAGCCAAAGGCATATGTGAAACTTAAGCTTTACTGTGTGGATGTGTATATATAGATTTATATCCTGTTAGTGTGTCCAGGTAAGGTCAGTTCATATTACAGAATACTTATTTTTTTTTTAATTCTATTTCACCCTTGTAGGATACTTGCTCCTTGCTCTTATTTCTTTGAAAGGCATGTTTCTTCTGTGGACTTGAAAAATCTTGGCTATATATTTTGTAAAATTTTGTTAAACCTTTGTTTGATGGAATGATACCAGCATTCATTTAACTATGTTGGTGGATTCAAATGACCACTTATTAACATAAAAGCAATGTTGAAAGATGCACTTTGTTGCTGTTTGAGGTAAAATGCACGAAAAACGCTTTCTTCTTCTGCACAAAACAAAAGCTTGTATAAACCACTTATAATGCATATTTTATGAACTAATTTTAATGAAATTCATATTGAAATTGCTTGAAATTATCATATAGTGCCCATAATGGTTGACTGTAAAAAAAAGGTTTTACATAGCCGTGTATAGTTTATCCAAAAATCAATCTAAAATTAACCAGGTAGGATAGTGTGCCTGTACTTTTGGATTGCTAAAATAAATGTTCTTTCGATTTAGGCTGAAAAAGAAAATCCAGGTCTCACTCAAGAAATCATCACAAAAATTCTGGAGAAAAAGAGCGTAGAAGTTAATTTCACGGAGTCACTTTTGCGCATGGCCAGTGATGATGTAGAAGGTATGTGATTTTTTTAAAAAAAAATTCCCAGCCTCCAATTTTCCCTCCAATTTTTTTCTGATCTTCAAAGGAGCAATTTGTGGTTTGGTACCGTGGATGCATTTTGTGGGAGCCAGTTCGTTTCATAATGTTTGTTAACTTCATCATTCAGCCTACTTCAACTGCAAGTACTGTCTAAACCATGCGGTACCTACTTTGTTTAAAATGTAGCACTATCTATTTTTTTCTCTCAAAGGCCACATGAGTATGTTTACGACTAAAGAAACTTGATTGAAACAGGAATAACATGGCTTGGTCTTGAATGAAGCGTGGCTTCCCTCACATTTTCCTGCTGTGTTGGCATTTTCAGAGTACATGATTGACAGACCGGAGCCAGAATTCCAAGAATTAAATGAAAAGGCACGAGCACTCAAGCTGATTCTCAGTAAGATTCCTGATGAGATCAATGACCGGGTCCGTTTTCTTCAGACAATCAAGTATGTACTGTGTCTGTTATGGTTTGTTCAGGTGGCCACCCACCAGCCATCAAAACATGAATGTGTGCACCACCATGTAATAATCCTTCAAATTATAAAAAAATAATAATTTGGTCACTCAATCCACGACTGTTTGTGGGACACTGCTGTGCGCATTTGCCTGCCACGTTTTGCTCAGAAAATACAGTCAATTCACTTTACGGTATATTCTGTGAAGCGCTTTGAGACGTCTTGAAGACGTGATAAAAGCCTTATTTCAAATGCAAGGATTATTATATTATAATGTATCCCAGTGACCACACAAGATACATTGTGGTGCACACATTCATGTTTTGATGGCATTGGATTCAATTTGATTCGTTTCCTTTCCACTTATTTATGTACTTTCACTTCTCAAAATTGTTAGGGGAGAGAGAATTTTGTTTTGAACTTCTGTTTTTTTTAAAAAAAAACTATAGCATAAATGAATTGGTAAATAAACTCAACTGAAACTTTTCCTTATGGGCTGAGCTATGGGAAACTGGATTTTTTTTTGGGGTGTAGGGGTGTGTGCATTTGTTTATATAATAATCTTTTCATTTGATACAGCGCCTTAATCACGTCTTTGAGACGTCTCAAAACACTTTACAGAATATACTGTAAAGTGAATTGACTTACATTTTGTGGACGAAACACGGCAGCCAATTGTGCACAGCAGCGTCCCACAAACGATCGTAGATCGAGTGACCAAATTCTTATTAAATATTTTTTTATGAAGTGTTTATGACCCCTGGAAAAGTGATCCGCCAATCTTTTGCATTTGCTGTGCCTTTTTTTTTCTGCAGGGATATTGCCAGTGCAATCAAAGAGCTTCTCGACACTGTGAACAACGTTTTCAAGAAATACCAATACCAGAACCGCAGAGTAAGTACTTCTTATTCCACAACCGCCGTAATCCATATGCAAGAACAGCTCACTCTGTGTACAATCTACAGTGTTTGCGATACGACTTCAACATTTAGATGGAATATTTGCAGCAAGGAATTAAAGTAACTTTTTCTTATCACAAAAGCCTTGAAAATATCTTAACCAGTGCCCTGTCTCTTTTGGTTGGGATTTTGCTTCCAGATCACCCTATTACTGAAGTTTTCTAGTCAGTGGCTGGCTGCTTGCATGTTCCTGTTTTTAATCCACCCGTGCGATAAATGCCGAATACATTGTTTCAGGCTGTGACATATGATTACAAAAAATCCGAGAAAGGGCAGCGTAGATCGCTGGTGAAGGACAAGGTCGCAAATCAGCATTTCGCAAACACAGATATTTTGTATATAAACGTTTGGCCTCATACTGACTCGCTCACTCGCGCACTCGCTCACACACAACATAAAAAGTTAAGGTTTGGATGTCAATCCTCTCAATCCGTTGGTTCTTAATGAGATAACAAGAAAACACAAGTCATTCCTGGAATGCTTAGCCACCGCTGCAGATCAGTGTGGGCTCTGGCAAATTTGAGCCATTTTACATCCAAAACCTTGAGTGTAGCACCACTTAGTGGTTGATCATTAGAGAAAAAAATTGTCGTCATATTTAAATTACGTGTTATTTCAGCTGAGCTATATTTATCTGAATGAGTAATTCAATTACTGTAATTTATCCCGAGATAAATTGGTAATAGTACACATATTAGAGTTTCAGTTTTCTTCCACTTACTGAGTTGAGTCACCGATATCTGTCCGTGCCAGGAGACATTGCGCTCCAGGTTAATGATTCCTCCACAAAGCTTGGTTGTCGCCAAATTTTAAAAGGTGTGATCTAAACTGGGAGAACAGGTCAGTGTTACTTCCTGGGATTGGAATGTATTGCTCATGTTCCCTGCTCCGTCCAGGATCTGCACCACAACATAGTTGTTCAGGCCCTAATGGTGCTGTTGTGAGAGCTTTGTAACTTTGCCTTTTTATATTTTTGATTTTTTTTCCTCAAAAAAAAACATGTTTAGCAACTTGTTCCCAGACGCCTCAGTGCAGGTTCTGGAACAGCTGTTATAATAATATAATAGTAATAATAATTCTTGCGTTTGATTATGGTGCCTTTTATTACAGGGCACTGGTTAATATAGCGTCCAATTCACATCTTCGAGACATCTCGAAGCGCTTGTTTTAAGCTGCGCAGATTGATTACATGGGGGAACAAACCATATTTTGACGCTCCATGGCATAGCATTGCTACAGTGTCTCTGCTCTCATCTTTAACATCTTATTGTTATTTCCTGTCTAGCATTTCCTGGTTTAGTGTTCTGGAGTCGCAGCTGTTGTTATGCTCCTTGCTGTAGTGGCTATTTGTATTTTAGCTTCACATGATGCAACTAGAAGAGGGAAGTCAGGAAAATCTGTGGTGGTTTAACAGGAAGTGGTTTCACAGCAAATCAACAGAATATTCAATTTTGCCTGGATTATGTACTGTGTGATACAAAAATTATTAATGATAAAGAGGAATCTCTAAAAGTATCAAGTGGCGCAAACGTTTTGTAAGATTATTGACAAACACCCATTGGATTCACAAAGCCCACGAGTGTATATTTGGATGTTTTAATATAAAGGTGATGTTAAAATATTGGTAACCATTTTAAAACTTGAATTAAAATCGACTGTTCAATTTTTAGGCACTTGAACATCAAAAGAAAGAATTTGTCAAGTACTCTAAAAGCTTCAGCGATACCTTAAAAACCTACTTCAAAGATGGAAAGTAAGTATTGTGATATTGTGAACTATGGTACACATTATTTTACCAAAGGCTATTAAGACTAATATTTTGTATATTTGTAGCTACCTTATACTTTTTAGTTTTTGTAACCAATAAAATTGGTTAAAAAAACTAAAAATGTATGAGTGTGCATGGTAATTGAGTAATAAAATAGAACTAAACATACCTTTTTATTTCTATGAGGTAAAAGTATTGTGAGCTGTGACCACACCTTTAAGGTTTACAGCAATTGTATTCGAAAGATTCGTTTTAATGTCAAAATATTTTAAGCTATAACAAATGATATTTGTGTGGGTGATCTCTAACTTCAAATGTTTTCACTACACCTTATTCGCTAATTTCTCACATTGGTGTCCACTGTTTAACATTTTTCTTTGAAGAAGGGTTCTCAATAAAAAAAAAACTTGCAATCGAGCAGTACTGTACTTGTGTACCTATATATGTTGCCCAAAGAGTTGAACAAAGATATGTACTGTACACTTTTAGAAATTGCACTGAATCTCTCCACGACATTAAAAGACAAAACTGACCACTTACTTTCTGTTTAAACAGGGCAATCAACGTGTTCATAAGCGCCAACCGACTAATCCACCAAACCAACTTGATACTGCAAACCTTCAAAACCGTTGCTTAGAAACTGCATCTGGAAAGCTGTTTGATTTTTAATTTTAAAAGGTCGACCTTTATATGTAAATTTAAATAGTTACAATTGTGTAAATTAACACATCCACTTCAGGACTTGATGATATCGAATGGGAATGATTATCAACTTGCACCATATTTTTGTAAGACGTTGTAGTGTAATCATGATTTCTCATTTAAATAAAAACATCACTTTTTGCTATTACTATTGTATCCAAACGAAGCCAAAACAATTGCGCCTTAACATATCGTAATGTAACATTCCTTCATGTAAATATTGGTGTTCTGTTTCTGACATGTTAACTTGCTGGCAAAAAAAGACAAGTTATGTATTTAACAAGGTTGGTGGAAAATAAAGAGTTTACAGTCTCTTGAAAAGTATTTTATGAGCTATCGTATCTGCTTTTAATTGCGACACAAACGGTAAGGGCTTCCCCCATGTTTTACTGAAACTTCTTAGTGCTTTGTTGGTGATAGTACGCCTCTATCTGCAGTTTTCAGTGCAGTGTTTTTCAGCTTCAAGATTTTTACACAATCCTGTCTTCAGGGCCGATTGATGGTTCAGTTTACCGGCTTTGTATATACCGTGAGCTGGACTATTGGATTAGAAGAGCTGGCTATTGAGAGTTTATAGTCGGGTTAGAGAAATGATGGTGGTGGGGTATTTAGTAAGGTGAAGAGGAGCTCTTTAGGACTGGGAGAACTAGTGATTAAAGCCAGTGGTAAAAACGTCAGAAGGAATATAATCAGAGAGCTATCTTTCCAATTCCGATTGAAAGTTGATGTAGAAAGTTGAGTAAACAGCAGGAGGAGATGGATGGGAGTGGCTTGGGATCAAGGTTAGCAGGAGAACAGTTAGTGCTGAAACCCTATTGCTCTTTCAGAGAACCAGCAAAGACACCAGTGGACCGACAGAAAGCCCACCAGCTTTTTGCCCAGTAAATACCTTGCGTCGGTCTTCTCATCCTCTTTGGCTGGCTGGCCTTTCTCGTTGGGTCCAGTGGAAGAAACGGATCTTCTTTTAAAAGGTAGGTTTTGTTTATTTGCTGTGATTTGGGTTTAGGTGGTGGAGTGGGGGGTGGGGTGGAGAGAGAGAGAGAGGAAGAGAGAAAAAAAATCCCATCTGACAAAGGGTTTGTACCATTGTCTGACTGAACCTGAGAATGTTCCCAGTCAGGACTTGTTGCCTGGATACTGTCAGCACTGAACTCTGGAGCCCTTTGTGCAGAGAATGTGCTTAACCAGCGGAGGAGACCCTGTGAAGTCTTCAGACCAGAGTCCAGCTCAGCAATCCCTTGGGAATTGGGAGAGAGAAGGAGAGAGAGAGAGAGAGAGAGAAGAGAGGAAAGAATCGTAATGGTAACTACTCCCATCATTGAGTGTGTTGTGTTTTTAAAGCTCCGGAGAAATACGAGTTGGGCTGCGGCTTAGTTGGGATTGGTTTGTTATGTGATCACTTTCCCTGTGAAATGTGTAGTAAGAATGTGTCATGACCGGCTTTTATTCCCCCTACCCTCCACCACCCCGAAGCTTTCAGCTAACCAAAATGTTGAGTGGAAGTGGAGGCAAATTGATGTCAGGGGATTTACAGTATTTTTAGGTGTAACACAATACATCTTGATGTCTCCAAGTTACCAGAATACAGTACAGTAGTTAGTTAATTCCCCTTCCAACCTCTTACCCAGAGCCATACTCTGCACATAAACCACGCAGCTACATTTTACTGAACAGTCCTACAATCTCAAGGAGTTAAAATCCTTTTCAATAACAATAAATTAAAAATTCTTGACAGCATTTTAAAAAAAAGCTTTAAATCAATGTTTGCCAAAGTTTGAGGCTGTACTGAAACTCAGCAAAAGTGTTTACCAGATGGTCTTTTATTTTAGGTGGGGGGGTCCAAAGGTGGAATGTGTATTTTCCAGTCAAATACATTTATACCCTTCTCCCTGAGAAGAAGTGTTGGTTTGTGTTTTCTTTAGTCCCAAATAATAATGATCCTTGCATTTGATAAAGCGCATTATCACGTTGTTGAGAGGACTCAAAGAGCTTCACAGAATAAACTGTAAAGTGAATTAATTGACTGTATATATTGTGGTTGAAAAATATAATGTAAATATTATATAAAAATATAACAAAATCAGTAATCGTGCCACCGCAACTGTGTATTTGCATTGTACAGAACACTAAAATCTGATGTTATGATCACTTTTTCCCTCTTTCAAGGTCACGAAGATGATGGTGAAATAGGTTGATGTCTGCCCCCCCAGTACTGCCTGCTGTCTGTCACTGAGCAATGGCATCCCAGGTGACAGTGAGCTCTGACACGAAGGTACAGGAGGAGCTCTCTGCCACACAATCTTGTGGGAGAAGAACGAAAGCTCAGGAGCAGTTAGAAAGTCGACTTAACGTAAACGATATGATGATAATGGAGAAGATTTTCATGGTATGTCTTTACTTGTTATCAGTGTGTCATGTCAGATTTATTGATCCCCTCTTTCGCAGGACGCTTTAATGGTAATAATCCACGCATATGATACAGCTCTTTATCACATCTTCTGTACGTCTCAAAGAACTTCACAGGATATACTGTAAAGCAAATTAACTGTATATTTTGTGGGCGAAACGTGGCTGCCAATTGGGCACAGCAGCGTCCCCACAAACAGTCATGGATTGAGTGATCAAATTATTGTTATTCATGATCAATTTACCAATGGAATGTATCAGGTGGAAAATGCCTTTTACATGATTCTTGTCCGGCTATGGATAGGGATCTTGATCCAGATAATAGTGGCGTGGCATTAACTAAAAAATAACCGGAGTAAGTTGGCTGTATGGAATTTGTTGAATTTTTTCAAATAAACCCGATGTTTGAATTGCTTTCCCCCACAGCCATCGAACGTTAAGAAACATATGTCAATGAACAGGGAAGAATTTATTGACAAGATCTTCACGGCACTTGGATATGGTGAGAAGGAAGAGTATGGAGAGCTGTTTGACAAAATCGATGCAAAGCGGGACGGTTTTGTCAATTGGGATACACTGACCACATTCATGATGTTCGAACTCTACAAGAAAGAAGAACGAGTGAAATGGAATCTAGTCCCTCAATGGAAAGAGATTAAGATCTTTTCTTCACAACATAAGGAAGTTATCCGAAGTATTGTCTACCTGCAGAGCTCCAAACGATACCTGAGCATGAGTAAAGACGGTTATGTGAATGTCTGGGAAGAGAATTTGAATCTTCAGGAGACTTTTCGAGTTGTCACTGATTCGGTCAGATTGCGGGACCTCTGTGCAACTGGCATGGTTTTCCTCGCCAATGTAAGCAAGGTATGTTCATCTGCCAAGATATTGTGCCATTGATCAGTCACTTCAAGGAAGAGGACAGTGTTGGTGAGCAAGGGCTCAATGAGACCTAAACAGTTCAAACCCTTCCCGGTTGGGATCCACGCCAACCAAAATGTAAATTTCTGACGTATGCTCTGAGTGAATTTATGGCTTGTTTGACAAAGATATAATATTTGCAAGTTACTGTATTTAGTTTAGTGCCAGAAGAGTAATACCAGAGAGAGAGAGAGAGAAAAGGTTAGAAACCCGAGTTAAGAAAATGATCATTTTTTTAATTGTTTTTTGTCCAGGAGTTATTACAGTAATCCTTGCTATGTGTGTGGAGAGCAAGGATTACTGTCATAACTATTGTTACAGTGTCTAGTTCCTTTATTAGCCACAAGTCTACAATGTTTATCCTTAGCATTTTGTGGAATTATGTTATGCATATTGGTTCTCTAAAATGACTAGCTGTGTCCCTGGTTATACATGTATGAATAGTACTCTGATTTACCAGTTAAGCTGGTAACAAAAGTTACATTGTTGATATAATCTGGCTAGATTATGGCACAGATGGATTGGGCCAAATGGCCTGTTTCCATGTCAAATTATTCTATTCTATTTCATTCTATTCAATACAGCCATTGTATTCAGTCAGATTTGCACGTGGGTTTATCTCTGTTTATAAGTCTGTAACGTTTTTGTGCTTTTTTTCCTTTAGATAGCAGTTGGATTTACCACTAAGGAGATTTGCTTCTATGACATTAATTCCAAAGACCAATTCCCTTGCCAATATAAACTTGATGGCTTGCGGTATACTCCGATCTGTATGCACTATTGGTATAATCCCGAAGATGGCAATGAGGCAATTCTGACCTTTGGAGACGGCTATGGAGGGGTAAATTGGTTCTGTGTTAATAATAATAATGATAATAGTCCTTACATTTGATCATGCCTTCGAGGCGTCTTAAAGAGTTTCACAGAATATACTGTAAAGTGAATTTTTGTGTGTGAAATGAGGCAGCCAATTGCGCACAGCAGTGTCCCACAAACAGTCGTGGATTGGCGTGATGAATTTATTATTTTTTTATGAAGGAATTATTACCCTCGGAAAAGCAATCTGCCAATCGACTAACAACCGGGTTCCTACTGACTGCTAGATAAACAGAGGTGTGTAGAGTAAGGAAACTTGCCCAACATTTTGCCCTGCCGAGAATTGAACCCAGATCACTAGCTTGCAAGGCGAGTGCTCTAACCATTGATCTACAGGAATCCACTCTGGAATGCCTCGAGACTCTGAAATTCTCTGGCTTAACCATTCTGCCTTGCCACATCCTTGGCCATTTCTACCTGAAGACCCTACCCTTCTGCTCTACCTATAGTCACCTACCCTCTCTCCCAGGCTGGGCATCAGGCTCCGCCATTGTTAAGCAGCCTAAGACACCACCCCATGTGAGGCGTGCTATACAAATGCGAGTTGTTGTCGCGTTGCATTACATTTATTAAATATGCATGAGGATATTAACAAAAATAAGTTTTTAATTTCTCTTTTGAAAGCGTGGCTTTGATATTAATGTCAGGGTATAAGCGGTGTTCCAATTGCTGTGAGTTCTGGGGCCAGTGGAGGAGGCCAATATACATCCTTCTTATTTCCTTCCAGGTCAACGCCATGTGCTTTACCACAGCCTTAACTTCACTGTTTGAAAAATCAGCCAGTTCAACAGATGAGCAACAGGCAACTGTCGCTATTACCTGGAAACATTTGGTTAAAAGACATCACAAATGCTGCTTCATTTTACATCACAGAGAACATAACAGAGAATGGGTCAAACAAGGTACCCGATATGTATATTACAAGCATTTTAGTAGTCACTAGCCTTACCTATAATGTGAGTAATAATGCATGCCCATTACCCACATCCTTCCCAGTCTCTGGTTCCCAGTCTCAAGATCCTTGCTTACTGGAAACATCCTATCTGATTTAAGCTCTTCACAAACTGCACAGAATATTCCAAATCTAGTTCCACCAGGGATCCAGACAAGGTTATACTTGTTTTTTTTAAAGATATGGCCAATTGTTCTTTAGATGGTAATTGACTGGAGACTGCCCATGAATGATCAGTGATCATACCCACATTGTGTTCTTTCCCACTCTGTTGATGGACATCTTTTTGTTATGTACACATGTTTACTGTTTTCTCATTCCAGCATCCATTACCTTATATTTACCTACATTAAAATCCATCTGCCAATCCTAGGCCCATCTGTTTAGTTAGTTCTGATCTCCACAAATGTTATTTATCTTCCTTATATTATTGGCTTATCTGCATTGATTTGAATCATCAAAAAATGTTATAATATGATATTACAAGACTTGCTCTCCAAGTAATTTCTGCCTCTTGTTCCAATGTCTTTACTTGTATTTACATTAAATCCATCTGCCAGTCCCCGGTTCATCTGCTTAATTGGCTCAGATATTCTCAAACGCTATTTATCCTTCTTATATTATCAAGCAGTTTGTTATGTTCAACAAACATTGTAAGATTGCAGTGCTCTCCAAGTCGTTTCTCTACGATGCAAACAGCAGGGAACCCAGAACAGACCCTCGAGGAGCTAAACACTGCTAATCACTGCCCATTTATCATTACGCATTTTGCTTCCTATTTCCTATTCATTTTTCAATCCAGCTAACTAATTTGTCATCAATTCAAAGAGATTTAACCTTCTTTAAAGGCCTCAAACGTAGAACTTATCAAATGCCTAATAAAAAATTCAACTAAATTCTATTCACTGGATATTCCTCATCCTCCAGTTTGGTTATTTCCTTGAAGAATTTGAAAAGATTTGTGAGGCATGACATTTAAATTCATATTGACTACTCATAATAGGGCCAGTTCTCTTGACGAGCATTGATAGCATCCAATAAAATGCTCTGACGCATATTTACTACGACTGATGTTTACCTAACTGTTCTTTAATTTCCAGGTTCATGTCTCACTCATTTTGTTTATCATTTTGTTACAAGGAGAAACTATTTCCACTGGTGGGTGGGTCGGTAACCCAAGGGCACCGATTTAAAATAGTTATTAAAAGAAACAGAGGGGAGGTGAGGAGAAATTTTTCACACAGCGAGTTGTTCATCAACAAATGTTTGTGGGACGCTGCTGTGGGCAATGGCTGCCGCGTTTGCCCACAAAATATACAGTCAATTCACGTTCAGTATATCCCGTGAAGCGCTTTGAGACGTCTTAAAGACGTGATAAGGCGCTGTATCAAATGCAAGGATTATTATTGTTGTTGTTCAGATCTGGAATGCATTGCCTGAAAGACTGGTAGAAGCATCAACTAACACTCTGTATTGTATTTGCCATAGATACATTACCAGCCACAGTTGAATTTACATTAGATATTGCTTATGTACATCAGACCTTCAGCACATTGTTAATAAATTCATCTGTCGTTGTGTGGCTGTACTTATTAAATATATTTGCGTATCGAAAGCAGATAGCAGGTTTGCTTGCTGAAAGCAAGTTACTGTTTACAATCATATTCCCGTTGATAAATGGGCTGTAGGTAGATTCTCTGACTGGATCAGAATAGCAACCCCAAGACATAAAATTTGTGTATGTTCATTCTTTGCCCGAAGTGTTGCAATCCATCCACTCTTGCCAGATGAGAGGTTGAGTGTATCTTCTCCTGGGTCCTTAATAAATTAAGATTTAATCATCTAGAGATTGATTTTTTTCAATGAAAATATCTCGAACTCGGACCAACCAACTAGAGGAAAATTGAGAATGTAAGAGAGGGACAGTTGACTTGGGGGGATAATGACAAAGACTGATATCCCTTAGGAAATTTCCATGTACTGCCTATACATGATCTCTACTCGGTAACTGACTAATTGAATCAGGCGCCACTCACTGTGTGGAGAATAATAATAAATAATCCTTGCGTTTGATATTGCGCGAATCACCGGTGTAGGCCTGGGGCTCGGCATTCCATTCTGCGGTGTGTTAAAGCATTATTGAGAATGGCTTTCCAGCTGTATCTTCCCAAGTTTGTGGCCCACCGCCAAACATTTGTGAGCCACCCTGATTTAGACAATTTAATGTTAGACCATCGTCGGGTGCAAACTCCCCAGCCTTCTTTATGAGAACTATATCAAATCCCTGTTGCTTTTTCTCTCTCTAGTGAGCTACAGCCTGAACTTGGATGCTTTCATTTCCTGCTCTACAACCGGCACCAAAACATTGGTCCTAGCCTGGAAGGATAGGGAAAGGATGACACTTAGAATCACTTCTGTCCTTGCTGCTCATGGCATTAATGGCTTTGATTACCATTCTGGACTCAACTTAATTGGTATGTGAATGCATACATGCCTTGGGATGTCCTCCCGACGTGAAAGGCGCCTTCCAAATGTAACATGTTGTTGTTGTATAATGCAATATAGTATGACAGTCGCTGTCTTAGCTTTGCTGATGTGCCCAGATGTGGCCTGTCTTGGAAATGTCCATGGGTTAAAGAATGCTGGACTAAGAGTTTTTTTTCTGATTTGTGCTAGTTTTTTTAATGTTACTGGTTGTACTTGTGTTTTCTTGTGATTTCTTCTGTCACATTACAAACCGTAGAGCCTAAGAGACAGTGAAAGACAATCTTTTCTGATAGCCTCCGCAGGTGCAGATAACCAGGTCTTTCTCTGGAACCCTTACGTCATCTCTAAACCTGCCGGAGTTCTACAAGGTCACGTGGCTTCTGTGTTAGCTGTCCAATTCAATGTTGCACGGAACCTGCTCTTTAGTTTTTCAAAGGACAAGGTAGGATTGATTTTCCATTCGCCTCACATTCATGCCTGCCATGTGTTTGAGCAGAACAGTAACATGTCATGCCTCGTTTACACACTCAGAAGCAAAACCTTCAGAATTTTCTAGTGTTTTAACAGTTCTAAATAATAAATAGAAAAGAGTAGGACACCAAAACCAAATAGAATGATTGCACAAAAGCATTGAGTTTAGGACAGAGGTCGGTCCTGATGATGGAATTTTAATTCCAAACGCGGTTGATGATTTGTTGAGCTGTGGGTGTCTTTTAGAAGTTGCAATGACTGTGTCAAACCATCTAGGTTTTGCGAGTTTGGGACATTCAACATCAGTTGTGTATCCAGCGTCTTTCTGGCGTGTTTCCAAAGCTCCTGAAATTCCATTCAGTTCTATTCTTTGATGAACCCCACGGGCGACTGTTCACCACTTTTAACAGACAGATGTCGATGCTGGAGATGAAGCAGGAGTCAGCTAAACATGGGACAAGCCACAAAAGCCCAGTTACCTGTGTGCTTTATGATTCTTCCTGTAAACAGGTGAGAGAGTTGTGTTTTCTTTATCCAAACCTCTCTTGTGATCTTGTGAATGTCAGGGCAAACCACTGGCACATTTTGATGATGCTTTTGACAATTGAACTATTGGCACAGATACCTCACCTAAATGGACACCACCAAACTAATCTCCCTTAAAATTAACATTTGTCCACTCGCATTCACATTAACTGCTTAAGCTTAACACTAGAGTGATCAAATGACATCTAAACTTCATATTTTGTGGATGATTTTCATTCAGCATTCCTGATAGCACAGTTTTTAATTATTAATTCTTAACTTATTTATTGTTTCTTTGTTGCTTGGATCTCCATGAATGCAAGTCTAATATTTAATACATTGATTTAATTAACATTTAATTAAAAAAACAGAAAGGGTTTGGTTGACTTAGATATGGTTTTTGAAGTTTGCCTAATTTCTAATTCATTATTAAACTAGAGTCCAGTTAAGATGAAATGTCATACAATCATAAACCACTTTCTTTATGAAATTGGAAAGGTTTCTTTGTATGTAAGAGATGATTCATTTCAGGAAAAAAACATTTGATATAAAAGCTCAATATCACAGGTCAGGAAATGTTCACTTCAGCTGCTAGAAAATTAATGTTTTTATTCTAGTGAATTAGTAATTGTTCAGAAATGTTATTGCTCTTTGTGGATAATTCCTTCAAAAATAAATAACTAATATAAAATAAATAATAATAATAATTTGGTCACCCAATCCACAATGATTTGTGGGACGCTGCTGTGCGCAATTGTCTGCTGCGGTTCACCCACAAAATATACAGTCAATTCACTTTACAGTATATTCTGTGAAGCGCTTTGAGAAGTCTTGAAGACGTAATAAGGCGCTGTACCAAATGCGAGGATTATTATGATTATCATTATTATTACAGTTTAACAAAGTTTGTGTTGTATTTGCAGGTTATCAGTTCGGACACTGCATCCACTGTTACAGTCTGGATGATTGAAACTGGTCAGAAAGTTAAGCAGTTTACAGAATGCCATGGTGATGCTGAGATCACCACAATGGCACTGAATGAGACTGAGACAAGGCTTTTCACTGGAAGCACTGACGGCACAGTGAAGGTACGAGATAAGAAATACTTATTATTATTACTTCCGCTTGTCCTGGCCAAGTTCTCGAAAGGTTACCCTTGATGTTATCACTGGTGAGTAAATGGGTTGAAAGGTTCACTGAGTGAGTGTGCCAATTCAGGAAGCTTGGTTACCATCATTGCCGTCCTTCAGAAGTGCAGTCCTTTAGATGGAATGTTAAACCAGGGCTCCATCTGCCTGTTCATGTTCACGTTAAAGATGTCATAGCAACACTCAAAAAGAGAAGGGAGTTTCCTGGAATGTCCTTGTCAACAATTCTCCAGATAAACAACAGTCAATCACCTCATGATTGTTTCTAGAACATTGCTGTGTGTAAATTGGCTGTCTCGTTTGCCTACAAAAACACAGTCACTACACTTTACAGAAAACTGCGCCGTGCTCTCAGACATTTCGACGGGATAATTACTCAAGGAATATTAGAATTACTATTGTTAATCAAGTGTACGTTAATATTCGAAAATACTTTGAACAGTATCCCCATCCGCCAGCAATTACTGTTCAAATTAAAAAAAAATAGTAATGACAAAGCAAAATGTGCGCTTTGTAACTGGTTTGAAGTTTAAAAGATAGTGAGATGAATAATAATTTCTATTGGCATGCTTAAGCAAGAGTGAGTACATTTTTAATGAATACTATTCAACCTAAATAAAGAGAAAAATGGTTGCATCTTTTATGTTCTGTTTATGTGATGATAATGCCTGAACCTTTCCTCCTTAGGTTTGGGATTTCAATGGACACTGCCATCACAAACTGAATGCAGGGAGGGATAATGCTGTTGATATCTCCCAGATCCTGCTGATAAAAAGGACAATTCTAGTGGTTGGTTGGCAAAGGTATGTTACATATTTCATAGAATATTAGAGCACAGAAAGAGGCCATTTGGCCCATCGTGCCTGTATTGGCTCTTTGGAAGTGCCAGCCAATCAGTCCCATATCCTTGCAATTATTTCCTCTTGAAGTAACCATCCAATTTCCTTTTGAAAGTATTTGTACATAAAAGAACGTATGACTTACCAGCTTCCGCCCTGCTTTATTGATTGTTTCCTATGAAACCGTTGAATATCATTTTGATTTAGTAATGGTTCCCTTTTTTTTCATAAATTTGTCAAATTCCTAAACACAGACTTGCAATTTTTCAGCTTTTTTTAAAAAACAAATGCAGGATATTTTTTTACGCGGTTGACTTCCCGACGACACCAGAAAAGGCTTATCCAGAAACTTTAAACGATAAGGAATTATTTCATCTACTTGTTGAACGCAAAGTTTTGCTCCGTTAAATAATGTCTTATTTCCCCTTGCCCAGGATAATCACTGTCTTCAGTATGAACAATTTCACCGAGTTTTTTGTTCAACCTATGGAATGGCATGGGGTCACAGAACACCAAGATGACATCTTTTGTGCTGCATTCTTACCCCCTCAAACCCTTGCAACAGGTACTCACGCAGAGATTATAACCTACGTCTGAAAATGAACTAAACATGAGATTATAACCAATGAAAGCTTCAATTGATAAATAATCATTCTTACACTTCCATTTTTAATATTTTTTTCATGTCTAGAGCACATCTTCAAGAGTGTTTCAGTAGGATTTACCTTAAATTGTCGTGACTGTGTAGTGTATAGGCAAATTTTATATCACTGGCTGATATTTAATTTGTCTCAAGTTTGTTATGGCAGCTGAATATAAACTCTGTTGATCTGTTTTTTTTCCCATGCACCCACAATCTGAAATTAAATATTCGGTATATTTACATTTGCTTTCCACAGGAAGTTATGATGGAGATATTGTAATATGGAATAGCATTTCAGAAAAGGCATCAGGTAGACATCTCTCAAATACCAAAAGAGCTCCAATGTCCAAACCAGGTGTGTTTAGTACTGGCTACAACAACAAGAACAACAACTTGCATTTATATAGAAATAAAATAGATTTCTACTTTATTGTAACTTCTGTGTTGCATTAAGATGTCCGGTTTGAATTAAATCCTGTGTTTACACTGGCCAGGAGTGAGTTTGTTTCAAGAACAAATTAGATCGATTTCTGCTAGAAAATAATACCTGGGGATACAGTGTTTAGTTTGGGACAGGACATGTCAAGCCACTGCCAGGATGGTGGAAGGTGAACTAGATGGACTTTGGTCTTCTTGCGCCAGCAAGTTCTTATGTTCTTAAGTATCTTTGATCCAGAAGTGCAACTAGAAGGATTAGGAAGCATAATTTATCTGTGTACGCAGAACAGCCAGCAATATTTTTTTTATGATTAATAGTTTTGAACTTGCCTCTTCCACCCTGTGTTGAGAGCCAAGCTCTTGTGTAACTCTCCCCCACTATATTGCCCGCTGAATCACCAAGTGTGCCGCACGAAAACAGCACAATCACGTTTCATTGTCAATAAAATGTGAGCTCCTCTTGACTGATTTTTTTTTCAATTTGGTCAGACACGATTGCAGAGAGCCAACATCAAGCTCAACCTCTTTCCTCCACCGATTCAAACGCACGTTCAATTCCTTTGACTGATCTCAGCAACGAGGACATTGAATGGGACTGCAGAACTACACGGCTATTTTTCTTGGTGGCCAGGACGAGCAGGGCTTCGGGTAAGAAAGTACGATTTATAATGTTTGTTCATATTCTGCTGCAAATGTAACGGCTAAATGACACTGCCAACTTAGAATGATAAAACGTTTACAGCACAGAGGAGCATTATGTCTGACCTGGTGCTTGCTCTCTCCTATATATAACACATATATATATATATATGTGTATACACAATTTAGGTGGAGCTTACACTGTGAATCATTGGTTTGGTATGTGTTATGTACAGAACAGCCATCCGCTGTGATGTTTCCTTGAAAATATTTTGTCCGTGTTTCGAATTCTAGGGGCTGCCAACCTGGTGTCCTCTTGCAGTTATGGTGTCGTTCGCTTCTGGAATACCTTGGATAACCAACTGCTGGCAGAGTTTATTGCACAACCCGATGCATTGTCCATTATTATGACGGTTGATAAAACAAATCGGTACCTTATCACGGCAGATGTGACCGGCTGGATTAAAGTTTGGAACATTCAGGTGAAGCTTTTTCAGTGCTCTTGTTTCCACTGTATCGAGAGGGAATTCTTTGAATAAAAGGGATTCTCCCTGGACTGTGTTTCCCCTTTAATTAGTAGAAACAACTCATGAAGGTGTTAAATCTAGGAGACTTATATCATATTGAGAAGTAGTGTATCAGTTATATATATATATTAATTAACTCCTTCACTAAATATGGGTCACTGCTGTGTTCAATTGACTGCTGCATTTTGGCGAAAACATACAGTCAATTCACATTACAGTCTATTCTGTGAAGTGCTTTGAGATGTCTAGAAGACATGAAAAGCGCTATATCAAATGCAAGGATTGTTATTATTATGAATATAATAATCCTTGTGATAATGTTCATTGCATTCGAGATTGTGCATTTCACGCTCGGAGGACGTCTTAAAGCATTTCACAGGAAATACTGTAAAGAGCATGACTGTGTATTTGTAGGTTAACAATCTGTCCACAGCAGTAAACAGCCATGAGGTGAATGATCAATTTTATCTGGGAATTTGTTGGGCAGGACAGTAGGAGAAATTCCCTTCTCTTTTCGAATAGTGACACGGGATCTTTTACGTCCACTTAAACAGGCAGGTGGGACCTTGGTTTAAAGTCTCACCTGAAAGACTACATAATCTGATGCCGATTCCGTCAGCCAGAATTCAACTTCATGGCTTTTCTTTCAGTTCACCGCATAGACTTCCATTTCAGAGCATCTGAATTTATTTGAGTCCAATCTAATCTATGGCTCTTCGGCAATTTGAGCTTGAAGATCCAAACCCTCAGACCGTATTGAGTAGCTTTAGAAAGCGAATATGATTCATCAGTGTTCATCAATTTGAACTGGAGCCAGGAAAATAGCGTTTAATTAATTTAATTAATGAGCATTGCAGTATACCTGCCTGCTGGTTGAATGGAGGGCGAGAAGCTGATTCTTGCGTTTAAACGTGTTCGTGTTTTCTTGCTTCAGCATCAACGCATGAGAAGCTTCATTGCAGCCATTAATGGGTAGAACCAAAACAAAGTAAAGACAAACAGTTGCAGTTTTAGTTTGTTAATTGGAATTGTAATACAGCAACTTCGTGGCTTTTAAAACGCTCCTTTATGAATGCTGCTGAACGGAGCATTTTTTAAAGTTTTTTTTTAGCACTTAGACAAGACTGGTCGGCTTGGAGGCTATCTCAGATTACATGTTTCTCCTTCTGTATTAGTTAACAAATAGAAATCAGAGACCACTGATGGCCAAATTAGTTCCAGACCTTGCATTGTTACATCGCTCCTGTTAGAGGGCTCTGAGACGCTACCCTGCAAAGAGGGCGCTATTGAAGTGCAAGTTGTTGTTGTTGTGGAGACTGCAACCCCTCCCCCTTCCTGGCTCATTCCATTTAGAAACTTTTCTTGAGAAAACCTGGATTGGAATTGGGATCAGGTCCGGAGGTGAAAGGGAAGCTGTGTTTTTCCTTGACTTCTGTGGACTTGGCGAGGTGGGGGGGGAGAGAGTGCGTCGATGACTAATAATTGGCACACCCATAAAGTTATTTATAAACCTGCTGTATTTGCATAACGTTTTTCATTAGTGCTAAAATGTAAATTCTATATATAGCCACTTTCCTGCGAAGCGGACAAATGATTTACTAGTACGATAAGAGCTTAGCTTTCGCTTTGCTGCACACACTTTAATTGGAAAGTTCCATAGCGCAAATTCTCACCTTACTGAAAAAAGTTTGACATATGCATTAAAGATGTCGATAAATAAACATAGCCGGGACATTGACAGGGTGATGACTTAAGTGGCAGTGACAGGCTGAGTTAGGTTTGAGTTATGTAGTTGCTGTAGTTTATATGGACTTTCAAAAGGCATTTGACAAAGTGCCACATGAAAGACTTGTAAGAAAGATAGAAGCCCACGGTATAAAAGGGACAGTGGCAGCGGATCCAGAACTCACTGGGAGACAGAAAGCGGAGAGTTGTGGTGAACGGCTGCTTTTCTGACTGGAGGGAAGTGCACAGTGGCGTCCCCCAGGGATCGGTATTAGGACCACTGCTCTTCTTAATATACATAAATGATCTGGACTTGGGTATAGCAAGTACCATTTCCAAGTTTGCGGACGACACAAAGTTAGGGAGGGGGTAAACAGTGAGAAGAATAGGAGCCGACTGTAGGAAGACACAGACCAAATGGTAAAATGGGCGACACATGGCAGATGAGTTTCAATGTGGAGAAATGCGAGGTAATGCATTTTGGTAGAAAGAATGAGGGGCAATATAGGCCGGTAATACCATAAGAACATAAGAAGTAGGAGCAGGAGTAGGCCATTCAGCCCCTCGAGCCTGCCCGCCATTCGATAAGATCACGGCTGATCTTCAGACCCAACTCTAATTACCCGACCTGTCCCCATATCCCCTAATCCCTCTATTTTTTAAAAATCTATCAGTCTCAGCCTTGAAGATGTTTAATCCTTAAGGTGACAGGACAGGTAGATAAAGCTGTAAAAAGGGCATATGGGATACGGGGCTTTATAAATAGGGGCATAGAGTACAAGAGTCAGGAGGTGATGATTAACCTCTATAAAACACTGGTTAGGCCTCAGTTAGAATACTGCGCCCAGTTCTGGGCACCGCACTATAGGAAGGATGTTAAGGCATTGGAAAGGGTACAGAGGAGATTTACGAGGATGGTACCAGGAATGAGGACCGTGATGATGAGGAAAGGCTGGAGAGGCCGGGATTATTCTCATTGGAGCAGAGAAGGTTACGAGGACCTGATACAGGGCTTCAAAATCATGAGGGGATTTGATAGGTTGGAAAGGGAAAAAACTTTTCCACTGGTGGGTGTGTCGGTGACTCGAGGTCACAGATTCAAAATTGTCTCTAAAAGAAGCCGAGGGGAGGGGAGAAGACATTTTTTCACGCAACGAGTGGTTGGAATCTGGAACGCATCGCCTGAAAGGGCGGTCGAGGCCGATTCAATAACTACTTTTAAAAAGGCAGTGGATGGGTATTTGAGGAGGACGGGTTTGCGGGTTATGGGGAAAGGGCTGGGGAGTGGGATTGGCATTAATTGCTCTATTCAAAGAGCCGCACAGACTCGATGGGCTGAATGGCCTCTTTTTGTGCTGTACGATTCTATGATTCTATGATTATCAGGAGTTTATTATAACATTATAATAATAATAATCCTTGCATTTCATACAGTGCCTTTCCATGTCTTTGCATTATCTCAAAGCGCTTCACTGGATATTTACTGTGAAATGTAGTGACTGTTTTTTGTAGGTGAGCACTGCAGCCAATTTGCACTGTGCATTTGCACAGCAATGTCCCACAAACAGCGATAAAATGACTGACAAATTTTATCTGGGGGTGGAGGGGGTGGAGGGGGTGGAATTGATGACTAGGATACTGGGAAAAACACCCCCTTCTTGAATAGCTCTGTGGGATCTTTAACGTCCATCTGAACAGGAAATGGGAACTTGTGTTTTTGAGTATCTCATCACTTTGGTTATGATATAATTTTCTGAATGTAATATTGGCCCTTTCTGAATCTGTGAACAGATGAACTAAGCTTTGTGTGTTTATTTTTTTAGTTTTCCTTCACCTTATCCACAAAGTAAACGCAATCTCATTTACGACCGATTAAAATATCAGCTGTTTCCGGGAACTAAATTGCACGTTGTCCTTCTGTTTGTTTTATTTCAGGAATACTGTTTATTTCTCAGCAAGAATATTGTTAGCCAGCCTCCGCCATTGGTGGCAGCGGTACGACCTCACATAGATAATATCAATCACCTTGAAACGTGCGTAAAAGATGGCTGTTTGCTGATTCTTTCTGCATCTGCTGACTGCAACATTGCTGTCAGTAAGATTGATGGAATAGTGATTGGTGTGTTTGGACAGGTACAGACTGCTTCATGTTATCTGACTTGAATCACAACCAGTGTTGCGCAGCTTAAGCTTCTGAGTGTTGTTTGTTGTCATGGTAGGATCCTCATTTTGCTGTTGTGCTATGATTGTACGGAGCCAAAATGCCAGCGTAGCTGCCAGTGTAGGTCTGGTTACAATACTAATCCTTGCATTTGATATGGCGCCTTATCACATCATTGAGTCGTCTCAAAGCGCTCCACAGAATATACTGTAAAGTGAATTCACTGTATATTTGTGTTATTAATATAAACAATTCTACCTCTAAGAAGTGTTTTTGCAGCTTTGTTTCCCATTTGCTTGTGTTTTTCATTAGAAATTGATAACTTAACTTCACTAAAATTGATTGACTTTTGAAAAGAGAACTAATGTGAAGCATTGAATTTAGGATGAACACTGGAGAATCCACGAGTGTTTATCCCCGACTAAAATGAAGATGTTACTGAAAGAGGAAACAACGCTAGACCAGGAACAGGTGAAAGAAGAATCATCTTTGGTCATTCCCAAACACAGACTGGCCATACTTGAGGAAATACTAGATCTAGATAAAAGGTAATTCATTTCAACAATTTATTGGTTAAAAAAAATTAATAAAAGGGACGGCATTGTTTCTTTGACTCTCTTCAGTGCAAATAACCAGATATCCTTTCCGTGTTGAGGTTCATTGGTTCTCACTTGTGCTCTGTGCTTTCCCATTTTTGTATTCCATATTCTAATAATGATAATAATCCATGCATTTGATACAGCGCCTCATCACGTGGTTGAAACGTCTCAAGGCGCTTCACAGATTATACTGTAAAGTGAAGTGACTGTAAAATCCCAGCATCTCATTAATAAATAATAATCCTTGCTTTTGATAAAGTGCCTCAGTGAGTCAAGGACATTTCAAAGCACTTCACAGAGTTTTCCGTAAAGTCTAGTGACCGTGTATTTGTAGGTGAATGGTCTTGAAGTATCCTGCAAGCTAAATGGAGCATACAACGGCCTTGGAAGAGGCAGTACCACCAAATCAAAGTGCAATTTTGGAGCTCTAAACTCGGATATGTCCACTGAAATTACAGCACTACTAGTTTGATAGAGCGTGAAAGACCTATAATGTGCAACATCCTGAAGACAATTCTCGTTTTATGTCTGTTTGTAGTTTTTCCCAAGGTGTATGCTTGCTTACCATTCTGTTCCTATTTAAGAGGAATTGCGATTTTATTTTGTTGTTATCTTAGAATTAATGTTGAACATTCAGGTGCCTCCGGGATCCGATGTCGCTTAGTAAATCTAACATATTCAAAATTAGACCGTTTTCATTAAAATGCAAAACATTTTGCTTTGAGAACCACTTACGTGGAAATTGGAATTTGTAGTGGCGTATCAGGGGAAATTGGATAACATTACTCAAAGTATCACTTCCTGAAGATAAGTCGCATGGAATGGTAAGCAGTATATAAAAGCACCATACTGAAAATTATGACATATTTCATGGGTGAGAGACAATTAATCGAAATGGCACTCTCTCGCTCTCTCTCTCAATCTCCATCAGGCATACAGCGCACATCATTTAGTTTGTAGGAGTTACAAATTGTGGCTGGAAAGGAAGTTGAATAGGTTTTTCAAAGGGTGACTGTTTTAGAAAACAATGAGCTTTGGCGAAATGGAAGTGTCGGGAAAATATACTGAGTTTGTTGTGGAATTCTGCCCGTTCCTTTCAACTATCATTGACATTTATTGTATATAAATTATAGGATCAATTGGAATAGCACAATTTTAGGCAAAACATATGCAGAACGCAGAAGTCAAAGAAGGAAAAAGCCCCATCCATCCTCCAACAAAATAGAAACATCTATTGGTAAGTGAAATTGACAGAATAACCTCAGACATTTGATAATAGTTTTATGTGTTAGCTGGTAATTTGTTAACTTTGATTCTTTAATTGTTAAATTCATCCTTTGGATGAATCCTAAAAAAAAAGGTCTTGTCTACTTGTTCAGGTGGCTGTTAAAGACTGTTCGGCTCTATTCAGAAAGAGAAGGGAGTTTTTCCTGATGTCCTGGACAATAATCATCTGGACTGGTCATTCACTTCATGGCTGTTTGTGGGATGTTATTTATGTGCGCATTATTGCTGAAACATTTGCAGTATTTTCAAGAAGTCAGGATGACTGAATTACAGTGCTTTAAGTTACTAATTTCAATCTATCTTTCAATCTTATGCAAGAATGTAAACATTGCCTTTGCATCTGTATGTGAACAAATGCCCGATTATGTCTTTTACTTATGGATTGGCTTCACAGGAATTTACAGTTCTCTACACATGGAAGACTTGGAGAAAGTCACGTATGTGACCAAACCAGCCATTCTGGAGAACCCAGATAAATACTTTGACGTTGAAAAGAAAGAGTCCAGTACTGAAAGGCTGAAACTTCCCACACTTTCTGAAAGTAAGTCACTTTCTGATGTTTTTTTTTTAACTGGGTTAAACTGGGTCATTTAGTAGCATTCTCAGTCAAAAGGCTGTGGGTTCCGATAGTCCAGGCTTGCACTTCGGTGCAGTGTTGGCAGGAGGGCTGCGTTGTTGGAGGTGCCATCCTCCGCATGAGATGGTAAACCAAGTTCCTGGGTGGATATTAAAGATTCATTCCATGGTGCTTATTACAAAAGAGAAATGGGTTTCTGCCAGTGTTCTCCTGTCTGACAATCCTCCACATGAAACAAGTCATTCACTTCACGGCTGTTTGTGAGACACAGCTGTGCACAAATTGGCTGTCATCTTCAACCTTCAAATACACAGTCACTACACTTTACAGTAAATACTGTGACCTGCTTTACGATGTGATAAGGTTCTGTTATCAAATTGCCAGGAATTTTTTGCAAATTGGTATTCTGGAAGGATGAGGTTAAATGGCCTGAAGGTCCACTCTTGTTATACGGTACTTTTTTTTTTGTTGAGCTCAAGAAATGGATAAATAAATAAATAAATAAATATGCTCAGCACTGTCACTCTGCTGCTGTTGTGAAATAACCCACAGAAAAGTAAAAGGTTAGCAGTGGAGGACGCTGCTGTGTAATGAAAACGAGAGCTTTGATTTTGTTCTTTCTCATGCAGAGCAGAAAATTAAAAAAATGTTTTCCTTCCAACATAATACCTGGAAACAATGTTGAGTGAAAAATGGGATTTTCCTGCTATAAGCAGACATATAATCCAGATCGCGACACTTAACTGGAAGATAGTTCCCCTCCCTTTTTAAGAAAAAATGTGGCTTAGATTTCTATTTCTTTTCAACGATGAAATGATAAATTCCCAAGAAATACAGCACATTCTTTGCTCCAGTAGCAGAGAAGGCTGCATTCTGTAACTGAGCTGAAAGTCTTGTTTCCAGACCTCTGAGAACCGTGCTGTTGAGAAACAGTTAGGAGACACGTGAGAGTGCTGATTCCTATGGAGGTCACTCAACAGGCAATTATTCACCCAAAAGCTCGTGGCAATCTGGAACTCTCTCCCCAAAAGCGCTGTGGATACTGGATCCATTCACACGTTTAAGACTGAGGTAGATAGATATCTGTTAGGTCAGGGTATCAAGGGATACAGGGCAAGGGCGGGTAATTGGAGTTGAGGTACAGATCAGCCATGATCTTATAGAATGGCGGAACAGGCTTGAGGGGCTGAATGGCCTCCTCCTGTTTCTATATTTCTAAGTTTCCGTGTATTTCTTGATAAGGCCAGAAGCTCTTCTTTAAATGTTAGGTGTAAACTTCACATCTCACCACTCTGTGGCACTGTAGCTCTTTGAATCAGTTGCACTCATTCCGCCGATGACTGTTTATTGCTTTTCATAATTGTGATGGATAGCGCCAGGAGACGGGACATTAAAGGGAGAAATCAATAATCTGCTAAAATGCTGTCTTTTTTAAAAATTATAAACGGTGAGTCTGGGGCTTAACATCCAGCAATTTCTAACAAATTCTTTAATTAAGGTGTTTGTTAGGTCAGGGTGTTAAGAGATACGGGGCAAGGATGGGTAATTGAGGTATGGATCAGCCATGATCTTATGGAATGGTGGAACAGGCTTGAGGATCTGAATGGCCTACTCGCTGTTCCTATGTTTCTATATTATGCAGCGTTCCCGTGTGGTGGATGGAGATTGGGAACTCTGTGCTTCCTTTCCACCACTGAAATGTTATTGCAACAAACAGTTTACTTTTGTACCAATTAATAGCTCTGAAAGCACCTTTTGATGAGAGAAGTCTCTTTCCGAAAGAAATCCTGGAGTGTGAAAACAGAATGAAGCGGTTAAGCAGTCAGGTTTCTAGCACAGAACTGCTCAACGTGCACAAAAATTCCTTGACAGTGAGAAGCAGGTATGGCTGTCTGGGCAGTGATATAGTTTAAGCTCGTTTAGCCCCTGTAAATTAAGTTGAAACTTAAATTCTGTGAAGTACAGGTCACCCTCAAAGGTTGCTACTTGTATAAAAAGATAAGTATACAGTACTCGATATATTCTTCATGTGTTCTCCTTTTAGTATAAAATCTGCGGAGTCCTGCAGTTAGAACTCTCGCCTCGTAAGCGAGAGGAACTGGGTTTGATTCCCGAGAAGGGTGAAACGTTGGCCAAATTTCCTTAGTCGCTTTTCCGGGGGTAATAATCCTTTCAAAATATAACAAAAATGTACAGAACGGACTCTATTAGTGATCGTCGTATAAAATCTAACATTATTTAAACTGCTATTTAGACATAGAGGGTTACATTCATATTAATTCCGCGAGCTCTTAAAATTATAGGTGGCAGGAGGTATTGCGTTTGTAAGTTGGAGCATCAATGCAGTGAGCCCGCTATAGAGCAATAAAATGTCCACTAGTTTGTGTTACTGCATACCGTGTGATAATATGCCCTGTGGGCATTGTTAAAGAGCTCTAGCGCAGATACAAGCCCACTCTTCCAGTCACTTCATGAGAAGACATGTCAAGCTTTAGAGCATCTTTTGAGTTTGCAATATTTCAGACTAAAAGTAAATTTGAAATTTTTTTTGTGGAGATCAGATTGGGTGTCTGACACAATGTGGAAACCCATCGCCACGCTTAAGAGTATCCAAACCAAAATAATTGTACACTACTGAATTGTATTTCGGTATATCTTAATAATACTCAGGATAATAACTCCTTTCTGCACGACACCTGACCCTTGCTGGCTGAACTGTGTCTGGAACTGAGCACGTGAGAAATCATGGGCATGAATCAATGTCCCAGTAATCTCCTGTGCAGTGATTTAGTAGACCAGCGTACTATGGAGTAGAATAGGTTGAAAAGAGAACTCAGAACTTCTCAGATTCTCACTCACCCCCATTGCAAAGTGTAAAATGGTTTCTCTGCTAAGACAATTCATTATTAAAGACGAATTCAAATCAGATATTGATATCTGACTCTTTTCTGCAGGACACAGCTGGAACCCATCTCGAAGCTCAAATTGGGAAAAGAGTTCAATAATTTCCTTCCAAATTAGATGTGTTTGCAGATGGGAAAGGACATTAAGATTAAAATACCTCGACACTCCATCCATTGTGTTTGTGACAATATGATGATACCTATATGGTAATGAAAGCAGTGTTTTATTTTGTGACTGATTTTACCACAGTGTTAAAACACCTGAAGTTGGAAGCTAGTGTATTAATCATTTTCTCAATAACTTGGAGCTGTGACCCTAAAGGGCCTTTTAAGGTGAGAGTATTGTAATGTTAAGACATGTGAAAAAATGTTCTCATTGATATAAATTGTCAGCTTAAGAGTAGTTTTGGATTTTTGAATTTGTTTGCTTTCAGTTTTATAAAATCACCCATGATTGAAATGAACGGAACATGATATGATCATAAAAAGAACTACATTTTTGGACTATAGAGTATGGAAAAATACTGTAATTATATCACACTATTTATTCGAATGCCTTTGACATGTTTTCTAAAGCAAGGTCTATTAAAAACTCTGCAATATTTAATCAAAACTCTCTTCTATTAATCCTAAAACTTTCAAACAGCTGTACCCAACTGCAGTACAGGATTGAACTTGATTTTATCAGCACACTGACCTTTCATTATTTAACTCATAACCGAAATATTAAAATGGAACTAAACTCGAATTAAAATCAAAGCAGTACATTGTTTTGCAAATCTCATACATATGCTTGAAGAGGCAGTCACAAAAAACCAAATGGTCTCCAAAACTTGTCTTGTTATGTTTGGAATTATACTTGGAAAATTGTGTTGAATTTGAGAGGATAAATGTTTTTCACAGTCGTGTGATGAACCAACAGATTAGTGTTGGATGATCTACTCAGTAGCATCACCTCGGATCAAAATGATTTTCAAATCGTGTAGATATTGAACGAGCAGCCTCACACTTGAACAACATGTTTGATTGTAAATACAAACACTGTCGGCTCTTTGTAACATAGATGTTAATTGTGCGCCAACTAGGTTGTGCTACTTGTTTTCTGGGCAGCTCCTTATGACTGTTTGTGACCTTGACATCAATCAGATTTCAGTTACTCAGTGTTTAATGCATTACCAGGGTTAGATGTTACGATATTACAGTTAATGAACACCAGAGTATAGCACAAGGTTGCAAGGAGTCAGCAGGTACATTATCATATCAAGGCTAGTCACTGATGCATGTTAGTTGGAGAACTTGGGCACAGCTATTCCTCCGAGCGCAACATGGTGATAGGTTTGTACACATACATTTATTTTGCATGGTTGAGTTTTGCAGTATCATTGAAATGAAAAGCCTGGCTATCTTACAATCTCACCGGCTCATACAATTCAAATTCTTCTGGTGTGAATGCAGTGTGGTTGCAAAATACGGTCCACACAACTCGACTTGTGTGCCAAGGACTCTCTATCAATGCAGCAATTCTCAATCATAAGAAGGCTTTTCATTGAAAAGCTTTTGACTGTGGGGGCTAAGAATTTCTTTCAAGAATTTGTGCTTTTATCCGCTGTTGAAGAATTTATACAGATAGTAGTCTATTTGGAACTTTTGTATAAAGTAACATCTTTAATGTAAAATGTCTAGGCAGTGTACTTACTACTGTATAATTGGAGACTCTTTGTCAGAAGAATGCAAAGTGTAACAATATGGTGTCCACGTGATCAATAAATACATATGCCTGAGGTTAGACGCAAAGCCAAAACGTTTCTGATGCATTAAATGGATCAACGAAGACACTTCTTTAAAAATTCCTTATCTTCCCTCCCAAACAGCAATACGAAGCCTGTTTATTTTCTGTTTCCTGTTACCACATGGAGAAGTGATGATGTGCAGCTTTGATGCTCTTCCCAGTGATTCTACTCTAGGGTTTGCGCTTGATTTCTACCATGCCGTTCGTTCAGTCCAGAAGAACCACAACCTTATCTTCTCACCAGTGTCCATCGGTCTGGGCCTAGGAATGCTGGAACTGGGTACAGGAGGAACCACACTGCAACAGTTACGAAAAGGTCTACACTTTGATGGAACACAGGAAGGTATGTACCGACTTAATGCGACTTAAATTGTCACGGATGTGTCAGGTAATAAATAATGGTCATTTGTAATTTATTATATGCCTATATACACATAGTAAATCAGTTCCTCTTTTTCCAAGATTAAGAATATGGATTTATTAATCCTAGATTTATTTCAATAATAATTTGGTCACTCAATCCATGACTGTTTGTGGGAACGTTGCTGTGCGCAGTTGGCTGCCGTGTTTCGCCCACAACATATACAATCAATTCACTTTACACCTGTTCTGTGAAGCGCTTTGAGATGTCTGGAAGACGCGATAAGGTGCTATATCAAATGCAAGGAGTATTATTATTATTTTCATATTAAGAAAAGCTGCTCATAAAATACAGTCTATCCAATACAGGGAATATTGAAAATCATGAATAGCTCATAGGTGACAGAAAAAAACTCAAATGGATTTTAAATTCTCCACGAAAGGTTACTGTGGCTGAATTACTATGAATATATCAACACCAGTTGTGGAAATGATTGCAAATGTGAGAATTTTAAAATTCACAAATACGCTTCCAGAAATATATTGCAGTCACAAAAATAAGGAGCAATTTCTCGAATGATTAAAAAAAAAAACATTCTGCGGCGTTCTTTCTCAGGTTGTGTTAATCTAAAACTGATTATTGACTTATCGTTGATCCCGATTCTAATTTTAGGGAAAGAATTCTCTGCGATGAAGAAACTATTGAAAATCATCTCCACCGACAGTGAAGAAAACAAACTCAACCTTGCCAGCGCGATTTACATTCAAGCCCGTTACCCTCTGAATGAACAATATCTCCTCAATAATCAGGACACCTTCAACAGTTCTGTAAGGAAACTCGATTTCCAAGATGCTATGTCTGCTGCCAGCAATATCAATGCCTGGGTAGTCAGACAGACCCATGGTGAGTAGCACATCCACCAATGGTGAGTAGTACAGTTGCACACCCACAAACTGTAGTGTTATTACACTACAGTGTTGTATTGTCTCAACTAGATGTATCTGCCTGGCTCAGTTGGTAGCACTCTCGCTTCCAGTTTTGGGTTCAAGCCTCATGTCAGGACTTTGCAGGCACAGCAGTTCAGCGCTCCGAGATTCTACCCCATGAGAGGGACACTGTAACAATGCAAGATGTTGTTGTCTCCAGTGGTAATGTGTATATGTCAAGAGAAAGGCATAAATCCCACTATTATTGGTGACACTTAGACCTCTGGAGATATCACCGTCCGCTACGACAGATACCTTTAAATGCCCTGTAGGACGTTTAGGCCTCATAGCAATTCATTGGAATTCGATTTTCTTATATTGTAATTTTTTATTGTAAGTTTAATAAGTAAAAAGTGATGGTAACGGAACGAGAAGCGACTAAATGATGAGAAAACACCTCCAGCCATTCAGCAAAAACAGCAGACTTTCTTTGTCACTCACAAAACTTAATATCTTATTCTGCCACTGATAGGGACTTAGCAGATACAGCAAAATAAAGATTTAATGAAAGGCAATGAACATTTGTGTGTTTCCCACAACCAGAGTAAATACATAATTCTCCCTGATTGTAAATAGACTCATGACACGAATCAGCATCTGTTGCTATTCCCACGGATATGGGGACCATTGCAACATCGAAAACAACCTTTCAAAATGAATAAAAAGGACAAATACACTTTGATGGTGCAAATTCTCTGACCGTGCCCCCTCGCTTGTCCTTGCAAAGGAGCTTAACAGTGACACCAAGAAAACAAATTCCTAATTTACTCCCAAAACAACTTGGGGAAAAGGAGGGGGAGTGGGACTGATTGGGAAGCTCTTCCAAAGAGCTGGCACAGGCACAATGGGCTGAATGGCCTCCTTTAGTGCTGTAATATTTTACGATTGTATGATTCTAACTTTGTTTTTGCAGGTAAAGTCAAAGACTTGTTTTCCAGCGCATCTTTCAGCCCCCTAACGAGGCTTGTTTTAGTGAATGCCATTTATTTTAAGGGAACATGGAAACACAAGTTCAGTCAGGACAACACCAGTGTCACCAAGTTTACTAAGAGCGATGGGTCTGTGCTTCACATACCAATAATGCACCAGCAGGTGAAAAGCAAGTTGGGTAAGAATTGCCTCGACAATACATTCTTCATCGCAATCTAGCAATCTCCCACACACTGTAATACTCCCTTCAAAAATAAAATATTGAAAATAATTTGCTCACTCAATCCACGACTGTTTGTGGGGACACTGCTGAGCGGAATTGACTGCCGCATTTTGCCCACGAAATATACAGTCAATTCATTGTACGATATATTCCGTGAAGCGCTTTGAGTCGTCTCGAAGATGTGATAAGGGCCTGTATCAAATCTAGGAATTATTATTATTATAATTTGCAAACTGTTTTGTGCAGGTTATTTTACAGCTGATGAGGTGAGTTACCAGGTCCTGGAATTACCTTACAGCGGGGATGAATCCAGCATGATACTGGCCCTCCCAGCAGAAGGAACCGACTTAACGGAGCTGGAAAAACTCATCACCCCACAAATCGTTGAAAACTGGCTGTCCACCATAGCAGAAGAAGATGTTGAGATTTACCTTCCAAGGTAGGTGATCAAACAAAGATGATATTACTTTACATGTGATTTCTGCCACAGAGAAGTCTCGGGTTACATATTGCAACTGTCCCAATTTTCAGGAAGAAATAATCTAATATAATAATAATCCTTGCATATGATGTAGCGCCTTATCACATCTTCACAACGTCTCAAAATGCTTCATAGAATATACTGCAAAGTGTCGTGTCTGCGTATTTTGTGGGCCAAACACAGCAGCCAGTTGCGCACAGCTTGATATTAAGCCTACGTATATTTAAGTACTTGCATTATTATCCATTTTTATGACAGCCTGTGGCTGTCGCCGTGGAGACTATGAATAGCCGATCAGATATGTAATTATGGTCTACGGCCCTATTCTAGTGAGTCTTCAGCTGAAACTGTTGCCTTTCTGCCAGAAAACTGGATGTGGCTTTTGTGTGTGATCCAATAAATTGAGGCAGATTTGGTGCCGAATTTCTAAAACAGGGAAACGATTTGCATATTTATTTCCAATCGTCTACGCCTGCCTGTAAGTAGATGAGATTCGGTCTCGCAGCAGAAGATCTGAAACGAAGCAATATTTCCGAGCAGGCTCTATAAATCAGTTCATTAAGTCAGTTTGCTTCTGTCTGGCAACACAGAGGAAAGCAGATTACAGTACGTTCCCCTTTACTATGCAGCGTCCCTGGAAGATGAGTGATTGACGGATCTCTCAGCAGTGTTTTGTACTCAATGCCTTTTTTTCTAAACAAAAATGTGAATGGCGCGCTCCTTTCATTCAGATCCCTTGCGAGTTCATTTGGTGTCACCATCATTCCCTCCCCCTTTAAAATCAGGCGGAATTTTAATTTCCTTGAGAGTCTTTTTCTTTACGATCCGAGTTTGGAGAGCCATTCTGCGAGCGATTCTATTCAAGGACCCCACCCCCCAGTGCGGGGTTATCTGTGGCCTCTGCTGACATTGTGCTGGGTGCTCGCCGCTCGGGTTTGCTGCTGAAACGTGCTAGGAATGTAATCACTCGACACATCCGGCTAATTTGTGCTTGAGTTGATTTAATGAGATACGCTACATAACATTGCATTGATGCGCTGCGTGAACTTGGCCGAGACGCGAAACAAAACTTAACAGAGCGATGACTTTATCACAGGAGATTATAAACGAACTGTGCCGTTCCAGGGTGAAACGGTTCAAAGGAGGCACTGGAGTATTTTGCGTGGAGTGCTTTAGACTGAAGTGGTGGCATTCATATTTTGCCATTGTAATATCTGCAGATTTAAAACCGAACAGAAATTGGATTTGAAAGAACCTCTTCGAACTCTTAATATAACGGAAATATTCGAAACTCGAGGTGACCTTTCTGGAATCTCAGGTATATTAACGATTAAGTCCGGCTTGTAATTCTTCATTAATGTTGTCCTGTGTGTCTGGCTGTGTCTATCCTTTGCCCTAAAACATATTCATACTTAGAAGCGTTCATAAATCGGCTTCTAGTATCCGCTGATTTCTAACGGGGTTCCTTAATGTGGAAACCGAAAGTAAGTCAGGCCGTCTCACAAAACTTCTGCTCGTCGACTTTTGTAGCTTTATTACTGCAGGTTGGAGTGATGTCCATCCTGTTATTGCGAGGAATCTCCGCTCACAATCCTTATTCACCTCCTTGGGACGTGCTCCCGACATGAAAGGCTCAACAGTGAAACCACATGCAGCCGAGTCCCATTCAGTATCCTATCGAAACCACTTAGATTTCTTTGCACGAGTCGTATTTTGTAAGCGAATCATCTCCTAACTCGTAACACAGCTCCCCTATCCTCCATTACTCCCACACTTACTGGTTGCATTGAATCGCGGGAAACTCAGCCTTCACGTGAGTCGTGCTAAATGTTATGGTGTCAACCGATACGACTTGTGCAAGTTTTACTGTATATCAATGCAATTTATTGTTGTATTTATTAACGAATCCTGTTAGAAGTTGTCACATGTTAGACCCCTATGTTTCCTTTGACCATCTTATTTTTCTCAGATTGTCCTGACTGGAACTCCTAGAAATGACTAGAATTCACTGGAAAAACCTCCCTCTTCCACTCTGTCTCACCTCCCTCTTCTGTCTTTACATCCCACCTTAAATCTCCAAGCCGCTCCACTACATGAATCTTCCTGACTAGTGTTAATTAAATTGTTCATTTATTTTATTATTATTATTAAATCAATAATAATTTGGTCCCTTCAATCCACGAGTGTTTGTGGGACGCTGCTGTGCGCAATTGGCTGCCGCGTTTTGCCCACAAAATATACAGTCCATCCACTTTGCAGTATATTCTGTGAAGCGCCTTGAGACGTCTAGAAGATGTGAAAAGCGCTCTATCAAATGCAAGGATTATTATTATTATATAGTGAAAGTAATTACCGAAGAAACTTTATGAATAAAGAAGTATTTACAGTAATGTAACAAAACCTACTCTGAGCATCAAAACATAACCCAACTTTTAATCATTGATGGTGCAGCAATTTCAAGTTTGAATTAATTTCCTGATCATGAATAGTGCATAGCCCATGTTTTGTGCTATTGCTACATTGCACACAAGTATAGAGTATTATATTACAGTCCACACATAAAGAGATAGATAAGTGTGCTTTTTTAAATTAATTATTAAACAGTTTCAAATGTTGCTAAAGTGATTATTTAAGTTTAAGTACAAATATAGTCAGGTGTGCTTTTAAACTTGTGCCTTTACCTTTTCTATGTAATTTACTCAACCCCTCAGCCTACGGAGTTGTATAGTAATATATTTTAAAAACCTTCCATTAATCCCATTATTATGTACATCCTTATTAAACTCTATTCGCCTTTTGCTCCTTAAATCATTTTGAATGAAATGAAATGACTTCTTGCTACAGCCTTGCCAACAGCTCCTTAAAATATTTTCCACTTTTGCACTGCAGATTTCCAAACCATTATCGCTGTCCAATTACATTTTCTTGACTCATTTCCCTTTTCCGGCAAATCCATTCTTTTAAAGTCTAAGGTTTACTATCCCTGACATTCTCTCACACTTGGCTCTGGTGTAAATAATGTCCTTCCTCCTCAGCTGCAGAGAAATACAAATTAGTTGCTAAATCTTGTGTTTGATGTGTCAATAGATTCACCTGACCTGTATATTTCTGAAGCGGTTCATCAAGCATTTATTGAACTAAATGAAGAAGGAAGCGAGGCAGCAGCTTCAACAGGTAAACATTATTTACAGAGATTTAATAATAATAATAATAATCCTTGCATTTGATATAGCGTTTTTCATGTCGGGAGGACGTCCCAAAGCGCTTCACAGAACACACTGTAAAGTGAATTGACTGTATATATATGGGCGAACGCGGCAGCCAATTGCGCACAGCAATGTCCCACAAACAGTCGTGGATTGAAAATGACCAATTTATTATTGTTATTGGTTTTGGAGGGATTATTATTAGGCTCTGTGTGGAGTAAGGAAACTTGCCCAAGGTTTCGCCCTCTGCCTGGGATTGAACTCAGGTCTCTCACTTGCAAAGCGAGTGCTCTAACCACTGAGCTACAGGACTATTTGAGTCTCCTCAGCTTTAAAGCATGTTACATCGTCATAATTGTTTTTTTTGGAGGGGCCGTCCGGGTGTGTGACCCATCACCGTTGCTTAAGAGTCTCCAAACCAAGCCTAGATTTCCCTGCCTCCAACCTACACATGGAAATCCCAGAGATAGTTTGTTGGAATGGGATCCACTCTCTCTCTCTCTCTCCCTGGAGGGCGTTGTGTAGTTCTGATATCCATTGATTGCAAAAAAAAATACAGCTTTGATAATTATGATACAGAGAATGTAATGATATTAAACAGAAACGCTTGATGCGAGAGAGATGTTTATAATTGTTTAATTGTAGGTATGACACTTGCAGTCATGAGTCTTTCCCGACATCAATTTAATGCTACTCGTCCATTCATGTTCATTATAAGGAACAACCTCTCAGGTAAAGTGCTTTTCGTTGTATCTGCTTATTCACCTCACTGGGTTGCAACATTTTGAGAGATTAATTATTTATGTGTTAACATTAAGTCACGTAAATCAGTTTCCCATCCCACCGAAATTATATGTCGAGTACAATACTTGTAGTCATGAACATAATCTAAAATCTGTTGCATTTGTTCGGAGAAAGAACAAGTAATTAGAAGGAGACACTTAGGCACAGTGTAGGAGATGTGACCGGATGCTTGATTTTCGTTTGAGAATCTTGGTGAAGGGTCCTTCACGTACTTCTCCACCAAACTCGGCGTCCAGATTGTTCACGAGAAGACCTAAGTAGGTGGTCCTTAGTTTGGAGCCTAAATCATCAGCAGCTTTACAACCAACAACGCGGTAACGCTTTGATAACGATCAACCGAAATGTTCAGCCGAATGTGGATGAACATATACAAACCCGTTCAATAATGAGAAAAAATTAAGTTTGAAGAGTAATGTACCAATGTTTGTCGGCTTTAATTCAACACTTCGGATTTTCAGGTTCAATTTTATTTGTGGGGAGAGTACTGGATCCTGAGATGACAAGTGGCTCTGCAAAGGATACGGAGGCACTGTAATAATAAAAATAATATCAAACAACAAAACACTGTTATTGTGTCTGATTTTATATAAACATAGTATACATTTGCACTCAGCAATGTCCCATAAACAGCCACAAAATGAATGACCGGTTGCGTTCCAGTTGGTTGTTGACGTCCACGTAAGTAGGTCGTCAGCACTGAGGTTGGAACACCTTCTCCCGCAGACAGGAATCCTACAACGCAGCGGCAATCATAATCCGCGACGAGAATGAAGCGTTGGATGCAGCGCCTTATCACGTCTCACGGCGCTTCGCAGAATATTCTGTCAGGCGTAGTGACTGTGTATTTTGTGAGCGAAAGGTGGCACCCAATTGCGCGCAGCAGCGTCCCACAGGCAGTCAGGGCTGGAGGGTGTGATTGACAGGTGTGGCTGGAGGGTGTGATTGACAGGCGTGGCTGGAGGGTGTGGCTGGAGGGAGTGATTGACAGGTGTGGCTGGAGGGTGTGATTGACAGGTGTGGCTGGAGGGTGTGGCTGGAGGGAGTGATTGACAGGTGTGGCTGGAGGGAGTGATTGACAGGTGTGGCTGGAGGGTGTGGCTGTAGGGTGTGATTGACAGGTGTGGCTGGAGGGTGTGGCTGGAGGGTGTGATTGACAGGTGTGGCTGGAGGGTGTGGCTGGAGGGAGATGATTGACAGGTGTGGCTGGAGGGAGTGATTGACAGGTGTGGCTGGAGGGAGTGATTGACAGGTGTGGCTGGAGGGTGTGGCTGGAGGCTGTGGCTGGAGGGAGTGATTGACAGGTGTGGCTGGAGGGTGTGGCTGGAGGGTGTGATTGACAGGTGTGGCTGGAGGGTGTGATTGACAGGTGTGGCTGGAGGGTGTGGCTGTAGGGTGTGATTGACAGGTGTGGCTGGAGGGTGTGGCTGGAGGGTGTGATTGACAGGTGTGGCTGGAGGGTGTGGCTGGAGGGAATGATTGACAGGTGTGGCTGGAGGGAGTGATTGACAGGTGTGGCTGGAGGGTGTGATTGACAGGTGTGGCTGGAGGGTGTGATTGACAGGTGTGATTGACAGGTGTGGCTGGAGGGTGTGGCTGGAGGGAGAGCAGTGATTGGCGGGTCCCGGGGAGGGGGCGGGGACGGAGATGATTGACAGCCGCGGCGGGGGGGGCGGGGACGGGGCTCAGGTCTCGCGAGGCTCCGGTCTCTATGGTAACGCGAACGGCGTCGGCGGCACAAAGCGGTTTGTGCGGATTGTGGCCCCGACACCGCCTCAGGGTACACGGGGGGAGGGGGGGTATGTGTGTGTGGGGGTATCTGTGTGTGTGGGGGGGTATGTGTGTGGGGGTATGTGTGTGGGGGTATGTGTGTGTGGGTGTGTGGGGGGGTATGTGTGTGGGGGTATGTGTGTGTGGGTGTGTGGGGGGGTATGTGTGTGGGGGGGGTATGTGTGTGGGGGGGTATGTGTGTGGGGGGGTATGTGTGTGGGGGGGTATGTGTGTGGGGGGGTATGTGTGTGGGGGGTATGTGTGTGGGGGGGTATGTGTGTGGGGGGTATGTGTGTGGGGGGGTATGTGTGGGGGGGGTATGTGTGTGGGGGGTATGTGTGGGGGGGTATGTGTGTGTGTGGGGGGGTATGTGTGTGGGGGGTATGTGTGTGTGGGTATGTGTGTGTGTGGGTATGTGTGTGTGGGGGGGTATGTGTGTGGGTATGTGTGTGTGTGTGTGTGTGGGGGGGGTATGTGTGTGTGGGGGGGTATGTGTGTGGGGGTATGTGTGTGGGGGGGTATGTGTGTGGGGGGGTATGTGTGTGGGGGGTATGTGTGTGTGGGGGGGTATGTGTGTGTGGGGGGGTATGTGTGTGGGGGGGTATGTGTGTGGGGGGTATGTGTGTGGGGGGGTATGTGTGTGGGTGTGTGTGTGGGGGGGTATGTGTGTGGGGGGGGTATGTGTGTGGGGGGGTATGTGTGTGGGGGGGTATGTGTATGGGGGGGTATGTGTGTCTCTACCCTCTGTCTGGATGCGCTGCAAACCAGTTGTGTTTGTGCCACAATTGTTTTCGTTTTTCCTTTCTTTCTCCTCGACTGCACCTTCGGTCACCTCCTCCCTCCCCCCTCCACTCCCCCACCCACCCACTCCCCCCCCCCTCCACTCCCCCCCCCGGCTCGGCCCGGGCATCCGTTACTGATCCGTGAAGCGCTCTGAGACGCAGTCCGGCGTGGAGGGCGCTATATACATCCAAGTGGTAGTAGTTGTTGTTGTTGGTGGTGTTTGAGTGGCTGTGGAACGACTTGTGTTGTGTCACTTTTTGTACTGTTAAATAACGCAGTTTTTGTCGTCGCAGATCTCGGCAAAACCGTTGGATTTGACAAGTGTTGTGTCCGTGGTTGACCTCGAGTCGGGTCCCGGTCTCTTCACCCATGAACCCCAACGATTTTGTTGTCATTCCAGGCAACAAGTCTGGCAGCTCCGTTAAGTTGAAAGCAAGGCAAGAGGCATTTTTTTCTTCTGTCAACGTATTCGCTCGGGAGGCAGAACAGAGTTCTTCCCCTGCGTCGAATTATAATAATAATAATAATAATAATTAATAATAATAATCCTGGCGTTTGATACAGCGCCTTATCACGTCTTCTCGACGTCTCAAAGCGCTTCACAGAATATGCTGTAACGTGAATTGACCGCATATTTGTGGGCGAATTACTAATGGTTTAAGGATTTTTTATTATTTTTGCCAATTGAGCGGCTGGCCTATTTCCTATTTCAGAGGGCATGTTAAGAGTCAACCGTGTAGTGCGGCGTAATTGTCATATGATGGCTCGACCAGCGAAGGATGGCAGATTTCCCTGCTTTGAAAGACGTGCGTGAATCAGTTGGATTCTTTTCAGGACAATCTGGCAGCTTTTATGGCTATTTTTCTGGCGTTCGATCAAATTTACCCATTGATTTTCAATTTAGGTTCCTCGGAGTTTGGGACCTGGAGCTTTTTGGTGTTCTGTGGATATCTGGCCATGGTTTCATCTCCGTGTGAATGAGAAGAGTGGTAGATTTCTCAGCCTGATTAAAAATAATTACTGAGGCAACACTCAACCAAATCCACTTTGAAATGGTTATGTATTCCATGGACTGAAAAACCAATTTTGTGCAGTGTTTTGATCCCGTCAGCCCTGTCATGGAAATCTAGAAAGACTACGAGCCTCAAGTGAGTTAATTAGTAACTCTTGGCATCACATTTCTATTGGTGTACTGCAAACCCCCCCCACCTTAGGAAAAGACAACAGCTCTTCTGCTCTCCGCAGACGGACACGCTCATCGGCAGTTGCGAGCCTGTTGTTCGACTGCTCATGTTGTTCGTGTGAGGAAGGTGCATTCGTACAGTCACGTGACACGAAAGCAACAACGCTGGTCTGAACGCACAGCCTGAGAGTTCACCAGCCAACAACCGGAAAATACGAGAGAATTGGTGCCTTGGGATGTCCTCCTCGGGTGAAAGGCCCCTGCACAAATGTAATTTGTTGTTGTTGAAAGGCACTGCTCAGTGTTTTGCCTCAGGAGGCAGTAAGCAAACACGTTAGTGAACTCTAGAGTTGCTCAGTGAACTGTAATGGTTAGTGGGCGCTACAGAGGTGGCATTAATTTCAGCTCTAGTCATTTCTGTGAGCCTGTAAGATAGTTTACAACTTACCACTGTAGGAATAAGACAGTGTCTGGGACCTAGTATGTTGCTCAGGAAGGTAAAATGATTCCTGGATTTGTTTCAATGTAACTTTACATTGTAGAATTGTTTGGGTTTCCCAGTATTTTTCTTAACATATACGTTGTTGTCTTCAATGAACTGGCTTTAGAAATCTTCGGGAGCTCAAATTGGAAACTGTGCAGCTAGAGCTTGACAGTGGTGTGATGGAAGAGAGATTGCAGCAGCTTCGACAGGTCATGAGCAGAGAAAAGAAAGAAAGAGAGTAAGTGACAATAACACGCGCAATAGTATCAGGCATACAACATTGGAACAAACAATCACAACTCCAGCAAGAATAGCTAGATTCTATAGTGTACCTAAATCCACTCACCTTTTTGTTTTCCTGCTCACAGAGTCCTCTAGTTTTCCGGCAAGGTAAAGCCAGCCACGATTAATGTTTTGGTACTTTGATGGATTGCTTCTAATCCAATTACAGAAAGGTGCATTGCTTTAGTTAGTTCCAGTTAGCTGAAGGCCCTGACTTTAGAACTACGCTTTGGCTGCTGTGTTTCGCCCACAAAATATACAGTCAGTTCACTTTACAGTATATTCTATGAAGAGCTTTGAGACGCCTCAAAAGGGTGATAAGGCGCTATATCAAATGCAAGGATTATTATTATTACGAAACAAGTATGCGGAATTTAAATTTTGGAACTCTCCAATACCGACTCCAGAGTACCTGCTAGACCCCTTCGGAAGCAGAGTGGTGTTCAAAGGAGTGGGAGCAGAGCAAGGATTGGACTGAGCTGGAACTACTGTAGGGGATAATTGGATTATTCAACAAAATGTGTTTTTCTGCCAATCTTGTGTGGTGCTTTAATGCAGTATAATGTCTGGTGGAGGAGTTTACTGAAAATGTTGATCTTCACATGAGCAGGGTATAAATGGTTAGAATTCTTTACTCCAAGTGACTTTTGAAGCTGGATGAATAGAATCATATGGGAATTAATAATATAATATGATAATAATCCTTGCATTTGATATAGCTCCTTATCACGTCTTTGAGACGACTCAAAGTTCTTGACAGAATATACTGTAAAGTGAATTGACTGTATATTTTGTGGGCGAAACATGGCAACCAATTGCGCACAGCAGCGTCCCACAAACAGTCGTGGATTGAATGACCAAATTATCGTTTTTTTTAGACAAGGACCTGAGCAGTAAAAGTGTTAAGGGATATAGGGAGAGAACTGAACTGTGGGATTGATATAACATCAGGCAATTTAGAAAAAACAGATAGCAATTATACATAAACTATCATGGATTTGTTGAAAGACCAAGCAAGGGTATTGCATGAACATTACGCATAAAATGAGCCTGTCTGTAATTTTCATTTGTACAAGCTTAATAATGACACTGCCTTTGAGTGATTCTGAATCAATGAGGTCTAACTGGAATTCAGTGATTGTGACTTCTGTTTGCGATCTGAAATACATGATTTGTCAACAAATTCAATAAATAATCTTGTGATCTTGAATGCGAGTAGTTTGCAGCTGGCATTTTGCTTTCAAACTTTTTCTTGATCTTTTAAAGCCTTTTTTTCATTGACAAAGCAAAAATATGGGTGCAATCATGTCTTCTAGTTTGCAAATGTCACGTTTTAGACCCGATTGTCGTGATCATAAAAAGTCTGAATGAACCAGGCCCCTTTGTACAATAAAGGGTAGCTGCTATTTTTCCTCAGTCGCTGGCTACGGCACTGTTTTCCATATTTAGAGTGTGAAAATCTAGTCTCATTACCTTCTCTACCTGAAAAGTGATAAGTAACTGGACTTGGGAGCTAAGAAGGTGTTTTTTTTGTATGTTTGTTCATTGCATTATTTTGCCTCGACTCTTTTGGGCATTGAACTAGTGGACTTTATAGTACACTGTTTTCTTCTGTTTACGTTTGGTTACTGTAGGCGATCAGGAGGACAGCACTGGAAATCTGGTCAAGCGGGGAGCTTAATGAATCATCCGCAGGTGGTGCTGAGAAACAATGAACATGTTAGTCAGAAGGTAAGGGAGAGACTTCTGAATAAAGGAAAGTAAAATCAATTTAAGAATGGCTACTTAGCCAAGGGGAGTATTTTTCTTATCATTCGTACACAGGAAAGTTGCAACTATTAATTCTATGAATGATCTGCTTTTTGTAACAGTAATTTGATGGGGTTAGAGGAGTTGAGGTTAGAACACTGATTTATAGTAGTTATTTATTGAGTATGAAAGAGCCGTTATTCTCAAGGATTAGTACGATGGATTTATGGCTGTCATGGCTAGAATAAAAGAGTCTCTGACATTGCTGGCAGAATCATCTGCAGGGTTTCTCATCAGCTCAACTTCATTGCTGAGAACTAAACTGGGAAGTGGTGCTTGATTGTGATTTGCATTGCCGAGGCCCCCATTTATACTGAACCCACTGCCACTGAATGTAATTTGTGTAACACACGTGAATAATGATGTATTACTTTAACGTGTGAAGCATCAGTGCTTCATTTGACAAAAATGAAATTGCCTTTTTTATTAGAATGTACTTTAAAGTACATACATTAAAGTCCCATTTCCCTCCCCCCACCTCCCCCCACCTCACCCCCCCAGTCGATTTGGGAGTATTCGTATCGAGATCTTGCCATTGGTTTTTGTTGGTGCATCCTCTCAGCCTCACAAGCTAAATTGTGGTCCTGATGATGTTTTGTTTCCAAAGGGCTAGTTAGTTACCAAGCATCACCAAGCTCGTGAGGTGGGGTGGGGAGGGGGTCAAATAATAATAATATTACAGCCTATTGCATAAATCTCTATGATTGACAGCTGTTAATCTTAAGGATGTGTATTTTCTCATAAGCACAAGACTGTGAATGTACTTCAGGTAAAATGTTCAGGGCTATCATCCAGCTTTACTTTAACATCCAGAGTGTTTCTCAGTGGCGGCAGCTTTCCTGTGATATGCCTGTTTTAATAATAATAATCCTTGCATTTGATATAGTGCTTTTCATATCTTCTCGACGTCTCAAAGCGCTTCACAGAATATACTGTAAAGTGAATTGACTGTATATTTGTGGGCGAAATGCGGCAGCCAATTGCGCACAGCAATGTCCCACAAACAGTCGTAGATTGAAAGTGACCAATTTATTATTTTTTTTGAGGGACTATTATTAGGTGTGTGGAGTAAGGAAACTTGCCCAAAGTTTCGCCCTGCCTGGAAATGAACGCAGGTGTCTCACTTGCAAAGCGAGTGCTCTAACCACTGAGCTGCAGGACTATTAATCTAAGCGATTGACTTGTTTCAGCCTTCTCTTAGGACATAGCAAAGTCTGCAGCCTAACAAGCATTGAGTAAGAGAAAGCCTGAGATTTTTCACCCATCAAAGGAACGTACCAATTTTAACCTTTTCAGAAGCTCTCCTTTAATGGATGCTTATTGCAAAAGCATCTCTGGGCATTGCTGTCTTTTATTAAAAGGCATTCTAATACCATTCACTGGAGATCCTGCACTGTATAGGATTCCGGTGGTGTAAACTGAGACTAATGGCAAAAGCTACTAGGTACCAATTCTTTCAAGGCTTTTGCAACTTGGATCTGGTCGTGGTCGTCGCAGCCCTTTCCAGTGTTTCAGGACAAGGAAATTATCCAAGTATTAGAAATACCTTCATAGTCTCGTGATGGAACCTGGTTAGGGTCAAATTCTGGGCCTCCTATATTGAAAATAATAGTTGCATGGAAATATAATTAACTGCGCAAGAATTTTTTTTTCTCTTGCATTATTTGTTGCTCTTCTGCAGTGTCATTGGTTTTCAAAATTTTCCAATAATTTTCCAATGGTTTTGTTTTTTTACTGTTTTAGATAACTCCTGGAAAGACAAAGATAAGGATGTTGAAGGACACGGCTGAAGGTATGTCCACTGCTTCTGGTTGATTGGGTGTACTCAGATTATAAATGCAGTATGTGAACTGGTCACTTACCACGGGATGCTGCTTATTGCAGAGCGTCCGAAACGGGTAGTTACCAGTATACCAGTTTATGCAACTGAAAAGCCAAACAACAAAGGGAAAACCTGTGGACAGTGCGAGACAAGACGTCCTGCAATGGTAAGCAAATAAATAAATATAATACTGAGAATAGCCTGCAGGTTAAACCATTCGATCAGAATGGTCAGCAAATTACAGTAATAGTAATACTTCGCCACTATCAAGCGCTCTGGGACGTTACCCTGCATGAGGGGTGATATCTAACTGCAAGTTGTTGTTATTGTTGTTGAAAACTGATCAGATTAGATAGTCTAATTCTTAGTCAGCAAATTTTAAGACATGATTTCTTAACGTTTCTACAGTTATAATCACGTGTAGTTATCAAGCAATTAAAGATGCCAGACATTCAGCGTTTTTTGTTAGACCTTGCAGAAAAAAACATGTCTTTATTCTGAATAATATCCTTCTAGAAGCTGATGATAATAGCTTATATCCGTCCCCCTTTATATTCTTGTCCAATTAAATACTTGATATTTGTATTTTTCTTCATTTTTTAAAAATGAAATTTACATATAAATGGTGTCCTAGACCCATTTATTTTCCAATGACCTGTGGTTTTACCTTTAGCAAATTGGATGTTTTCTGTCATTTCCTTTAAAGCTAATAATTACCGATGCAATGATACTGCAAACCCATTTGAATACTAATTGCAAAGTTTGAAGTGAGTTGCTTATTTTTGACATCTACGGACATTTGAATTTGTCTCATTTTAAAACGTGGGTTGTGATATTTACTCCCCTAAGGTTTGTGTCGAGTGTGGGGAGGATTATTGCTCCAGCTGCTTTGCTAAATTCCATCAAAAGGGGGCACTGAAGCTTCACAGATACATGCCTTTCAAGGTACAGACAACTACTTTGTTTGACGTTATATGGTGTTGCGTATTTTATTGTGGTCATTTAAATTGAGTTTTGTTTCCTGGATAACTTGAATCTTAACAATGCTTTTAAATTGTAAGCTATGCACCATTTCTAAGAGCTACTGCCTAAATCAGGGGGGTTTCCAACTGCTGAGGGCCGGATGCTGGATTTGAGAAATGTCTGCGGGCCGCATAAGCAAGCAATATTTTTGTGTTACCCTTCCAGAAACGTAACGTAACACTTACACAATGCCTTTCACTGATACCTGATACCAAAGTGGTGCTTGACACCGCTGGCTGGGCATCCAAGCTGGGGCTGGGAGCCGGTGGGGAGAGGAGGGGAAAAGAGGACCGAAAGTGTGGTCAAACATCTTGATGTGCCTTGAAAAGTGGGGAGGGGGCGGGTGGGGAGAATAAAGAGAAAAAGCAGGACAAAGGAAGGTAAGTGGGGCAGGAAATTGATAACTAATCATCAGTAGAAGTGTTCAATGAAAAATAAAATCCCTGAGAGGTAAAGTAATCAGTTGCAATTCTTCCCATTGTAAGTTAAGAGTTTATACTGAATTTTAATACATCTCAATGCGGTTCATAAAATATATTTACAGTATATTTTACAGAATATATTGTGAAGTGAACACTTTGCAGATAAAATACTGAATCATATCGAAAAGAGGAGACATAGATTAGATTCCCCCCCACCCAAAAAAAGTTAAAACATTGTCAATTGCCCAATTTAAAAATAATTTGGATAGTAAGTACAGCGGAGGTAATAATGATATACTGAGATGATTCACATATTGCTGGCACTAGGAGTAGGTCACTTATGAAATGGAACTGGTCATAGTTGTAAATGTGGCTTCCGAGGCTGCAATAATAATCTGTCACTTTATTTTATTACTTTGGGGCTGGGGTCAGGCAGATATTTCACAGTGCTTTATGTTTATGGAGGTTTATATGTGGTTGGTTGGTTGCCTCTCTCAGAAGATTTGAGTGGCTTGGACAGTTTTTATGTGTTGAGCTTCAGGAATGCTGCGCTGTTGTCAGCTGAATTTTTCTCCCCTGACACCACTGTTTCCTTTTAGCTCCGTTCACGTTGCAAAAGCCCACACACAGTAGTCTCAAAGCAAGAGCAAGTATCTATCACTTGGGTAATCTGTGATCCTGATAATGTACAGCAGAAAATTTTGACTAAAGAATCACCAATGATTCTGTTATGAATCATGACAGTGCCCTGCCTTTCATATTCACTTCAGAAAATCAGGCTTTCAAAGCATTATCCATTGGGAATGGTCATCAATGGAAGCAAAACATTGGGTAGTACTGGGAGACTCAACCTTGTCCTCTGTGTGAGAATCTAATATTGTCTCTATATTATGCAGAAACGGTTGTCATCAGCCCTTCTGCTTTATAATTGTAATAATGATCTGTGGGAAGGGAAAAGGAAATATAAATGTGGATCATTAACTTTAACAATTTATATGTTTATGGTTCCTTCCTAATAGTGGCATGTCAGGCAACTAACATAATCATGCTGTTGATTCGTTAAATGTTTATACGCAAGACGACAGGTTGTTACCCGAGTGACCACACCCCAAAACCTATGCTTATGGTACTACTTGCATGATTGCAAATACCTTCCGCTGCCATTGCCAGAACAATATAATTATTTGATTGTCACGTTGCCTATTAATAAGAAAATTCATATATTTTTTGAAAAAGCAATATAAAGACGGATGTTTTGATTGGCAGTAAGATTTAAGCAAAGTCCATGCTCGTGTTCATAAAGCAGTTTAGTCTCTGAGTGATAAGCAAACCATCAAACTGTTAAATAACAACTTTGGAGTTCATTGCATTGTAATCTATGATGTATTATACCGTTATAAAATACAAGATGAAGCATTTTGAATTTGGTATTAAAACATTTTGAGTGTTTCAAAGCTTGTGAAATGTTGTGAAACAGTATTTATTTTTCTGAAGTAGAAGTTTGAACCATTGACCCATCATCCCTCCAAACAAAGGATTCCATTCTGCTCTCAAAATCCAAACACTAAATGCTTTCTAATAGAAAGTTTGTTTTTTATTCATTGCTTTCTTGCATTTTGTTTTATTCATATGCTGTTCAAATTGCTCCTGAATTTTTGTATGATTCGCCTTGTATGTGAAAACCTTTTGTGTATGTATTTAAGTTTAAATGTTCTAAATGGCTTATCTTGTGAATAGTCCTGGCAGAGAGCAGGCTAGTAAGAAAGGCTTGAACTTGTATAGATACAACGTCTTACCTTTTTACCCAAATATTATTTTAAAGTACAGGGCTTTCAGTAACTTTTGCTTAAAAGGAAAAAAAAATTGGGACAAGAAAAAAATTCTTTTAAATAGTCCGACAATTTGAAGCATGTTGAGACTTAAAGTATTCTCAACTTGCACGTCATATTGTACCTTTGATATAAAGAGGAATGCCCCAGTGATTTCTTCAAGTGTTAAAATTGAAGTGTTAAGCACAGCGGTATTCATCATGTTAGCACTTGTGGCTCTTGTCAAGTGGTATTAATGAATTCACTATCATTTTGAAAAAGATCTTTTATGTTATGCATATGGATCTTTTACGATTGAAAGGACATTGTTGAATATTTAATACAAATCAAGCTCCAGGGAATGGGAGTGCAGCTTAAAAAATAACAATAGGATTTCAAGTGTGTTTGAAGTATGTAGCTAGTACTTGACTGAGGTGCTTTTTTTAAAAACAAATCATTAAAAACTACTCTCTATATTAAGTAACTCAAGAAAACCTTTCGGCAAAATAGGTAGTTGCTAAAAGTCATAAAGTAGCACTGCTTTTATACTCAAAGAGACAAATTAATATTTTGTTAAAATAGTGCTTCCTCATCATACCCCACGTACTTGTTGAATGGAATGTGTATGAATGTGAAGATGAAAAACAGGAAGGCATTCATTGAATACTTAACCGAAAACATTTGCCCTCCTAGATTTGGGCACAGAGTAGGCAAATTACAGCATGAGCAAAAATACAGTGCAGAACATTGGGAATTTATTGGTAATGTCTTCTTGCAATTGACTGCTTCTAAAAACATATCGGCAAATTATGTGGATTTTGTAGGATCAGGTTTAATAGATTATAATAATAATCCTTGTATTTGATATAGCGCTTTTCACGTTTTCTAGACATCTTAAAGCGCTTCACAGAATATACTGTAATTCACTGTATATTTGTGGGCGAAACAGAGCTGCCAATTGGTCATAGCAGTCCTCACAAACAGTCGTGGATTGAAGTGACCAAGTTATTATTGTTTTTTTTCTTGAGGGATTATTATGAAATAATTATTTGTAATGAATATATAGGATTGATCTCAAGAATGGATTCATTGCTAATTTATAGAATGCATACATAGATAATTAAGTTTTGGATACTATGGGGTTAGAAAATTATGCAGAGGTATTTTTTAAAAAGGGAATACTGTAACCCAGATGTACAGATTCCTCAGCAGGTCTTTGATTTTGATGTTGATTGATAGTACTCTGGTAACACTAAATGTTTTGGGGGCACAGGGGCAATGTTATGCATATGGATTTTTCGTTTATTTTCATGTTGGGTTATGGTAATTACCAATGAGCATCTGTACAGATTTGCTCAATACACATCATGGTCTATGTTGCTGAGACAAGTAGAAAGCTGTTGGGATCCTGGGTTGAAAGACAGGAACTGTGCAGGTTGGATAGATGTCCTGGAGCTCTGTGTCACCACTGGATTAGCTGTGGTGAGTGTGGTAACATATTGAAGTAACTTGACTGTTAACACTTCTAGGTCGGAATATAAATTGGAATACATCCTGAGCGATTGACGTGAACTGCTCTCAGTTCCACAACTCATAACTTGTAATAGGATTTTTAAAAATATATATTCTTTTAGAATTTGAAGCAATGTGCATTCTTGTGCGTTCCACGTGATAAACCTATTGCGAATCGAATTCTAATTTTGAAATTTCAAGCTGATCTTTCCTATTATTGAACGCCACACAGTGTGTGCATACAATTTAGAAAAATGCCAACATTTAAACTTGCATTAAATTTTGTATTAACAGTGTTTCTATTCAATAGCACAAATGATGTGGGTGATGTTACAAATCTCAGTCCCTCTCATTATTTGTTCATTCAAAATTGCCGTGTAGGATTCAAAAGAGATTTTAAATTGTTTGAAGAAATCAAATTTTCAAAAAGTTTTTCAAAAATAGAAAATCTATCAAGAGTATCTTTTTGAGTTGGATTGCCTTATTTTATTGCATTCTGGTGAAGAATTCAAACCTATAGACTGGTTTTGTGCCTTTGTTACAACTCGACACACAAAATAAATTGATGTTCCTGAACAGCATATAATTGAAGTCTTTGGTTGTTAGCGTGGGTTATTTTAAATTCAACCTTTCTGGATACTTTTCTCAAGATGAATATTACTGCAGCCATATGAAACCAACAACCTTTTCATTTTTAGTGATCAACATTACTCTTTTTATCATGATCTCTATTCACCACATTTTATAATGATACGCAGGAAGCTTAAAAATGCAGAAGCCCAAAAAAGTAATTCATTTTGATTAATCACCAATTAAGTAAGTGCAGAAATAAAGGGTACTCAATGATACAGAATATTGTTTCCATTTTAGAATGCCTAAAGCTGACCCTTCCCACTTGCACCAAGTACTCTCTGAGATTAGGTGAGCAGGATGGATCCCTCCACACGGAGAGTGTGTATTCCTTTTCGAGCCACATGGAAATTCCCACGTGTAGGTGGCACACACGTGTGGAACTCTGTCTGGTTTGGACACTCCTGAGCATTACCATGATGGATGCATCTGTCAAACATGTGTCTGACAAAAAAGACAAGAATGTTTTAGGATAATGTTTCCTCTCCTGTGTTTTCCAGTAAATTAACTGGCATTCAATGTGACAATTGGCAGGAATATCAGGAAAGCAAGTGCAACAGATAGAACAAGCACATTGATGTCATCTGGCTCAGTTTTGGTTAGCACTCTTGCCCGAGTCAGAAGGTTGTTGGTACAAGCTTCACTTTGGGATTTTTTTTAAGATGAATGTCTAAGATGACACTTAATGCAGACAGTGCTATGCTGGGGGAGGGCTGCATTGTCAGAGGTACCATCCTTTCGGTGAGACATTAACCCGAGATCACCGTATGCCTGTTTAGGTAGAGGTTAAAGATCCCATGGCACTATTCAAAAACAGAAATAGTTTCTCCCACTGTCCTGTGTGACAGTCCCCCAGATTAAAATAGGGTATTCATTCATTGACTGCTTGTGGGACATTGCTGAGTGAAAATTGTCTGCCATGTTTGCATACTAATGCACAGCCCCCTATGCTTTACAGAAAACAGTAAAACACTTTGGGATGTTTAGATTCAATGGGGCAATCTATCAAATGCAATTATTATTATAAACTTGAGTGGGATCATTTACTAATTGAAATAAGTTGATTATATATTGTTCAATATGATTTAGGTTACAACAATCTTGTGCTTCTGATGAGTCTGTAAATCATGGGAATCCCCATGATTTATGTCCTCATTACAGTCCTTCATCATATGTATGACAGTCCATTATTCTATTACATAGTGGAGTAAATTGTAAGGTTTTCTTATTCACTGATTACAATATTCATAAAAGGATGGAAAAAGGTTGTTTGTCCACTGAAGCATGTTTCTCTAGTCCATTAACTCTCTCGTCATAGCTTCTAATTGTATTTTAAATAACCCCAGTGTGTTTTTGCCTCCATCAGCTAGTTTGATACCAAACGCTTATCCTCTTGTCAGCCTTTTTTTCAACAACACTTCTTCATTTACTTTTCAATAATATGCACTTATCTTTGTGGACTTTTACTGCTGTACTTGACAGAAATGAAGGTGTTCAGTTGTGATCTAAAAACGGGGCAGGAGGGGGCAAGACGGAGCGATTAGGAGAGAGAAGGATAGAAGAAAAGTGAGATTCAGAGATTTCTTTAAACAGTTCTCTTTACAGAGATGTGTTGGGCATTCAAGAATAAAATGCATTTTGTTGTAGAGAAAGACGCATTTTTTTAAAATAGTATAAACAGTGCCTTTAAAAGTGGAAGGGATTTATAAATAAATCTAAGGCTGCGACCTCTTCAATGATCACATCCAATTTTACCATTGACAGCCCGAGGAGCGAACAGCAGACATGCCGTCAGATTTTGTCAACCAATTTAAAAAACAAATTGATTCTGACGGCTCAGCTGTGAAAAATGTGCAAGTTGTTAAGAAGCGACTGCCAGGAAACAAGTCTCCATCTCAGATGGTCACAAAAAGAAATGCTGAGGTAAGAAGGTACTGCTTGCACCTTTGGTGAGTGCATTTTATTGTTTCTACAGAGTTTTCCAGATTTTTGAATTAATTTTATAATAATGCAGTGTGTCGTGGAAAGACCACATGAACAAATACTTGATGGCCTTCTGCAATATAAAAAGCACCAGCTTGTGTAATGTCTGATCAGTGCATTAAGGGTTTGATACACTTCAGGAATTTGAAGGTGACCAGTTAAAAGTGCAATGACTCCCCTGATGGGTCAGTTGATAAAGGCCGGTCATGATGTGGAACTTAACCGTAGAGAATAGAAAGCAAAATAGAAAATCGCAAATGTGGGAAATCTGCAATAAAACAGAATGTAATGGACGTGCATATCTCACTCACTACACTATACTTACTACCCCTTACTACTACAAAGCTATCACTGTTTATTTATCTGGTTCTGAGTTGAGAGTATTTACTTTAATGGGGAGTGATCTGTTGCTGAATGAATAACAAGCTTAGGTTTGGCACATTGTGGATTTTCAAAACCAGTTAATTGTCTGATATTTGTAGTTCAAATACATCTTATACTTTTCTGCGTGTTGCAGACTGTTATCCTGGAAAATGAGGCTGATGCACCTGTCAAATGTGGGCAAAGCACCGACACAGATAATGCAGATTGTGGGTTATTATTAAATGGTTGCTTTGATGAGGAACAGTCATCAGAATCTTTTCAAGAGGTATTAAACGAATGGAGACAGGGAAGACCTGATGAAGAACCAAAGCCCATTGAAACATATTCAGGTAGGAATCCTCTTAACAGCTTTAAAATGGTATAGGAGAATACCTCTTGAATATAATTTAGCAACTTAGCTTTTACAGTTTACTTAAGAAATCTTAGTAACCCAAAGGAGTACATAAACGTGATCAATATTATGATATTAAATGTAATAAGCAGAAATAGTAGAGATACCAAAGTAATCATTCAAAGATTCTTTTATTAGTAACAACAGACAAGGTTTTTCCGCCATGCTTTGTATGAAACTTGATTGGAAATTGAGGTAATCTTTGTTATTAGAGAAGGTCATATTTAACCATATACTAAGGAAGGAGGTGAAAGCTTAGCTATTCTATTCAAATCATAAAAATGAATTGCAACAGAACAGGCCAATCCTTTCCCCTTTCCACCATCTGTTAAATGCTTCTGCAATTCTTTCTTCTCTTAATGTAGTTTCGCATTCTCGCTCCTTGGCTTCTGAGACCTCCTACTCTGTTCAGAGTCTGAAATGGCCTGCTCCCATGCTGTTAGAATTCTCATTTCATAAGCGGTTTGGATGGAAGGTGGCTCTTCGGACCATTTGATCTTATCTTTCCAGAATAGCAACTCTACTGCCATCCCATAACAACATCAAGCTGCTTCTTAATAAGTTCTGTGTGCTGCCCTCTACTTTATTTCTTTTTACTACAACACCAACAACAAGATTATATTTGTATAGCGCCTTTCACTTCGGGAGGACGTCCCAAGGTGTTGGACAGTGTACAGCATTACAGAATATATTACATTAGTTTTTTTTAAAAAAAGTTAGAAAACACCCAATTGGATGAATACAAGTATGATATTCCATTGGTAAATTTGCAGTGATATAAAACCTGATCTAATTATGACTTTGTGTCACTTCAGGTCAAATTGTGTGATTTGGCCGTGAAACAGAAAAATAAACCGCTTCGTCCACAATTCTTTTCAGTTGCCACAGAAATGTCAGAACTTCAGGACGACCGTGTGAAAAAAACAATTGAGATTCACTTTAAAGAACATAGCTTGAGCTACTTGGACAAACTGTTGCTCAAGAAGCACAGAAGGTAATTGCAAGTATCTGCCGTTAGTTTATCTGATTTTCTTGATGCTCTATTTTCACTTTCCTCCTTTTGAAATGAGCTTTTGGGAGAGAGGCTGTTACCCAATTAGTTTGTGACTCAGAGATTCTATTACTCACTCCTGTTTACCCACTGCCACAAGGCTGTACACCATTGTCATCTTATTTTTGGTGATGTTCAATCAATTCCAGTCTGTACTCTGAGGTTGAAATTAAGTCTACCTTTTCTTGTATCCAGCTGTTCGCAATTGGCTGCCGTGTTTTGTCGACAAAATATACAGTCAATTCACTTTACAGTGTATCCTGTGAAGCACTTTGAGGCGTCTTGAAGACGTGATAAGGCGCTATATCAAATGCAAGGGCTTTTATTATTATCTGATTTGTGACTTCTTGGTGCTGGCAATGCATATCAAAACCAAGAAAATGTTCCAATCCCTAGAATTAGATACCTCACCTCAATCTGTTAATCAGATTTACCAAATGTATTTCTATGGAATTTTGCTTTTGAAATCCATTTACTATTATTATATAGATATTATTGTAATTTCCTGGGTCAGCTTTTCAGGGAATACTATAAATAACTAATTTTCTTTTCACCTCCTCTCCCCCCCCCCCCCCTCTCTGTCTCTCACACACACCACACACTATCTCTCTCTTCCTGCTTGACTTGAAAGTAACCAGTGAAGCTTACAAAGGAATCTCTGCAAGGAAACTGCCTGGAATTTAAACAGGGACATCATGTTTGAGTATAATAATATTGTAGCTTGGGCACTGCAGATCTATTCACCTTTTTACATTCAATTTTAGTGTTTGTGAAGTTTTGTGAATGGAAAACACAATTATTAACTTTCGGCACTTTTTTTTATAAGCAGAACAAATCTATGAAACATTGTTTAAAGTTATTTAAACAATATGTATATTCTTATAGTCAATTCACAAAACATTCTGTGAAGCGCTTTGAGACATCTCGAAGATGCGATAAGGCGCTATATCAAATGCAAGGATTATAACTAAAGTTGAAAGTGCTCAGCTTTCAATTTTTGAATTTATTATTTTTAAAAATCAATTTTTCTTGTTGAACCTTTTAAGGATTTTCATGCACTTTGTGAATTTCCAGTGCCTCACAGGATCAATTATCTTGAAGATTTTGGGATAACATCTGTCACTTTCTATTTAAAAGCGAATGCAATTTTGTCCTTAGATCTCCAGATTCTCTACTGTCTCGCTACAAGAATAGCCAACCATCACTTTCCTCCACAACTCGCTCATCTCCAGGTGGCAAGATTGAGTACAGCGATGATGACGAAGATCTTATTTTAACAGGTTTGTCAAACCCCTGTGGAATCTAACTTGCTTCCTCCAATTGCTAGCTGCTCAGTAGCTAAGGACACTCCAAAATTACCAAGATTGCCAGTCATTATCAGCACTCTGTACTTGCAAACATAGAAATATAGAAACAGGAGCAGGCCATCCAGCCTCCTGAGCTTGTTCCACCATTCTATAAGACCATGGCTGATCTGTACGTCAAGTCCAATTACCCACCCTTGATCCATATCCCTTGATACCCTGGGATTATTATTATTATATTATTATTAATAGATTGACCAATCAGTTTATTAATGAACATCATTTTTGTTTTAATATATTTGATAATATTTGGCATTCAGCAGCAAAAGTGAAGTTGTGTTACATTTCATTCTATTTGAATTTGCGATATTGATGTTGGTATTTATCAGGATTGGGCTATTTAGTTGTGGACTCCTGTCTTTAGAAGCACTTGTGTAGAATTACTGTGCAAGTAACCGTCAAACTTATTGTTCAGGTGTGACTGCTACAAATTGCTGTATTTGGCATTTTCACTGACTGCTGGTAAATTGAGAAGCCGAATCATAAATTTGATGACATAATTTAACTGTACTGCTTTAAAGAAGGGAGAAAGGAACTTGACCTTTATTAATGAATGTGATGACATGCACTGGTGAAAGAACAGAAAATAATGATAAGAATAAGCTCCATACACCCTTGTCTCGCCGGAAGCTGAATCGTTTAATTTTGTCAATCCAGGAACGTGTCGTATTTAGCATAACATTTGCTCTGTTAGCCCCAGAAAAGGCCCCAGTGGTCTTGCACTGTGCTGGGAGCTAAAGTGCTGGTGTCTGAATTTCATGTCGTGTACAGAGTTGCTACAAATCGACTTGTGACTTCAAGCGTTTGAAAAGCTGCAAGATCAACCCAATAAACAACCCGGGTCATCACAAAGGAACCGCAAAAGCATGTTCTGAACCCTACCTTGACAGCGTTGCATACATTTTTTTTGAATTTACAGCTGAACAGATAGAAGAACATGAAAATTTTGCTGCTCTTTTTAAAGTGGTTGAACCCTCTAAAGAGGTAGAGAAAGTGCCGTCATGCCTCAGCATTGTGGAATTAAACGAGGTGAGTACATGTGTAGTGAGCAAATGCAATGTTCTGGGCTTGCAAGCACAGCGACAAATTAACACTTTTATTCCGACCCCTCAATATGTTAAGTTCAGATTTATATTACTAATATTATTATTATTATATTTCTAAACTCTGTGACTTCATGAGATGCCTTTGGGCATCCAGCAGAGCAGCAAATCTGATTAAAGTGCCTATAGAAAACCTTGTTAATATTTCATACATAGCAGTAATATTTACATGGGTTTCCATTATAAAAACCCTGTCTTTCTGTTTTTATTAATGTGACCATGATCATTGCTGGTGCACATCTTCCCCCTTTGTTCTTCCCAAGTTCAAAATATTTTGCCCTACATGCTCTTCTTTCCTACTGTATTATAGACAATCCCACTATCCCTTAATATAACTCATTCTTTCACACAAGATTGCAAGCTTAAGGAATTCTTTACTTCCTCTCAATAATTCCTGATTCCTGCAATGCGCAGGTTTTTTTAAAGCCTATATTTGATGTCATCCATTAACTTCCTGACTTTTGATTTTTGCTATTCTTCCCTGCTTTTTCTCAAAGGGTCTTTGGCCTTCACATAGAGATTCTCAGCACTGCAATAAAAAGTGCTGAATATATTCCCTCACAGTTGTCATGTCAGATGCACACTACAATCTTCAACTGTCAATTGGAGAATTCAAACGGTGTATTACCTGTACAGCAATTCTGAGTGTCCCACCTGTCAGACTGATTCATTTGCATTCTGTCACATTAGATAGTGGTGTGTGAATACTAACCCTTTAGACTGTTAGCCCTCTTTTCATCTTTATCTTGAGTTATCTCTCTCTTTATCTCTCTCTCTCTGAATACTTTCATGCAAATATGAAGGGTTCAATTGTGCGGCATACCTTTTTAAAATGTATTCTTAATCTGCATTTACAGGTGTTCATTTGACTGAAACACAATTCAATTGTGTTCATATATGGTTTCTAAAGACACAAAATTATACATTGAGTTATTGGTAACTTGTGTGTAATTAAAGGACATTACATAATTAATCAAAATGCGTTATTAATCAGCAAGCAAGGTCTGTGGTTCTCATGTAGGGATTAGAATGGAAAGTCAGGAAAAGCAAGGGAGGCATTGATTGTAGATTAATGAATATCAAAGGAATAATTGTCCAAAAATATATTTAAATTAAAGTGTGCACATTTGTAAGGATTATAAAAAAGAACAGTAGCTTTGGGTAGATGCATCCCACTTCTTAATAGCACAAAATTGAAAAAAAAATCATCCTTGCATTGATATAGCATTTATAATCGTATCAAAGTATTTCAATTAGAATTGCTAACAAGTGTATTGACTGTAACTTTCGTCATTCATCATTAATTAGCATGAATTTATGGAATCCTCATTGAGAGAGGCCACAAGAATTACTTCTCTGAAAAATAGAGGTGTCATAGTTGATGATGTTCTGAGTTGGGGTTAAGTGATGTTGTTAGGAGTTTGATATAGTAGATCATGTCGTGCCTGACCTGTGAGCGGTTGATGCTTTTGTGATTAAAGTACAGAGATATACAGGGAGATGAACAGAAGTCTGGAAAGGAAACCAAAAAAGTAAATGGACAGAGGAAGTGCAACAGTAAAAAATAAACCACTGGAGTATGTTTGATAGTCGTATATAAATGCAACTTTCAGTCTAGTTTGAATTATTGCTAACTATTGTAATAAACCAAAATCTGTTTTACTGTCAGCCGATCAGTGGAGCAATGGAAGAGACTTGTAACTACTTGGTTGACGAGCCGGATTTCAGTGATTCAGAAAATAAAGAAAGGTAATACAATTATGCAGTTTTTTTTTAATCTTCAAATATTATGTTTGTCATTTTAATTAATTTTCAAATATTCAAATGATTTATAATCATGATAATCCTTGCATTTGATACAGCGCCTTATCGCGTCTTCGAGATATCTCAAAGATCAAATTTCTGTGTTAGGATTAAGAAATTCAGAGGGAGGGAGGAATTGTGCAGTTATCTGCCTTGGCTGGTTGTGAACCAGCTTAATTCATATTTGTTTTATTCGTCTTGCATGACCCTGGCTGTAAAGCAACAGTTCAAGTTTAACCAACTGTGTTGGAGAAAATTATTTCCGATACTTATTGTTGAATAATACGAGTAACTGCAGACTTGCCTTCACTATTTTTCTTCAGAACCAATGCAACTTTACCTGACCTTCAGACCCCATCCCAGCATCAGGATTGTACTGAGGCTTTATCTGAGACATCAAGAAACTCTGTTACTTCACCGGTTCAGGCTTCAAAGGAAACAAATTTGTCACCTCTTACGTCCACCTATACTTTAAGAAGAGAAACTTTACTTTCATCCCTTCACAATACAGATGAAGATTTAATTGAAAAGTGGCACCGTCCTAGAGGTACATGATTTTGAGCTTCTTGAGACCTGCGCATTTTACCAATAAGGCAATTTAATCACAAACTCTCTATTTGAAATATAATTTTCAATACTTTCTTCACTGTGAACGCTGTTAATAAACACAACCAAAAAGTGTTTAGTCACGGACTGTGTATCACACAAGTGCGGTCAAAGAAATGTGTATTTAAACTGAGAGTGCTTAACGCAATCTGTTCAAAGTGTCTGAATTAGATTGTTTTAACCCAAATGGTGTAAATGGTGATTATTAACATGTTTGTGATGGAACCTAAAAGAAAATCATTTGTTTAATGCTTTCAGCTGGCACGGTAGAGTTGGCAAATTATGCCCCCCACAAAATATAGACAATTCACTTTACAGTATATTTTGTAACGCGTTTTGCAACATCTCAAAGACTTGATAAGGCGCTATATCAAATACAAGGATTATTATTATTACCAATGATATTTCTTCTGTGGCAATATTGAGGCTTGATGCTCTTTTGCTGTGAAGAACCTAGTGAGTTATTTAGGGTGAATCAAGAATTGCAAAAAGTATTCTCAGTTGAAAAGTTGATGCCTGATCCTCAGCAGGAGGCACTATGGTGGTGTAGTGCAGGTTACACCGCGCCGATGGACTGTGGAACCTGCACTACACCAGCACTCTGGTTACTTCTCTACGTAAGCTGACAACTATCCAGAACTCTGCAGCCCATGCCCTTTCCCATACCAAGCTCAGCCAGCCTACTGTCCCACATCCTCATCCAGCTCGATTTGCTCCCCATCACCCCATCGGATCAAGCTCAAGATCCTAGTTTTCACCTTCAGATCCCTCCATGGGTATGCCCCACCCTACCTGCGTCCTGACCCCTCCTGCTCCTAATTCTTATGTTCTTATGTGTTGGTTAAGGCTGCATTTAATTTTGTTGTGGGAGTCTTTTAAAGAAATGTGCCTTTGAGATCTCTATATATTGTGGTGTATCTCTCTTGCAACTTTTCAGATTCTTCAGTAGCAGACGGGATAGGTACAGTTTCACAATACAGGACATCTGAGCTTGAGCATGGAGTAGTAGAAGAGGATCCTGGAGCAGGTGGTTCTCCCAAGGTAGAGCAATCAGTGAACCTGATCTCTGAGCAGACACAATCTCTCACTGTCAGGCCACCATCACAAAGGACTTCTTCACCTTTTCCACACGACGTTCTCAACGATCCTGTTTCTACATTGGAAACCTCTGAGGCATCCATCAGTTTACAGGACAGTTTAGAAGATGACGACATTGGCCTCTCCACAAAGCCATCTAACGTAAGTAAGACTTGAACACAGTTGGTCTTTGTAACATTCGCAGCACCATAATAAATCAATCTTTTATGGGGTTTCTAGAGTTAAAAATTAAATCTTAAAAAAAGTTTTTAATTTGGTTATCCAGTGGTCCACTCTTAATGCCTGTCAATATAAATGCAAGTTGTTGTTGTTATTATTGTTGTTGTCAGCTCCCAGTTCCTTACCTTACTTTCTTCTTTATGGGCATTGCCTTGGCCATATGTTAGCTTGATTTTCACCACAGATCTGCAGTCCACATACTTCCCTACGCCTTTCTTCCTCTTTACTGTCTGAAGTTGTACTAACTCATTTTGGAACAACTTCATCCCTCTTCTGTTATGAAGCCTCTGAAACCCTTTGGTATCACTGTATCCTCCATTTCTTCCTACCACTCACAGCCTTGTAGAGTGGCAACTGTATGGGTTCTAGTCGAAAATCTCTTAAAGCACCTTAAGAGTATGTGTGTGATGTTTTACTCATTAATGTATCGTGCCTTATCTGGGATAGTGAAGGATAGCCTTCTTGAAAGATTAATGATTAATACATGTGTGATGTAGAGTAGAAATGCATTAAAAGCAGTTAATGGTGTTTTGATTAACTTCTGTTCGAAGTGAGCAACCTGAATACAGTATCTAGTTAAGAAAATTGATTTTTATGTGGAAAAGTATTGATATATTATCAAGTGCTGCATAGAATATTATATTGTACATAGCTGGGATCACGGACGTTTTGCCATAGAACGCAATTGATCAGAGATGACTAATATAAATTGTAATGTTAGATGGAACCCTCAGGTTAACTGGTGATTACCATAAGGGACCAGGGTAATATTTTACAGTTTCATCTTGGAAGTGTTATGTGATTATTTATTAACCTCGAGTTGAATAAATTAGGACGATGGAACAGAACAAACTGACTCATGTCCCAGACTTACTGTTACTTAAGTTGAATTTGTTGCTGTTGTGTGCCATGCCTGACGTGAGTGTGAAAGTATGTTCCTGAAAATTAATCTCTGAGGTCACATTTTGCCTGTCAGTCTATTTGTTCTCGTAAATACCAAGGAAATTTAACCACAGGTTAAAACATTTTACTTCAGTTAGCGACAACAACTTGTATGGAGTCTTTCACATAAGATGCACTTTACAAAGTGGAGTCAGAGACTTGAAGGTACAGGTGAGAACCATAAAAGGTGGCTTCAATCTTACTGACTAGTTGAAGGATGTTTAGGTTCATCCAGCACTTGATATGTAATACGCAATTGGCGAGAACCGTAATGGTCTTGGACTTGAGGGTAGGAGCAGAGTGACGAGCTGGATATCATTAGCATAGTGCTATTAAGGGGAAGACAGATTTGTTCTACATCTGTGACTTAATTTCGTAGTTCCTATCAGTGACATTTCACACCAGTGAAAAATATAAACTCCACATCCATGAAAATATAATTAGCAGATGCTGAACATACAATATATTACTGTCTATTATACAGTACTATGACTATAACATCACATACCATTCATTACAATCCAAATGCGCTCTCAAAACGTATTATCTTGAAAAATGTATGCAAAAAGTGTGTCACTCCAGCTTTAAAACTGATTAAAAGAACAATTTACAGGATAATTTCATCCTTTTCAGTACAAAAGACAACCTTGTACAAAGCAAAACACAAACTACTGCAGGTGCTATTTTTGTGACAACCTTGTACTTTTGACATCCTACAAATAAGACTGTTCGATAATAGTTTCTAATGTAAATATTTATCATTACAGTATTCATTTCCACAGCAATGAACAAATAGAGTCTTGTGCGATAGGCTTTGAAATGTGTTTTTCACACGTACTAAATAAACCCAGTAGTATTGTGTTAATATCTATTATTAGCAAAGTGTATTATAATGCTACCATTTTCATTCTCTCATCATTGAATAAAAATCAGGAAGTGACACAAATGATTTCTACAGTAACAAACGTTTAACTCAACAGGTGATTTGGTAGGAATTATCCAAAGAGACGTTGAAATAAGAAAATTGTCAAAACTTAATTGAAGTTCATTATAGATATGCAAATGAATAACACAGCAGGACGCCTCTCAACCCATTATTTTGTGTCAGTATTTGCTCCAACATGAAGCCATTCATCCTAATCTCAATTTGCTGTTCTTTCCTGAAGCTCTTTAATATCCTTCCACTGCATGTGGTTGTCCTTTGCATGTTCTTGTCCAGTTCTTTTATTAAAAAATAGCCCCAATCAACTTTTCTCTAATCGCTACCCCTGGCAAATCATTCCATACCCTGACAGTCCTCTTGGAGAAGTTTTTCCCAACCTCTCTTTTTTCTCCATGACTCACAATCTTTCAATCTTAGTTGTGGATCAACGAATAATTCTTGCATTGCTAGTGTAATGGAAAATGTTAAAAGCCTCAAGGCAGTTTATTGAGAAAAAATATTTTATTGATTGGCTAGAAAATATATTTTTTAAAAGCAATGAACAGTTGTGTTATGGTTGAAGTAGTTTATTGCGATGGTTAAGTTTGTTTTCAATAAGCGCTGGAGAAAAATAAAGATATGTTGGGCACTCTTTTATTATCAAATAAATTTTACTCCATTTACATGTTTTTTCCACAAAATATAAAAAGTAGAGCAAGTATTAAAATGATGATATTGTATGGATTTAATAAAATGAACACCTAACTTCAAGCTGGTAGCAAATTAATGCTGCTTTTATTAATCTGTGATCCATTACAGGCTTAGAAATTAATGCTGTTCTCCCATGAGTAAAAATGATTAGAATAGTAAATACCACTGGTGCTAAATCATACAAGAGGAAATAAATCTCTAAATGACATCTCTTCAGTTTAATAAGGTTTTAAGATAAATAGTGTCATTCAGCATCTTTCAATCTAACTGGAAATATACTTATGTTCTGTGTTTTATTAGTTACCTGATAAAAGATCATGGGCAAAAGTAATTGTTTTTTTGTTAGTTCTTTTGAGTCCCTTTAAAAACAAATCAGTGTACTGTGAATAGAAAAAGAAGTATTGTGGAAGATATAAGCTTAGTAGTGAAGCTGATAAAAAACAGACTATGCGAATCTTCAAACAACTCAACTATTTCTTTAAACAAAAATAGAAATCACAGTTTTTGTTTTCAGATTTCCAGCATCTGCAGTATTTTGCGTTTTGTCAACTATTTCTTTGCTGATTTTCACAATGACATTTTATTAGCTTGCTCCCTGCGCTTTCTCAGAATATTGATGCTTCTCAATTCAGTATTTCCACTAAAGAATATCCAGAAACAACTGAAGGGACATAAATTGTGAAACAGGAACAACATGCATTTCTTTTGTTAAGGGTCTCAAGTGAAATGGGGCAGAGGCTTTGAGGTATAGTTCAGCCATGATCTAAAGAATGGCAGAACAGGCTCGCGGGGCTGAATGGCCTACTCCTGTTCCTGTGCAGTTTCAGAAACGTGAAAAGCAAACCACGTAATGTTGGCATTACATATTGCACATGTAGTTTCAGGATCATATATAGCAGATCTTGCAAATTTCCATAGGTTTGACTATCTATTTACAGAATGGCTATGCTTTTGAAGCTTTTAGCAGCCAAGAGAACTGGTGGACGCTTCATGAATGTAAGTAGAATCGTACGGAGCCACATGTTAGGGAAAAGTGGCATGTTTTTATTAATTGTGTAATTTTTATGTTAAATCTTGTTAGGGGTTGCATCAGATTGCCCAGCGTCAGGGTGCTATCACTAGCCAGTTCCTTGGCCTCCAAGGGTTCTTCACTTTGCAGTTGGATCCTGATCAGATCGTCTCGGAATCTTTTCCAAAATCGACCTTCAAACATCGAACAGAAACCACTCTGAAACTAATGGAAGGTATGAAGCCCAGTAATAGACAATTAAAAATCCATTTTTTTTTAATAATGAACTCAAACTCTTCTAGTTTTCAGGTTTCTGTGTGGATCATCTTACTTGTACAACTTAGTTTGAATTTTCTAACTAACTTGATCACTAGAAAAACAAGTCTGCTTTTGTCCAATTTTTCGCAATCTTAAAAAAAAAGTGCATTTGGCTCAACTGACTACGATAAAATTGGCTTCTGTGGATAAATGGTTTGAAGTGGGCATAATTGAGTTACGTTTCAGGCACCAATATCAACATTATTGCATTCCTCATTGCATTGCTTTATTCTTCTCTTCTATTAATACTAAAACGTCTCTGGTCATTTATTGATGTACAGATAATGTAGTTGTATTTCTACACCCCAAATCTGGAAAGACTGTTTGAATTTTTTTTNAAATTGAGGATAAAATTTAAGATTATTCCACATCCATTCATCCTCCACACACAACTAAGAAATTGCCATCATCCCACAAAAGGAAAAATCAATAGGGTGACTATCCCTGTCAGATATCTGCAGCTCAAGCAGCCAGATCTTCTTTCACTACTGAATATAAGTTCTTTTTCAACAATGTGCCCGGGGCTTCTTTTTCTTTCATTGTCAGCAACAGATCTCCCCGTTCTCTTACAACAAAAAAGCTTTCAAATTGCTGTTCATTCTGTTTTACTGTCTGACGGTTCAAATGCTTTCCTTAAATCCTCGGGCTGTAGGAAGTCTTTTTTTCTTTGAAATGTAATTGAGTTTGTAAAAGTTTTGTTTTGAAGTTTAGTGTGCAAAGTTGCTTTGTAATTTCACCTCTGCTGCTATTTGAGTTGCAGCTTGCTGTAGGCTTCTGTGACCATTGCGAACATGGTTGACCTCCAATGGTGGCTGCTGACAGCTCCTGGTTATAAAAAATTATTTAGAGAATCGTGAATCTTTTCCGGAGACTGTCTCACCTGTTTTCACTGTTTACAAAACTTTACGTTGCCACTCACATTTTTTAAGTGGTGAAGTCTGCTTTTCTGCAGCCTAGACTTGATGTGATCGACTCAGATTTATTGGGAAACAATCTAACTTCAACGATAAACGTGGTGGTTCCTGTTCAGTCCTTGTTGGGAAACCTTTGAGTTAAGCTTGACAAAGAAATGTCCATTCAAATAAGGAATCAAGGTAGAGTTCTTGGAGAGATGGTTTCAAGGCCCTGCAAACCACGATATTGTATTAATATCAATATTAATAGCTTTATTATTATCAATATTACTTTTAAAAAATACATTTTACCAAGTTTTGAGAAAATCATGAATTTTTTAACTTCTCTTTTCTATTGCTAATTTAGGAGAACAGCTATGAATATGAAATTTAATTTGTGCCTGAGCTGATGACAACAGTACTGTTAATAGCATTAACACTGTGTACAGTTTAAGTAAAGTTTCAAAAAAGTGGATTAGTGGAATCTCTTATGAAATGAAATAAAATAACTTGTTCTCGAGCGGAAATTTTTTTGAAATATGAGGCACTTCTCAGCTGCTTCTCACAGAATTGAAAATAAATGATTTTCCACAGATCAAAGTATGATTGCAGCTCATTTATATCAAATATGAAATCCCAAGTGTAGTATACTCAAGTAGCTACATTGCAGATTCACCAGCAATATAGCAGCAATTTTGTATTTATATGATTTGTAGAGATTTTAAGCAGGACTGTTTTAGATTAACCGCTGTAGTATTACTGAATTTGGAGCTTAAAGTATAGGAAATTATATAAAAGCTACCTACACTGTCTGTCTCAGTCACATTAATAAATGAACATCTGTATATGTGATCCTTTTTCTTAAAAAATAAAGTTGCTCATGCCACCAACCTCAATGAATGGTGAAAATGACGGGCAATGTTTTGTAGGTTCATTAACGTCAAGGCAAATAAGACAGGGATAAAGCATTATGTTGGGTTAGAGGAAAAACTCCATTATGTTTTATGCATTCTCTTCATCTTTTTCCAGTGATTTTAATCAGTTTATTGCAAAATGAAGTATTTTTTTAAAATTAATTTTGCACCTGATAAGGGGAGGATGTCATTGCAAGTAATTAAACACCTGTCTATTTGACCGTGCCTTCGGTCGCCTTACCCCAACCCCTCTCGTCTTCACTTTGTTCAGTGTCCCGCAATATCAATATAAAGTATTTTGAGATATTCTCCTCTGTGAAAGGAGCTATGTATTATCCAGTCGTTGTTTAATATATTCCTCAAACCTAGAATTGTTTACGACTCCCAGTGATTCCTTTAAAAATTATCCGTTCTTGGAATCTGGATAATAAAAATTGCTGTAGACAGCTATGCAGCAGTAAGCTACTCATTAAATGCTTCATCCCATGGTCTCGGTGTTTAATCAGCTTACACAAGCCATTTAATGCCTTATGCACTGCAGGCCATCTGAAGTTATTATGTAAATAAAAATACAATGTAGAAACATGTTAGAATTTAACATTGGGTATGAAGCAACAACATTTCTTAATGCATAATTTAGCAATACAAATGGAATAGAGTCTGAATAGAATATTCTGTAAATTAGTATACAAAATAGAATTTCTCCCTCGTTGCAAAGATGAAGGTAATGTGTGTTGGTATTCCAGGATTGTCAAATACCTTGATGTTACTTGATATCTGTCCAGTTTTACAGTTTTTAAGCAGGTCATTGTTAAAGGCCATTATGGATAGATAATGTTAAGATCCCAAATGTTTATTGTTTTCAAAATGTTCATATTACTAATAATGTAATAAAATAATGTTTAATTAGAGAGCTACAGGTACAACTGGTTCTTTGCTGTCATCCTAGAATTCTTTTTATTTCATACATTTCCTCATAATAGAATTTAAAGTGTAAATCCCAATACTTTCCTATGATTCAGTAGTTTCATATTCTAATACTATCAAGATTCTTTTTTTTATTAAAATGTAATTTCATAGAAATGCTACAGTTTGCAGTGTAACTCCAATGAACCTCTCAAGAACCCCTTAAGGAATTGTTTTAATGTTATTGCTATACTGCTATACTGCGGGTAACAGGTCACAGCGCTAGATTAATAGTAATAATAATAAACCTTGCATTTGATGCAGAGCCTTATCATGTCGACAAACATTTCAAAACTCTTCACAGATTTTTAATTATGAAGTGTAGTAACTATATATTTTGGCGATGATTCCAGCAGCCAATTTGCGCACTGCCATGTGCTACAAACAGATTGAAGTGAATGACCAATTTTATCTCGAAGACTGTTGGCCAGGACACCGGGAGAAACTCCCTTCTCCTGTTGATTGGTGCTGTAGGATGTTTGACATTCACCTGAGGAGGCAGATGGGACCTCAGTTTAATGTTGTCTCCAAACAACTGCAAGGATTATATTATTATTATTATCTCCAAATAATGCAGCTCTTGCCCAGCACTACATTGGAGTGTCAGCCTTGACTATTGCTTTCAGTAATATAGACTTGGCATCATGCAGGTTTCAAGGCTGTGCAGTAATTTTTACATCCTATAGTGATTATCCTGACTTTTATTGATTTACGCATTAGAAGCAAAATGAAACCCCACAGTGCTTCATATCTCTGATATCCAGTTTTAATTTTGATCTTACTTTTGTTTTTTAACGTTTACATTTTTTTTTAACGTTTCATTTGTAGTGAGTCCAATTATTTTAATCTTATGATTTTGCTAATGAGGCACATTAGCAATGATTTTAATGAGTTTTAAGCACTGTCATTCTAGGGGCAAAATGATTCACCTTTTACTCTCTCGTTTCTGTAGGAAATGGAAAGTGGCAACCACACAGCAGCTTAAGTGAATACGCTGATGATTCCATTGTTAATGATGTAATTAGTGATGTTCAAAGTAGGCCTTCAAGCAGCCTTGGAGGGCAATTTACATCTGGAAAAACTGCACCATTGCTGTTAGCGTCAAAATCATCAATTGGTAAGCTGCCCACTCTCCAAAAGTGATATTTCAATGATTTTTATTTTAGATCCATGTCCCCATTAGCTGTCTTGAGGCCTTGGTTATCCTGAACGCAGCTTAATGTGTTTCCAGTAGTAATGGGATCTTTTTAACTCACTGTGCAACAAAGTGAGTGCAGATGTGCTGTGAATAATGTCAATTGTTGTGGCCCACATCATATTGGCCTGTTTATTAGTATGCTGATGATGTTTTTTCTTGCCTCCTTAAAGCTTGCAATGCTTTTTGTTTCAATTGCCCCTCGTTGTTAATAAACCTGCGGGCCAGTGGTTTTAAATAAATCAAAGAGAAAGGTATCCTATTTTGTACATCACCTTATGCACTACCACCTCTCAGTATCCTGCAAAATTCCTGGAGCATCAAACCAGGAGTGTCTCCAAAACTGTATGAGATGTATTGCCTATGTATTTGTCAACTTTGTTTGCCATCATCACTGCTGCTCAAGGACAGAACTGGATTTATCTGCAAATAAGAAAGAGTTGACGTCTATCCACAGCTGCCAGGCCAAAACAATCATTGACACCATCAAAAATGCTCAGCATATTTTACCGCCATCTTGCACAATTCAAAGGCTGGGGCACTTAATCTTAAAACTTAGTCCTTATTTTCTAGATTCCACACTGTTTGTCTTAGAACACAGGCAGTGGAGATAGTTCAGAAAACCACAGTTTTAAATCGCCAACAAAGGTACGGTATGTTAGCCTCTTTCTCTTGGGTGATTGTTGTTCTTCCCATGCTATTGGATATGCCATCGTTGTGAGGTGTTAAGTAAGATGAGCTTGGTGATGGGAAAGTGCAGTTGAATCAAATTTCTGTGGTGGACCATTGACCACTTTAACTCGGCCATAAAATGAATTAAAATTAGAGTCAAAATGGTATATTTTCATTGAATAACCTGTATCTACAGAGCTCGCCAGACACCCATAGGTCATACCACATTCATCATCCTTTATATTTTTACTCCTCTAGATACTTCATCGACTTTTTTTAAACTAGCAGCATTCAAATGAGAACACTACAATTATGAACAAAGAGAATTGATTTCTGATTTCAAGTTGGTTTTGAACACTTCTATTCTCAGTAGATTTTAAAACTGAGCAGATCGCTCTATACAGGTCAACAGACTTCACAGTCAGTTTTAACACAGCCTCAGTCAGTTTGTCTACATTCCCAAAACACTGGAGCACATCTTTGAAGTCCATAGTCAAAGAATATAAAAGTGACCCTAAAAACTGCACACTTGCAGTTTCTAGAGTTTACTTCAATCTTCTTTGGCAATAGACTGCTATGAAGTCTCAAGGTCATCCTTTCAGGTTTCACATGAAGAGCAAATTTATGGATGCTTCACTACTACATTCACGGGACTTGACATTCTTGTGACTGGAAGGTCAACTACTAAAAGATTGTTTATACAATAGACTGAATTTAACAGGCGTGGAATTTATTGCCTCGATAAAGCTTTACAGGCTACTTGAAAGTCGCTCACTATCTTAAGAATACAGAGAAAAATAACCTAAGGCTTGGTGTATTTTATCCACACTTGCTCATTTAAAAGAAAAGTCCTGAATTTATGAGGAATGCTTTTCTTAGATTAAAGATTCCTTCTTGCAAGAAAAACAATATGCCTTGATTAATAATTGTTTTGAATACCTGGATAATGAAGTATAGCAAAGAACAAACACCTTTATGCACATACAGGGGTTGATTTTCTTTCAGTTAACAGGAAGATATTGTGCAATTATGTCCAGTTGCTCAGCAGTGATGACATGGTAAACAGTGAGCATATTTCATAATGAAGTCTCTTGTACTTTAGAGTGCATTAAATGTTTTGGAAAGCATGGTTAAGCAGTATTTTATCACTGGTATTGGCACTATTTTAATGGTGATTCCACACACCAGAGTACTGAAATGGCTTTTTCATTTGGCAGTGGACTCTGGAGAGTCATTGTGCCTCTGCTATATCTGTTGCTTTGTGTGGGCAGGAATATTTATTTTGAGGAAATTATTTTTGTATTTATTCTAAACTTTAAAAAAAAACAGACAAAGCAGAATGGAGGCTTGATAACAGGTTGTCATCTCTCATTTGGAGATGATGTATAGCATCAGATTCAGGAAACAGAGAAATTGTGTAAAAGACAGAGGTCCATTATCTTCAACAAAATAAAATAGGGTCGAGAGGATTCTCATGGTGTCTCCTATGCAAAGGAATGCTTTTTTGTTGGAGTAGCAAAGGAAGAACTCTGTATGTATTAATAAGAGACCAGATATTATGTGGTCTGAAGGCTTGTGCATTCTTATGCTGCATGTCAGGCCACGTTTAACCCCTAAAGAATTCAGATGAGGAGACAGCAAGCAGTTGATGGGAGAATTGGAACAGGAGGTAGAAGTAAGGAGAGCGAGTTGCAACAATATTTACAGACTTCTGGCGATGCAGAATAACTGACTCGTGTATGTGGTTTACATTGTGTACCTCCAAATCATTGCTAGCAGAAACATAGATTACTGGCTTCAAGCCGATTGCTAAGTTATGTAATACTGTGTTTCAATTGAGTTATTTGTAACGCTTTTAGGAACCGTGTCAGGCTGTGGGATAATCAGAACAGCATCGACGATGGATTCATTCTTTTCCGCATCTCAAACTGGGGTGAAAGCTCTGAAATCCTGGCCAAATTCCGCTGTTGCACGCCCACTGTCCAGGGCCTCGATGGAAATTTCTGAAATTGAATACATCGATCAGCAGGAGACCCATTTTGAAATGGATGCTGATGAACAAACCTTAATTGACTTGGAGCAAGAGTTGGAGACTTATAAAGGTATAGAATATTTCAACGTAAAAGAACTGTTTTGAATTATAATGCTTTTCAAAGTCTACTTTGTGTCCATCGTTGCAAACATTTCACAGAATTTAACTTTGGTGACATAAAACATTGCTTTTCAGATGACTGTTACAAGGTTTCTCTAAATTGACCCTCAGGAAATCTCTTTTCAGTTACTATTTTACAAATACATACTTCAGATCTGCAAGCCAGATTGGGATATTTAGCTATGTATGTTAAAGCCCTAATAGATATGACAGGTACTGTCCAGTCTGGTTACCATTATTATTTACGTGGGATATAAAAATTCCTAATAATCAACTGCAGATTACGTTTGAACAAATCTACATCAGAGTTGTCGGTCAATTGGTCTTGTCAGTTACCAAGGACACTGAATAAAATTGGTCACTCATTCCATGGCTGTTGTGGGACATTGCTGTGCGCAATTATCTGCGGCATTCCGCCCACAAAACACGTAGTCAACCCACTTTACGTAGTCCGCCCACAAAACACGTAGTCAACCCACTTTACAGTGTATCCTGTGAAGAGCTTTGAAACACGATAAGGCGCTTTATCAAATGCAAGGATTATTATTTTTATTATTACTGAATGGGCTGATGTGTAGTGTCATCATAAATCTGAACACGAACTAGAAATCTTCCAGCTAATATTGAAATAGTAAATATTGAAAATAATGAAGGCACTGGAGAATAATTTCATGGGCTGTAATCTGATTTTAGAAATTGATGAACTGCTTGCCTCTCACTGTTGTGGATTATAATAGCATGTGAATCTCTCTCTTGATTTCTACTCTGCTATCATTGTCAGTGATCTATTATGTTCGGTGTCTTCATGGCTGTCTATTCTCCTGCAACATTTCTCGCCTCAATATGTTTTATATAATAACAATCCTTGCATTTGATATAGCGCTTTTCAAGTCTTCTTGATGAATCAAAGCGCTTCACAGAATATACTGGAAAGTGAATTGACCGTATATTTGTGGGCGAAACGCGGCAGCCAATTGCGCACAGCAGCATCTCACAAACAGTCGTGGATTGAAAATGACCAATTTATTATTGTTTTTGGTTTTGGAGGGATTATTATTAGGCTCTGTGTGGAGTAAGGAAACTTGCCCAAGGTTTCGCCCTCTGCCTGGAATTGAACTCAGGTCTCTCACTTGCAAAGCGAGTGCTCTAACCACTGAGCTACAGGACTCCACAAAAGTTTTGAAGACTTTTGTAAAAATCTTAACTAGATATTTAAAAAAAAGATGTACAGCATCTTTTCATTTATTATGTGAATGATTAGATTTGAAATAGTCTGGTCAAATTCTGAATCCTTGATGTTGCATATCGGTTTTAATAAATTATTTTATTTGCCGAAATGTTGGTATGAAATTGCACGATCCTTCTCTGTATTACTTGAGTATAGAACCATGGAAATTTACAGCACAGAAGCAGGCCATTTGGCCCACCATGCCTGTGGCAAGCCTTGTTAGAGTAATCCTTTCAGTAATCCTGTCCCTTTCCCCCCTCTACCCCCATATAATAGAGAAAAACACAGGAAATCAGAATCCAATGCATCCAATATCTGGGCCAGTCATTCAGTCTTCTTAAGGAATCAGAATTTATTGAAATAAAAAAAACACATATATTCAGCCAGCACGATTGACTCAAATACAGCAGCAACTACATCAGAAGATACGTAACTGTTGTGTCAATCCAGGGAAGGTCCTATTTTGCCTGGTATCTTTAAGATCCAGTTAGAATCACGAGTCTGCTTAGACGCAGGTTTTAAATCTAAAGCTTTACAACTGGTTTTATCTGGAGTGCAACTTTTCAGACTTGAGTTTTACGAAAGAAGCTGAGAAGATTAGTTGTAGAAAAATCACTCAAACCTAGTTTGGTTTAGAATCTTAATACGGCTTGTAGAAATTGATGTGCCCTTCCTTTGAAATTATAGCTTAACATATATGAAATGGGACTGCCATTTGATGTCAAGGAGGAAGATGAGTGAACTGTGCGCATGTCGTAGCCATTAAATACCATTTCTTCATCTGCCTGAAAACAGAACAGTAATCTAGCTTCATTCAAAATTACTACCTAAGGTGATATCTGAAGTTAATCAGACTCGGGAAGATTAACTGATCAACTTCCATGTAAATTGGAAATTGATTGCAGGTGGGCTGAGGAACGCTTTCTGCAACTACATAACCAGAATAAGTTGTCTTAAAATATACTTAATTATGACAGGTAAAATTGGGGAAAAATTTCAAATGGCTGGGAAGTCGCTCTGGTTAGATGAGAATGTCTTTCCTTGCAAATAATGGGCAGTACCCACTATGTGGGTTGTTATATGTGTGTCTGCTGGAGGTTATTTGCAAAGGAGACCCACATGGAGTAATCCTCACACCTTTAACAATCATTGATGTTTGAACTTGACAAGAATACAGCCCTGGATTCCAAATAACAAAGTTGTCAGTACTTCTAAAGCAGGTGCTGACATTGGGGAATTATTCATGGTGTCTGGGCAGATAGTGAATGTTATATTTTGTTGAGTGTTGGATTTGTGCCTTGACTGAAGTTGTGCTCCTTGAACTAGATTCGCTATATCTTCTTTCCACACCTGTAATGATGTGTTTAGATGGTCCTTTTAGCAGTAGTTTGCCTCAAAAAGTGGAATGTAAATTGGGGTGGAATAGTGTCATTGAAAAGTGAATTGCGCCTGAGCCCTGCTGCTGCTACCACTTTGAAGAAATGGTTTCAGCAGGACGTCCATTCACACTGCAAATTGATTGCATTTGCTCCCAACTGGCACTGTACAATTTCTCCCATAAAAAGCTTAAAAGGGGAATTTGTAAATAATGATGAGCCAGTCATGTGTGCATACATGTGTGTTGTTGACAGCCCTAAACCAAAAAAGCCCATGGAGGATCAGACAGTAGGTAAACAGCCAATATATGCATTGTTCTAATGCTGGAAATGAGGCAATAGCACTTCCATATTATAAACCAGACATGAGACAAACTGGTTTCACTGCTTTTCTTTGTTTTTTTCTTTTCTGTACCTCTCCTTTTGATATTTCTGCTGGTAACATAGTTGAGAACCCCCCCAAAATGGAGGTTTTTGAACTTGTGGGTTTTGTGTAAGAATTTTGTACAGAATATTTATTAGAAAAAGGTAACAGGGAGTAAAATTGAGTTTCAGATCTCTCACTTAGCTTTATGCTATTTTGTATAAAGTATATGAACTGCACAGACCATTGTAGTGATGTGGATGAAAAATATAGAGATAAAGGATCCTTCTATTTCATATCCCCATTGATTTGCTGAACTTATGTTTGGTTTATAATATTAAACATAGAATACAAAGCTGCAATCAATGTACGATTTCTTTTTTTTGTTAAAGGAAGTGAAATGCACAAAAAGTTAGATATTGCAACGTTTTATTTTTAGCTTTGTTACTGCGTAATTCCTATTTGTAAAGATGATAGTTTTAAAGATATTCTTAGAATATGTGAGTGAAAGTTTGAATTCTTGTTTTGATCTAGTTATAAAAGATGACTTAAGGTAGATGGTTACAATTTGGTACGATTTGCCAATGATTTTTTTTATAATTTATTTAATGTTTCTTACTGGTTTTAGCTCGCGAAAGGAAAGTGTATGACCTGAATACTGCTGATGAGTTGCCAGTATCCAACGGGCAAGCAATCAGGACACTTGAAAAGAGCCTTCCGCTTCAGCAAAGGTCAGGAACAGGCCAGTTAATAATTCCTCCTAGGTGTGTTTCTATGGTTGCCCCGGGATCCGTTACTGTGAAGCGCTCTGAGACGCCATCCGGTGTGGAGGGCGTTATATAAATCCAAGTTGTTATTGTTGTTGCTTCTATCTTTTCTTGTACCTTATGTAAAAGACTTTTCTGAGAAGTGTCCAACTTTTAACCCATTTTAACCACTTCTCTGTTGTCCATCCATATTGTTTGAGAAATTGCTCATTTAATATTTGTACATTTTGACAAGTGTGTCACCAAAATGTCTATTTGGGTTTAAGAGTTTTTTAGAGAGCTAGCAACTATTTCAGTGCCCCTCTCACTGCCCGCCCAGTTTGTTATCAAAGCGCCGCAGGAATTTAGTTGTGTTCCTATATATGCCAACTTCTTTCCGAAAGTCTAAATAAACAATTTCATGTTGTTTTTTTAAAAGACCACATTGGCCAACAGGATATATCCAGGAACCCTCAAGGTAAGCTGAAGAGGTGAACAAGAGAAACTTGCATTTACAAGGCATCTTTCATTCAGAATAATATCTCTGAAAGTACTTTACGCACCTTAACAAATAATTTTCCCCTATGATTTCCCAGTTGGATTTGTTATCTCACCTATGGGACTATTATTACTCTTGGTAGATCTTCAGTCGAAGGGTGAGAAGTGAGATTGATCTCCATATTCACGTGTATCTTTATTTGTTAAACATTCCTGTTATTCTTGTGCATATCGCTTAAATGAAAAGGCTAACGTGATAAGGTTCATTTACATGAGGTTATACATTTCATTTTCCCTTTGAAAGTTCTCAACTGTTGTGCCAGTGAAATGATTCATGTCTATTAGACTAGAACTGATGTTTTATGCCTTTTTGTCCTTCAATTTCTCCTAGGAATAAGGATTGCTCCCAGTTTATACTCCAGTCCCTCAGCAGATGGACTGTTGAAGGTCAGACAGATAATGAGGAAGAGGAAGCTGACGAGAGAAACAATGTTCTGAAGTTATCCTGACCAGACTGAATTGGTAATTGATTTGTAATTCAAACAAGTACATTCACCAGCTGAGCAGATTCTTGATCTGATATTAGTTATTCAGCAACTGAATTTTACAGACCGTGTTACACTGTCAAATAAAAAACATTTAAAATTAAAAGATAATTTGATTTCTTCGCTTCAATGTGATTCGATCATGTGTAAACTGCCCTTGAACCATAATAAAATGCTGGTGTTTAAGAATGTTTAGTAAAGTTGCACTTTTGGGAGAATATGTAAAACAGATTTTTAAATAAGAGCATTGTTTGGGAGCTTATCGGAGGGCAAAAAAGCATCGATATCTGAAATCAAGAAGCATTGATTTATTGGAGCTGTTATTTCAAGACATTTACCAGCGTGTGAATTCCTTCTTGTCTTTTTAAGATTTCTGCTTTTTTCAAATTCTTTTTTTGTACTGCAATCTTATTTAATCTTTACAAATACTTCTCATTTATTTTCTAGCGCAGTCTGGATGTTCTAATGCTTCTTAATGCTGAAGCTCTAATCCTGATCACGTTTGAAATTCACGTGTTCCTGATCCATGTTTAACTTTGTCCTTCAATAACCACTCTTTTAGTAGCTGATTACCCCTTTCTATTTGCCGTTTTTTTTCTTTAAATTGTTGCTTGTGTTGTACAGCTGTAGTGCTGCTCCATAATTATACTACTACTGTATGGTTTAATGCTGCTTTTATGGTCGAATCGGTGTTTCGACCTTCTTTGGCATCAATCCACCATCAAGATTACAGTATAAAACTGATGCAGCTGAAATCTCTGCCTGGGACTCCATCCTGGTGTCCCTTCACCCCTCGACCCCTCCTTTGCCTCCATGAAGACCGTTCTCTTTGAATGTGGCTTCGGTTATCTTGATTCTCTTGATGATTCCAACCCCCAGCTCAGGTGCAAACTCTTGACTGCCCTGCACCTTGGGACGTCCTCCCGACGTGATTAAATGAACATTTTCCAATGCAATTTATCAGTAGTATTATAACTGTGGTTGGTTCTATGACTAAGACAGATATTTACCATTATCATCGATCATAACAATCTGCAGTTTTGAATTGCTTGATTTTTCAGGATATAAAGCTTTACCTCTGACATTTTTGTATCAAATCTAAAAATAAATGTACGTTGCTTGAGAATGAAATAATACGCAGAAGTGAAATATGTTTTCTCTGGTTTCGCGCCTTTAATTAACCTTGGTTACAAAGAAATATAAGGCAATTGCATTAATAGTCAAAGTTCAAATTTGAACCTCACTGACCTAATGGGTTGTTTGTTTCATACAAAGTTCTGACTGTTGCAAAGTGGTAATTTGTAAATGTAATTTTAATATCTCAATTTAAATGTTACTTTTTTGAAAACTGCTTCTTTACCGATCTGTTAATAAACGCTGGAAATACCTTAAGCCCACAAAATACACAGTCAATTCACATTACAGTATATTCTGTGAAGTGCCGTGTCCAGAATCGTAATGTAGATTCAGATCACATACATTTTGAAATTGATGTTTCCCTATCCTGACAATTTGATCATTTTTTCAGAGAGAGGTTACTGTTTTGAGGAATAATATCAAAATTAAATTCCGGATGAATGCTCAAATGCTTCTTGAATAAGTACCGAGGCGAATAGCTAACTAACAATGATTGATACACATAGCATTTGGGGTGTCAGAGTGAGAGAATTGCTGCCGAACATTAATATTTAAAGCCTGGTGGCTAGTGTAGGTACGCATTCAATAAACGTAATCATTATGCCACAGTTTTGAACTTGGCTTATTAATGCAACGATTCCTTACAAATATGCAATATGAATTACATGTGTTGATGATTCGGCTTGTGTTTAAATAATAATTAGAACCAAAAATCCAACAAGTGCTCCTTACAAACATCTCCTCGTGTAAACGGGAGATAATGAGCGTTCAAATCTGTCTCATTTGCTGACATTTCGATGAATAATTGGCTTGTTGTTGAACATGGATTTGCCAGTGTGTAAAATGGCCGCGTGATAAATTATTAAGTATACCCCAGTTAGTTGAAAACCCATGTGCAACTCGTGGAGCTGACCAGAGACTAGTAAACAGCCTGAAGGCCTGTCACAAAAGTTGTCCAGCACATTGACAGCTTCCGACTTAAGGAACCTACTGCTTTTAATTATATTGAGTACCACCACTCAGTCTGCAAGGAGAACACAAGCTTTCTTTTCACTAATTTTTAATCCAAAGTATTTTTTTATGAATGTTTCTTTCTCAGCTTTCAATTATTGGAGGTTTTATGGAGGAGGTGGAAGTGGGGGGCGAGATGGGTTATTTTAAAGTAGGAAAAAGCCTTCAATTCACATACAAACCCCCCAAACGGCAAGTTACAACCACTCTTCCCTTAAGTAAAACTCAGAAGCATTTGATGTAGGTGTGAGAAAGCGTGAAGGTGCAAAGACATTCCTTTTTAAGATGGAGATTTTGTCATATGAATTGTAAATGTCACAAAGGCAGAATTTGACCATCTTTCTCACAGCATATTCCAGTTGCTTCTGAAAATGCAACAGGATTATTTTTATTATTTTGCTTCTGCAATTTATCAAAGTTATTTTTTTTCATTGGGACAGAGAAAGAGGGACCACATTGTATTCATTTTTACGATATTCGAATCTGAATAAGTTTCTCAAGTTGGTTTGCCTTTTCCATGTCCACTCATGAAGCTGGAATTGTGCAATGAACTTTAGCAACGATATTGATAGCCATGAGTAGACTTGTAAACAAAGTATATTCGATTTAGTCCATCTGTGTAATCTATTCAAACAGCTAAAGATTCTGTGCACATTCTGGAAGCCTTTAACAAAATTTATGTCTACGTTGTAACCAGGTCTTGAACGCACCAACATTTTAAAGTTCCTGGTTACATTGGATAAAAGTCGAGTTGTGAATAAATATTTATCCTTTTAGAAAATAAATGAATTTTAACTTGACTACCTTCATACGGTACTATGAAATCCAGACGAATCACCACCGTAATACTTTTTGCACTTTGATTTTCTTTCACTCTTTTGCGCTGGGCATGCTGAAACTTCAAGGTCATTTCTTGGTTAACTAACGGTGATTGACAATATGTACTGCAAGCTAGGGCAGCCCAAGCCTGAACACATTCCCAAGTCATCAACTGGGAACAAAGTGATGAATCTCATGCTCGTCTGCTATAGGAAAACCTGCTTGAGGGTGCATTATTACTATTTATACTGTAATGAGCTTGCAATGTCATGATGTATCATTGTTAGCGAAATGCAAAAGATAAATACAGGTGAGATGTCAAACTCGATTTGTAATTACAGTTTTCATGAAGCCCAAACCATAAGACAACACAGTTAATTTACAGACAAATGCTGCAAATCCAGCCATTCACTGAATCTTCCTATCCATATCGTCCCAATCGATTATTAATAATAATAATCCTTGCATTTGATATAGCGCTTTCCACATCTTCTAGACGTCTCAAAGTGCTTCAAAGACTAGACTGTAAAGTGAATTGACTGTATATTTTGTGGGTGAAATGCGGCAGCCAATTGCACACAGCAGTATCCCACAAACAGTCATGGATTGAAATGACCAATTTATTATTGTTTTTTTTTGAGGGATTATTGAGGGTTTAAAGCAATCAGTAGAGATTTCTGACACATCCCTCAAGAGTATGATTTTTTTTGTGAATATAGTGTGTAAACTATTTCTAACCTGTGACATCGGAGAAACTTAAAGGGAGGGGTAAGAGTGATTTGGGAAAAAATATTAAGATGCTCGAATCTTCAGGGAAACATAAAAGGTTTTTTGTTTACTAGCCTGAGGACGTTGAGGCCAACTGTACCGTCCTGTTTCCTCAGCTGAATTCAGCTAACACATTTCAGCACAAACATTAAATGTGAGACTTTCCTATTCTGACCCTAGATGTCATTTGAGGCATTATCATGATGTCGTACTCTACCGATTTCCAGCAGTGTGAGAGAAATAACCTTGCGTGGAACATCTCTAATCCCCAGGCCTTTTGCCTAATAATGATAGGAAGATCCTTAGCATTGTGAAAAGAAAGCCTTCAGTTGGGTTGAAAAATGAATCACATTGTTTGCTGGTTACTTACTCTCTCATCCTTGGATTTTCATGGCTAATAGTTTTCTGACTCTTTCAACAACAACCTGCGTCCCTCATGCAGAGTAGATCCCGGAGAGCTTGACAGTGGTGGAGCACAACACTGAGCTGGGGGGTGGAGGGGAGGTGAATAAAGGCACAGTCGAAGAGTTTTCGCCTTTGTTTGATGGGACTTGTCAATTCCAAACCTGGAGTGCTGTGATCCATGGTGATTTGGGTTGGCTGAGTAGGTATCTTGAGTCTTACCATCCTGGGCAGGCTGTCCACACTATACTTCAGCAGAGCTGTACACATTCAGATCTTATTTCGCAGGACCAAATTGAAATCTGCTGAAGCAGAAGTCTGGATATTTCGCTCATCGAAATGTTTGCTGTCAGAATTCAGTGCTTTAGATTGAAATTGACCTAACTGAACCCTGCCCCCTTTTTTGGATAGCATTTGTTTGTTTTTTTGACAGACGCAGAAGCCCATCACTGTGTTTAAGAGTATCCAAACCAAACTGAGAGTTCCATGCATCCTAATTACACGTGAGATGGATTGTTGGAATGGAATATGCACTGCACTCTCTCTCTCTCTCTCTCTCTCTCTCCCTGGAGGGACCCATCCTGCTTACCTAATTCTGGAAAGTATTAGGCGGAGGTTGGCAAGAGCCCAGAGTGTGCGTTGGGGTAACGGCTGGAGTCTGACCAGATAAAATAGCATAGCTTTGTTAAACAGGCCTTGTCTGTAACCCGGTTTCTGCAGCTCCTGCAATGGAAACGTCACCTTGTTACTGCCAGATATCTGAAATCCACAGCATCATGGAAGCAGCTTTGAAATTGAATACAATATTGCCGCAACACAGTCCCATTTTAATTTACTGGGAATTGATTTAACGGTTTCAAACCTATTCCTGAAGGTCATCAGGAAATCAAAAGGCTGCCATCCAGTGCTTTACTTTTCATTTAATTCTGCTCAATTTCTTTTGGGGAAAAAAGAGCAAGATTTTACTGATGGGAAATTGTATCTAACATTTTCATGCTAACTCTTTTTTGAGGCCCCCAAAAAATGAAAAATCTTAGTTTGTGCCATGTATTACAAGCTTAGATATTTAAGGCAGCTGCTTCTGTCAGTTCATATCAAACATCAGAAGAAGAATTTGGACCATAAGTATCTCCTGCAACGTGAAGCTCTTTTCAGCTGCTGTGTAAAGTGCCATATTCGGGCTGATCTTATAGACAAAAAAAAGTTAGCTATTCTTTAGTATTATTGTAAAATGTCCATTTAGGAATGTAATTTTAAGAAAACAATATGTTTTTATTTTTAAAATCCGTTTCAGAGGCCAAATAATTTGCAATTTGTTTCTTAAATGACCATTGTGTAGAGAATAATAGATGATGATAGTTGCTTTACAGGGGGTAATAATCCCTCCAAAAATAAATAAATAATAATAATTTGTGCACTCAATCCACAACTGTTTGTGGGACACTGCTGTGCGCAATTGGCTGCCACGTTTCACCCACAAAATATAGTCAATTCACTTCACCGTATATTCTGTGAAGCTCTTCAAAGATGTGATAATATCAATGCAAGGATTATTATTATTATTATTATATGCAACTGGCCTGCAATTTGTTAGCCCCAAAAAATAAACCAGTAAGTTAAGAATTCAGTGTTTTACCTTTATGCTTACGTGCTTTAAAATAAACTTCACTAAACCATCAGTGAGACTTTAAACCAAAGTAAATCTTTGAAGCGTCAATATTCAATCTGCAATAAAAAGATACAATTTTTTGCCTCAATCTGAATGATAAAT